CGTTTAGAGCAGATCGAATATGCTCGAATTGGACTCTATCATCGATTACTTACGTAAAGTTTAACTTACATAGAAGGTTAAATTACAATATTGATGGAACCCCTCAGCCTAATCTTGCCAGTTATGACTGTGGTTAAATATTCATCCTATCGCCGACATAGCCCAAAGAATTGCGAGCCTTAAGTGGCAGTGGGCAGGGCACATTGCAAGGAGGACTGACAGCCTTTCCCGGGAGACGCAGTGTTGGTAGGGCTGTTAGCCGAGAGACGCCCACTGCTGGACATAGGCCTTCTCCAAGGAATTCCAAAACCGGTCTTGTGCTGACCGCATCCAGCGGCTTCCCGGGAGGTCTCCCGGTAAGGGCAGTCAGTCCTTGCAATGTGCCCTGCCACATTATTATTCACAACTTAGGAACAATGTGTATTTGAATAAGTACTTACAAACTTTAGAACGATTAGTCGTTTTTAATATATTACACTAATGGTTCTTTGGGAACGTAGGCATGCATATGTCAGCACGGAGCATGTGCTCTGTCCACAAAACACTCAGAGGGTCTACCTATTCCAGGATCCAGGCGGCATTTTAAGGTGGGTGACAATTTCTTAGGATTCCGTAGTCTTGACAAGGAACCCTTATGGTTTCGTCATGTCCGTCTGTCCGTCCCCGGTTTTGCTTGGAGACTATTAGCACTAGAGAGCTGTAATTTTGTGGAGATATGTAATTGTCAACAATGCTGACAAAATGGTAGAATAACATTTTCAAAAATCTTTTTTTTTTGGGGTAGCTCCCGTACATTTAACCTGGGGATGTTTTTTTCATCATCTATCTCATCCGCACCCCACTTGATCTGATCGGTGCAGCGCATTGGTGATCTGCCGCGCGCCCTTACTTCCTCGACTTTGCTCTGCACCACCAATCGTTCCACTGACGCATCTTCTCGGCGTGAGACGTGGCCAAAGAAAGTGAGAATACCATCTTGTACGATGGAAGAAAGACATTGTTCCTGGAAGCATTGTTGCAGTGGACAGAATTCCGAACCAATGCATCCTGGATGGATGGATTGGTTCGGAATTCTGACCACTGTATGCCAAGTATTTTCTTCCAGCACCACATTTCTAGAGCGTTTATCTTCTTTTTCTCTATCTCGCAAGGTCCACGTCTCAGCACCATAGAAGAATATGGGAAACACTAATGCCCTGACGAGTCATTGTTTTTCGTAGCTTTTGTTATGTTCCTGTTTCTCCATATTTTTTGAAGTTTGTGCATAGACGACCTCGTGATTGCCATGCGCCGTTTGACTTTATCGGTACATCCACCGTTGCTTGAAATCAGTGCTCCAAGGTAGACGTATGACAAAAGACACATCGCAAAAGCTAAACTACTGGCTTAAAAAACCTGGAAAAATTAAAGGTAATAGTGCTTTTCATGAACTTTTAAGGAAAACTATAACGGTAAAGATAGATTTGTTAGTTTAAGAGTAACAGTCGTTCAACTTTGGTTAAAGAAAATTTCTTATCAGTTGAAAATTCCTTAGAAGAAAGCAATAATAGTGACATCGATGAAGTTGTTGTAGCGTAAAACCTTGCATTGCAACAAAATCTAAAAAGAAAACTATTCAAAAACACAATTAAATATCATTACTTCCACAACGCTACGAGTACCACTAGTCTAGGCTTCTGAGTCGCACTAATGTTACATTTTTATAATAAGCACTTAAAAAGATCAGCGGTTATACCGCAATCATCCCCTGCTCAGGGGATGATCGCTTCAGATGAAGCTTATAGTCAGTAAGAGTATGCCATAACCTTGCAACTGGTTGTAGGGTATCCATGAGGATTTCACACCCGCATTCGTATTTAAAAAAAAATATAATATCGAATTTGTTTTTGAGTTTGAGGCGCAGTTTGACTTTGATTTAGGTATTTTAGTTGATATTCATTGGTTTTTCTAATTTCCGATGTAGAAAATAAAGACTCCTGCTCAAATATATTGTGGTAACTACAGGCAACTACGGAACTCTGCGCGTGGCACGATACGCACTTGGCCGGTTTTTAAGTTTTAGAAAGTATCTGGTTCTCACTGACAATATTGTATATTGAAAAAAAAAGTTTTGGACGGGATGAAGTGATAATATAGGATAGGTTAAAATACGTCCTACTTATTTCCCTTTTATGGAATTCGTTGCATGACTGTTTATTAGTAAGTACTACTAAAAATATTATATAAGAACAACTTAAATAAAAATTAGACTTCTTAAAGTAAGGCTAACAATCGTTCGCATCGCATCGACGTTTTCCAAATGCGATTTCATTCAATTCAATGAAGTTGCACACCCATTGAGAAAATCTTTTCAACTTAGTAAGCACTTAAAACTGAAATCTCATCTCAAAAACGCGCCAAAACTTTCCTATGTACTTCAATATCAGAAACAGACCGCGTCAGCATTTTATAAATTAGGAACAGTTAATCTGGCGTTAAGAATCGCGAAACGTTGCACATTTAGTTCAGATAAATAATCTCTTGGGCCTTATTTTAATCACCGTTTTCTATATAGTTCTTCGTCGGTTTATTACATATTAGTTCAATGCATTCTTCGAAGTGTTTTTGCACCATTACGTTTCATTCATTTTATGGCTCAGTCGCTCCCCACTGAAACAAGTCTTCTGCTCTGTATCGCAGATTATTTTAGTACTTACCTATGCGTATTTAGCGTGCTTAGCTAAAATTACACTTAACTCTTCTTTTCGCCCAGGGAAAATGCTTTAATGGAAGTGAATTTTTGCATAGCATAATGAACTTTATGTTAATTGTATAAGATTCCACAGACGGCACCAACAGTCGCTAGAGAAATTCTCGAGAATTCGCCAGGATTTCCCGGATGCCGCGCGACCACTTTTTGAGTCTAACACGACTCGAATTGTATAACATTCAAACATTCACGAAGTTTGAATGTTATACAATTGACATAAAGCTATACATTATTTCGTTGCAAACACCGCGTCTATTCCATTCAGCGGGCAGTACCAATTACCAATACCAATTAAGTCATATAGCATTTACTAAGATCGCTAGCTGAGGCCCAAGCATGAAATTTGACAGACCGTAATCGTATCGTCATCGTCAAATTTTGTATGTAAAGAGCTTAGATTAAAACAAAAAGAGAAGATACGGTACGCTCATACTAGCATCAAATAAAATATGATCCGACTCAACTACATATGCAACTCTCACACACGCACACGCCTATAAATAACATTCAATCGAGCGAGCGAGACAGAACTGTACGCTTCAAGGCAGAGAGAGCGAAACAGCGGATCCGCTTCCGAGTGCGAACGGCTGAGCTGTATTGTTGTCCTTTTCTTGATAACAAAATGGCGATTACGTAAATAACATTCACGACAAATGGTGATTTTTGGAAAAATAAATATTTTACAGTTTTAGGAATGAGAAGTGTTGCCGAGCCACGTGTTATTTTATTTGATTTTGAACTATTTGTGTTCTTTATAAAAGCATCGAAGGCATTGTTTTATCTTTATAAAACAGAATATACGCAATATTGTGTATATTGAGTGCACATGCAGCGTATTTGCATGTCTAATTGTGACTACAGCGACGTGTGATCGTGCACCACAATTTAAGCGGATCACTTTTGAGCCGCGAGTGCCGTATCTTCCCTTTTTGTTTTAATATAAGGTAAAGAGTCAGTTTGTTCTTACGTCCGATTACGGATCTGTTAACGTTCGTGGTTGGGCGTCAAATCACATGCTGTTATTATTATGGCGCATTTTTATTGCTCTGGTAATAATGCAAACGGTTCGAGCTAAATCATATGATCAAAAAAAATTTTTGTTGAATCAATAAAACGACAAAAATTCATTCTTGTATAATTTATTTCTCTTTTGCGACTGAGTATTGAACAAATCTCACTTACGGAGTTTACATTTCTCGATTTCCGTCGCTACAGACCTCGTTTTTTTTTCATTACAATAATATTTTTAAATCACTTACTTCTTACAAATATTTATCAGGTTTAAAGGAACGTACGTGATATCTTGTTCGGCAATATGTTAAAGAAAATTATTAATGTCGACGGAAAATCGATTATCTCATAAAATAATAAAAAAAACACGCACACATTAACTGTTCAGAGCGTCAAAGAGGTGAAGGGTAGAGTTTACTCTAAAAGAAATAAACAAAAACTAAAGGACATACATTTTTTTAAATGCCCTGAATTCAAGACGCGCAATAGTCGCATTTATGGAGCGTCTGTAGCGAAGAACGTTTAATACTCTCACAAACTTATAGCCATTTACATATCACATAATAGTTAACACTACAATAAATATAATATTCGCGCGTCCTTTCGGTCAGAGGCCACTGAAAAATCATAGAAAACGTAGAGAGAAGCCGCTCTCGTATAAAAAAATCAATCAATAAAAAAGTTAACGTAACAATTAACAATAAAATTACAGTTGGAATCAAAACGTGAAAGGCGGCCACAGTACGAATTTGAGATTTAAGTATCATGACGTGTTCGCTTTTCGCACTTTAAAATAATTAGTTTTATGTTTCATTAAAGTTGATGCTGCCAGTTTCTTTAGCGACAGCAAGAGAACAAGACGATACGGCACTTTAGCAATTAAATTTAATTGACGTCCGAGTGCAGACGTGAGAACCATTACTTTGTGCTAGAGTTTGACTAATAATAAATAGTAGAATCCCTAACTACTTCATTAGATATTAAGTATTAAATTCATTAATTAATCATCATAAATAACTTTTAACTAGAGTTCTAAATCCATTAGTTACACAAATGATTTAGTATATAAATATAAGAGGTGAAATATTTCCAGTTTCTAAGACAGTGGTGCCCTAATAAACAGAAAGTCCACTCGTTCAATATCCATTTGCACACCTACGACACGACAGCACGAAATGCGAACAAGTCACATCGACTTTCAAAAATAAATTAGACTAATTTTGAGTTACTCTCATTAATATTATAATTCGGAATGTTCATCTTGGCCGTCCCCTAATTGCAGTGGTGGCTCAGAAGTCGCTCCACTCGAGTCTTTATCGGAATCCCCTTCAACTTTTGTTTCTTTCTCAGCTTTAGGTGCCTTCTCTTCAGTTTCTGCCTTCACTGATTCAGGCTCTATAACAGTCTCTTGAGTTTTGTTATCAGACTCTTTCTTAACGGGTTTCTTCGGTCGCCATATCTTCATTTTATTCAACAAATACTTCACCTCCCTATCTAAATTAGACATCTTTTCTCGTATACTGTCAACAGTCAATTTAATATCTTCATTCTTCTTCAGAGCCTCCTGTTCTGCAATAGACTTGTTGAGCCAAGTTTCAGTTTCAGTTATCTTCTTTTCGAGAACTTCAATTTCTACATCTGTGAATATATCTCTTTCAGAGTTGGAGTCTTTGGTGAAGTTTTTGGCCATTTTCAAGAATTCTTGCGAATTATTGACCATGTTACGAATTGCTGCTACGGCATCAGTCCTTTCTCTGTGTTCCCAGTGTTTGTACCAAATCGGATTAGTTTTCTCTTTCAGTAAAGCTAATTTTTCCTCAAATAATTCAGTTTCCGCTTCGTAACCATCCTCGTATAGCCAGTCGGAAGTCTCACTGCATATTTTCTTAATTTCCTCGATTTGTTCAGGTGTTCCGCACTCTGCGTACTCTGGCATATCGACTTTCATTTGTGCATCAACAACAAAAGCCTCTAAATTGTTCAGTGCTGTTTCTCTCTCCACACGTTTTTTATCAATAGAGTTCAATTCGTTAATCTTAGATTTCGACTTCTTAAACTGATCTGAGGTGAGAGGTTTCAAGTTCAGAATGTCTTCTTCCGTTTTGATGGGCTCTTTCAATACAATAATTTTAGGTTTAGGTTTTTCTGTTTCGGTGGCATTTTGCTTCTCTGTTGTTGTTTCATTAGCTTTTGTTGTATCATTCTTTTCAGCTTCCAAAGGCTTTTCTTCCGGTTTTTCCTCAACTTTTTCTGGTGTTTCTGAATCTGAACCAAATAGTTTACTAATAGTGCTTCCTATTTTAGATAGCGTACTATCTTTATCTTCATCTTCTGTAACGGTTTTCTCCGCGACAAACTCAACATTAACTAAATTAAGAATACCGGAATCATCCATATTGAAATGTGCTTTGATTCCTTTGTGTTCTACGTTTTCCCCCGTATGTTTCGCAAGTGCGTCTTTAACTCCGCTCAATACAACGTGTGTTAGATTCGGGGACCCGATGTAAACGAGCTCAGTTGATGGAATATGGTCCAATTCTGCATAATTGACGTCAAAAGTGAAATCAGTGGTATGTTTATTGAAAGTGATTACCTTCTTTTGAGGATAAGGATTCATGGGGCCGAAAAGGGTTCTTTTGATCTGTAACAAGTAAACGTGAAATGAATTAAGCTACAACTTTAAAATCCAATAACCAATTAAAATCAAACAATAGAAGTAGAGAGTTATTATTGAAATGAGAATATATTAATGAAACACGTAAAATTGGTTAGACCATTAAGAGTAAGACGACCCAAAGATAAAAAACCTGATTACCGTTTCCTGAAATAAGAAAAAATAAGATTATATTTCTCCATAGACATTCTTTTTCACTTTTAAATTGCTATAGAATTTCAAATGTTTTCTGGATAAATTTACAAAATTAAGAAAATATATTGACCTAATTCAATTTCACCGGATTTATTGATTCCAACTTAAGTAAAAATAAAAGAAACTGCAAACTTACCAATTTATCGTTGCCGTCAACGTGCCTGGTGAAAGTGACTTGTACAGGCAGAAGTACCGCGTCGCGAACGTTCAAAGCAGCCACTTTGAAACCAGTGGCAAGGGATGCCGCTCTGTATAAAAGAACGAAGTGTTAGTTAAATTTAAATTGTAACGGCTGCACTCAGTAAAGTTCAGTTTTGAATGTGATTAAAGTAAGCGCTGGCTCTTTCTTTACGATGAAATTAGAATAAGACAGCATTATGACTATAGAGGACATACAATTAATTTGATGTCTCTGAGTATAGCCATAAAAGCGAAAAAAAATTTTTGCTAGCAACCTGCTCTTAACTTCCTTGAATAAGAGTAAAATTCTATTAAAGCACAGAAAACAACATAAAAAAAATAAGTGAATGACTTTTAATTTATAAATCGTTAAGAAAATTTCTTATAAATAAATGCTACTACGAGTACTACTCCAAGAACAATTTATGTGCAGTAAGCTCAGGTCAAATTAAGTTCATATCGCAATACATTCTGCGATCCTCAGAATGCTCCTTTATCGCCATTATTTATAAGTATTATTATATAAACACTTATCATAAAAGAACGAAGTAGAACTGCAAGTAATTTTACATATATAAAAAATATTGTCTGTAAAGTCGGCTATTTACGGAATAACGTGCCGTTCTCTGTTTCCTCGGGGCAGTTTGGTGGGGCTTTTTGTTCTGGGCTGTTTGGGCCCAAGCACGCCTCTGTAGCGCTATGGTGTAGGGCGCTCAGGAGGGGTAGGGTTGAGGCGGGATGGGGGGTCAGGGGGGGGGGGGGGGGGTTGAAGGAACCCCTCGACCACACACATACCTTGGAACATCCAACTATACTTAACGTGACACGATGTCACACTTTTTCGTGCGTGTAGCCGGTGTTCATCGATTTATCACATCAAAACGTCTACTGCGTAAGTTTATTTGTCTACTAGCGGCCGCCCGCGACTTCGTACGCATGGAGTTAGTTAGAAATAAAGGTTCACTGCTCGTTCCCCGTAGGTGATAGCGTGATAATATGTAGCCTATATGTTGACCCGACTTCTTAATAATATTCGTGCCAAATTTGAGGTAAATCCATGCAGTACTTTTTGAGTTTATCCCGGACATACATACAGACAAACAGACAAAAGATCTAAAAACTATATTATTGGCTTCGGTATCGATTGTAGATAACACCCCAAGTATTCTTTTAAAAAATATTCAATGTACAGTTTTGACTTTCCTACCATTTTATTATATGTATAGATAATTTATATCTCACCTGTACACGGCCCCCATAGTGGCCGCCTCGTCGGCATTGATGGAGCGGGCGGGCTCGTGCCCCACCACACTGCGGAGCGCGTCTCGTACTGCGGGCGCACGAGCGGCGCCGCCAGCTAGCACTAGTTTAGCTCCCACCCCGGCTCCCCCTGCCGAACTAATTGCCCTCTGGACCACCCCAGACACGCGGGCCCATAGATCGCTACATAGCTCCTCGAATTCCGAACGGGTCACCTAAAAAATTTTTGCATTTAAAACTCAGTTTAGTCAGCACCTAAGTTAAATCATCTTTAAAAGATAATCATTCTAATCTATATTTCTTCTTCGTCCCTGCTCCTTCCCACTTTATATGGGGTCGGCTCTCCTAATTTTAAGGCGCCAAGACTCTCTGTCTAGTGTTGTCGGATCGGGTAATTTTTCAGCTGTCATTAGCTTCGTCATGCTGGTCCACCAGGTGGCGGGAGGATGCCCTCTGCCTCTTTTATGTTCAAGAATCATACTCATCTATATTTGTTTTAAAACAATCAAAAGGGGGTACAGCAGCCACTCTGACTCTCCCCGCTGAGCTTATAGCTTATTTAACTACCGCAGACGCGCGAGCCCATAGATCGCTACATAAGTCTTCAAGAATTCCGAACATGTCACCTAATAAAAAAATATCATTAAGGACTGTATTTAAACTGAACCAGAATTCTTAAATCTAGAAGCTAATCATATTTAAGCCTGTCTTTTTTCTATCTTGAACCATGGGTCTGCGTTATTATCCGTAGTTCACCTAGGTGTACCAAGAGGCAGAACCAGTCCCCTCAATCCACCCAGGTGAACTTGGACCATGGGCAGGCCTCTGTCACTCCATGTACTTGCACAAGTTAATTACCTACCGAGCGGTTGATCATTGATGATCAAAAAGCGAGTGAACTGTCGCAAGCGCTCGTTATCGCAAGCTCTTCGCTGTGCATTGCGTTGCATCGTATACCATCGTATTATTTGTGTTCTGTGGTTATTATTAAATACTGAAGTTTAATTAAGTCATTAAATATTACGTTATAATCTGCTTTCATTATTATTAAACACTGTAAATAATAAAAGGCCGCATTAGGCCTGGCAGCGTGGTGGACTTTGGCCTTAACTCCTTCATACAAAGGAAAATCTATATTCCAGCAGTGGGGTATTATGGACTAATGAAGATGAAGATTTATAACTTTTAGGTAACATTATAGTCGGAGTTCCATATTATCTTATTGATCATAAACATTTTAGTTTTTCAATTTATACATTCATGTTTATTTACATTACAATTCTTAAACAAGCCATTTAGGTACAAATTACTGTGTGTGAACAATATTATTACCGTACCAGCAGCACTGGCATCGTCTACGATTGCAGCAAAGCCCCGCGCGGCTGCGAATCGATAACAACTCTATAGTCGAGCGTATTCGGCATAATTTAACAAGCAGCGGTCGCCGCGGTGGGATGAATTAGGCTATTATCGCTGTTATACGATTTTTTTAGGGAGTGATTTATTTGTTACGTAGTAACTAATAAAAGCTCTATTTGGACAAAGATGTTAAACAGAATTATGCCTTATTTGAATTAAAAATGTTGCTGCAAGTACCAGAAGTATTTGTTTATTCTTTGTTTGACATGTTCGGATATTATTACAGATGTTGGAATTAATTAAATAGGTACATTGAACATAATATATTCAATGTATTATGAAGTGAGGACATTATAAAACGTAACAGATGGCTATGTTTACCAAACGTGAATAACTGATGAGCAGTAAAAGTTAAATTGTAAGGTTGCTGTTAAATTTCATATTGTGAATGTTTTGAAGGTATAAATTAAATATTACTAGGAAAGGCAACAAATTGATAATTGAAGGAAAATGACATTGTAAGGTTATGGAAAATATAACAATGAAGAATGGCCAAAACTGCAATTTCCCTCAATATGTGCACATGGTAAAATTTTTAATATCACAATCTTGGAAAAAATTAAAACTCCTACTTTTGTTGCCAATTATTTACAGAGCCAGATTTTTGCATTTTCTTAGAATCTTTTCTCCTATTTCTCTAATAGACACTTCAGAAAAGTATTTTTACAGTAAAAAATCATACAAATAATTTGATGTCATCGGCATGACATAAAATCTGTGAAGTTTTATTTTGTTTTTATTTTTACCATTCTCCCTTTTCAGGGAAGGCAAAGGGAACAATGCCCATACATAGCCTAGTCTTAAGTTTTATTAATCTTGTTTTTTTTGCTTTAGAATGTCGGTGTGACTCATTCTAATGTTTCTTGGAGTGTTTGGCACGAAATGTATCGAGTAAGCTTTTTCAATAAGCTTCTGTGAGGTGGTCAACACTACAATAAAGTTCTCATGGCCACTTGACCAGAATAGCGTATATTTTATACTAATTCCACTAATTCTTCAGTTGCGCAGACAGTTGTAACACAAAATCACACCAATTTTATTTCACAATATCTACTATGAATGAATTTATTAAAATAAGACCCCACTTGATGAAATCGTGCCAAAATCTCCTTTTATTTTGTTAATTTGCAAAAAATCTAAGGATTCATTATCATACAGCCCTATCTCAAACCTGATCAGAAAAAAGAACTATTATTTTAGGCCTTTGGTGATTTGTTATTATAAAAATTAGAGCCAAATATGTCATAGTATTTAGGAGTTTGGAATTAATATTGTTTATTAACACAAATAGTTTTTGTGTACATTTATTTTGTAAAACGGAACATTTTCCTTTTGAAGCAGTCTTGAAGTCAATTTTTATACTTCTTTTTTGTATGAGAATAAAAATCATATAAAAATTAAGAAAAATATAATATTACGGGCTAGTGCAAAATAATTATACACGTTAAGGGCAGTATCTTGGCCATGTCCTTTGTATAATACGAAAAATAAGATATCCTGAAACCAGTGGTTCTTAACTTAAGCTTTTAGTAATGAGGGACCATTTATCAAAATTTCTGTCTTGCCACGGACCACCACTTACGATTTACAAATCAATCAGCATTCTTACTTGTGTAATAGTTTTTTTGGTGCTTCCAGGGAGCATGTGGTCTGGACCGGTTAAGTATATGTCTCTTTATAAATGAAGCAATGAAGTCTTACCAATTGTTTAAAATCCTTATCATCAAGCAAACTCTCAATTTGCGCATAATGCTCAGTGTTGGCTGACAACACAACTTTCACTCTCTCAGCTTCCCGGAGCAACTTCTCCATAGCGCGGGGCGAAGCCCTAACATCGCCGCCGCCGTTGGCTTCCCACGCCTTAATTAAATGTTCACGAAGGCGCAGTGTCATCTCATGACCACCAAGAGTCCTGCAATTTCAAATAAATTAAAAAAAATATATAAAGAATAAACATTTTTAAGCTAAGACTTATTTATGGTAAACATTTAAATAAATAATTTAAATATTTAGTAATTTTTTTTTTGTTTATTCCAAAACAACTTATGAAGGTTATTATATTTTTAAGCATTTAACTGCCAGCTTTATAAATATTAAGAAAATTTTTACTAGAAAATTATCCACTTGGTCCAGGGTTTTAGACAAGATTTAAACCTGCACTATCTGCAATCCAGCCGATTCCTCTCTGAAACTTGGACTGTGAGGAACAATTTATGAAGTTTAACAGCACTGCTATTCCGTACAAAAAAAAACACTTTAAAATGAATAATAATTATGTGGAATTAAACAAATAAAAAAAATGGTAATAAAACAAAATTCTCAAATTATTATTATTAACTAATTTTTAATATAAATTATTAAAAAGTTAAATTATTAACTAATGTGTCCTAACACACAATAAAACAGATAAGAAGAATAAAAAATATTTACTCCATAAATAAATTATTCCTGGAAAATGTACGTCATCGGAATATAATAAATTCTGTAAATTGATCAACTTTCGTAAGAATATAAACGAGAGATAAAATGTATTATCTTATGGGAACATTTGCGTAAATTGATAAATTTAGGGCGCGTTTGTATGACACAAAATGTCACAGCGTGGCAGCCGCGCGGTGACAGTACGGCGACCGACGGAGCGGAGGTCGCGCGGTCACCGCCCGGTGGCCCCGCCACTGCTAACTCGATTCATTTGCAGTTGATCTTGGTCTTTCTTAAAATTCACACGAATTCGTTATGGGCTATTTGACTAAGAATAAGACAATTATGATTGCATATTACTTGTACCGACAAAGCAAAAAAGAAGAAAAAAACAAATGTAGAATATTTTGGTTTCATCCTATTTTAGCATGGCGAGAAGAGTTTGGTGAATTTCATATGCTATACAGCCAACTGCGAGAATACGAAAAACAAATCGCAGATTATTTCTTCGAATGGATGTTAAAACATTTGATACATCATTTGATTCACATCACACAAAACATTTGATGTTAAAACATTAGCGTGATTCGAGCGAGGCGGCCGCGCGGCGGCCGTTTGATCGAGGAGCGGACGTCGCAAACATAAATAAAACATAAATTTGCTATGACAACAGTTATTACGCTGCAGAATTTTTTCGCGCCATCTAACTGCAGCCTTACCGAGCTTCGCCGTAAAATAATACGTTAGTATCTAACGTATTATTTTTTAATTTTCGTTCGGTCCATTCCGACTTTTCACTAGTTTGGTCATAAAGCCACAAAAGTTTTATAGTGGACATGACCAAACCAGTGAAAAGTCAGAATGGACCGAACAAAAATTAAAAATGAGACGAATGTATTATAGGATATAATTGTACTTCCAGGGCCCAAGAGGTGATACTTGTTTTTTTTTTGTAGAAGTCTCTTTTAACTGAGTTTTTTTCTGGCTCTCGCTGGTCGCTACCGCGGCACGCTCGCTTTGCTCGCTCGGCTCGCGCGTTTTGGTCACAACACTAACCTAACCTAGTCTAAAGTATCACCGCTTGGGCCCTGGAAGTACAGTTTAGCTTTATAGGCACTTATACATTCGTCTTGTGTATGAAAATATTTGCACTTGTCTGATTGTACCTAAGTCTATGGTGGCAAGCACCGAAGTCGCGAACGGCGACCAATCAGAAAGCTGTGTATTATTTTACGGAAATTTAAATGATATAAAATTAAACTGTTCTGGGATTGGTTACAGTACTTAAAATTTTTAAATAGATCTTGAAATTTTAAGTTAGTTAATCAATTTACCGCAAGACGTCGTAAATTAAACAATTTACGAAAATGTTCCCGTATAATAATACATTTTATCTCTCCTTTACTATCTTACGAAAGTTGATCAATTTACTAGGAAATTGATAAACTTACAGAATGGATTATATTCCGGTGACATATACAATATTGACAAACCTGTCAAAGCCAACTCCTAATACTTGCAACTGTGGCACTGTCTCAACATAGCCTCTCTCCTTTATCTTAACAGTTTTGTACTCCACAAGGGCAGCTTTAGTTGAGGCTGCTCCCATATCAAAGAACAATGCATGCCATGCTGTTTCATTGATTTCCTAAAAGAAGAAACAAAACTTAACAGAATGTTGTCAGTAAGTAATATTGACTGCACTATTCTGCCGTCCTAGTGAAGATTGCAGTAGACATGATTTTGAGTAAATTGTTTTTTAAATGTTATTTTAAAAGCTATTTTCTTAAAATCATGTCACTTTCGGTGCATTCTCTAAACCTTAAATAAAATTGGATAACAGTGTATCCTTGTCATTCTCAATACAGAATGAAAAGAAGAGCCTGATGTTAATTTTAGTTTTATGTTAAGAGAATCATGCCAGAATTGACACCATTATTTACCCAAAAGAAAAGTATGGATGATGTAAGATCACTCAATCAAACTGAACAGCTACATTGCTAGAGGACTTCAATAGACTATCAAAGCAGATCCCGCCTTTAGCCCAGGTGTATTTTGAAAATAGCTCTATTCTTATTTGTTCTATATGGGCACAATAAGTTACGAAATGTATTGTCAGAATTATCTTTCAATACACGGAACAACCTATTTACTTAAGTTTTATTAAAAATCACGTAGATGACTACAGCATAGGTTGTTTAATTGGAAAAAATATGATTAAACTAATTTTGTCTTTAATTGTTTTATTTTATGGTATCCATGAAGAAATTATATTGATTTGTGATTTAAATAAATATATTAATACTACAGTCAGATATATATGAAAACAGAAGAGTTTATCATAAATTATCACTTCTAATAGATATGTCAGTTTTAAAGGGTCTTACCTTCCTTCGGAATATGCCATAATTGATAGCAATACCAGTGTAATCATTGATGAGCTGTAAGACATTGAGTCCAGCAAGAGCAGCTGCTTCCTTCATTGCACGGCGCTCAGCTTGATTAAAGTATCCAGGGACAGTTATAACACATTCACTGATTTGTTGACCTGAGAAATAGTATAGACAGGTTTATTCATGGGTGGATTACTAGGGAATTAACATTTTAATAATTTTTAAATTTGAACTTGGTCTGATTCTTAACTTTATACTAAAAAACTATAATTTGACAACAGTCTCTCCTTATCATTCTGTAAAGAATTTAAAAAATGTACACTGTTGTCAAATTTAACTAAAGTTAAAAGAATCATGTCAGAATCAGGCCCAATAGGTGTTATATAAAATGATGCTCACCTTGGCTGACCTCAGCAAACTCTTTAGCTTTGGCTAACAACTGAGCAACTAACTCTTCAGGAGTAAATCTTGTTTTCTCGTCATGAACAAACTCTGGTGTGCCACGCTCTGATGGCACTATCTCATAATAAGGATACCTTTGCCTATAAGAAAATTTTATCACAATAAAATTAAAGATTTTTAAAACCTTTAATTAACTAAAACCAATGGTCAAATGTATGGCACACTATCTCATTTCATATTTTGATTATAATGACATTCTAATATAAAAGAACCACAACATAAAAAAATATTAAATTTAATTTAAAGTAGGAATTGAGGTTATTTAGGTAACATAAAGGTGGCCTAACAAGGAAGGATGGATTCAATGAAACTGCAGGACCTCTCTTGACAAAATTATTTGCCAATATATACAAGGAAATAATGATTTTCCAGGGAGAAAGTCTGCTCAAGTTATTAGAAAAGTCTATAAAAAAATTCACAATTGAACATAGTAAGTAGTATCATTTACTGACCTGTATGCCTGCACCATGGGATGATCATATGGTTTCCCAAGCAAATCTAATAAGTATTTGTAAGAATTTTTGGGAAATCTGACACCGACAGTAACGGCGTCTTCCCCAAAGGTTCGTACACCATCTCTGAACGCAACAACAGCTGGTGACTTCCTTTTGGACTCTTTGTTCAACACAATTTCCATCGGAACACCAGGTGACACAATACCGATTTTCATCCATTCTGAACCGTAATCGATAGATATAACTGCGGCTGCATCCGTCCTTGGAATTAACAATAAGTGTAACAAAACGGTACATAGCACCCCGTACATGTTCTGTAACGAATAAAAAACCGGGATATAATGCTGCAGAATACACATCAGCGGATCGGGCTTGAAGTTGTCACATAGGTCACTGTTCTATGAAAAACTATGCACTTACAAAATTAATGGCCATCTTAATTCAAGAAATGTTCTTAAATGCATATAAATTATCAAACTAGCGACGTTACATGTGAAGAAACTAAATAATTCTACTTTATTTTCTCGTCAAAGTGGGCCAGCTACTTTAGTCCACGTCAAGTTTAACGTGTTTTGTTCTTTTTGGTCGACGATCGCGTCGTTATCTGTGGTCGATGATGACGTTGTTGCCATACGATGCATAAAGCCCACCATTCACTACACGCACCGCGAGCCGAACCCCGAGCCGTACCCATTTGTGGACAAATCCGTCATAGCCCACACACTACACGAGCGCCGAGTTGCAGTCCAGTCGCTTGTGTACTTTGGTGAGCCTCGCGCGTATCGTTCTTCCCTACCCTACCATGCCACCGGTGCTTTCCAAACGCACAAAAGTCGCTTTAGTAGTCGGTGCAATACTTTTAACGGAGAAAAAAAAAGAAAAATCGCGTCTGGACAAAGGAACGGCTGAAATAATGAACAAAATATACTCTGTTTCTCTTTAATTTTCTCGTTAAACAGCAGGATAAATTCTTGCCAATACTCTTTATGATTGTCGAACGACATTATAAATAACATAGAGCTTTGTGCGTATATTATTTATTTAAGGAAAATTATCACAACGTTACATGACATTAGTTTTTCTTCATACATCACGAATTCTTAAGTGACAATGTCAAGTGACCATAACTAACACCTCCTCTCAATGTTAAATTGCAAACAATTTGATATTGCTAATAGTTATTAATATTTACATACTTAAACAAACAAAGCCTCCTCTCAAATAAAAATCATAACATAAAATTACCACTAACTACTTAACTCAATTTATTAACAGCACCTATAACTTAACACCAAATTAGAACAACCTATATATAACACTTATTGACGTGACAACGTCTTAAATTAGGTTGCGGCTGGGAGTCACTTATGAAAAAGTGTAACGCTCGGTAACGTTACGATGAGTCTCTCGTGTTAAGTTTAAGTTTACATGTACAATGTTTTAGTAAACAAAATATATTTCTATAGTTAAAATTTGTGCAATTCTTATTTTCATTCAATTCCTTGTTCCTATTGTGCAATTTAATTATATTCATATCAATAAATATTCTACCGAGAAAAAGACGTTGTCACGTAAAATCTTCGCCCGTAAAACCGACTTTACAGGCAACCATTTTTTTTACTCAACTCTTAACTTTCTAACAAAGTAGGCATGCTTTACAGAATTGAGAGGTTTTGTAAATATATCCGCTACATTATCATTAGTACAAACATGACATTCTAAATTTCTTTTGGATAAAAGCCTCTTTGACAAAATGGAACTTTATATCGATATGCTTAGTGCGTTTGCTGTTTTCATTACACTCTATCATGCGAATTTGACTATCTATGAGCAGATAGGTGTGAACATCCTTACACTTAAATGTGTTGAGAATACCTTGCAGATATATTATCTCAGCCGTTGTTGTTGCTCCCGCTATATATTCCGCTTCTGCAGACGATAGAGAAACGGTGTTCTGCTTTTTGGTAAACCAAGAAATAAGATTACCCGAATAGAATATAGCACATCCGCTCACACTTTTTCTATCGGCTTTGTCGGATGCCCAATCTGCGTCACTCTATGCTACGAGCTTATTTTTATCATCCACTCCTTGTGTGTATAGCAGACCTTTAGTAGATGTAGACTTTAGGTATCGAAGTACACGCTTTGCTACTGTCCATATAGATCTTGTAGGTTTATCTAAGTATTTACTGAGAAACGAAACTGCAAATGTTATATCTGGACGAGTAGTAGTTGATATATACGTAAGACATCCTATAAGCTCTCTGTTAGGCACATCATTTATCTTTTCTTCTTCTAAATTTATGTTAGCTTCCATGGGTGTTAATGCTCCCTTACAATCTTCCATTCCAAACCTTGATAATACCTTCTTCACTAGGTTTTCTTGTTTAATTGCCAATTCTCCTTCTTTCCTTGATATTTCCATTCCTAAATATTCACTGATATCTCCCATCTCCTTCACGTTGAATTCTTTTTTTAGTTCACTTATTATTGGTTCATAATCTCCCATCACAATAATGTCATCTACCCAGATAAGTATCCACGTTTTTGAACTTGTGTACAGACAAAAATCATATTTGGAGCTTTCGAAATTTTGGGAAATAATAAAGTTATGAAATCTTTTTGGTGCTTCTTTAAGACCATACAATGAACGTTTCAATTTAAGGACCTTATTTTTATTAATCTTTACTCCTTTTGGTGGTTTTATATACACTTCCTCTGATAAATGTCCGTTCAACAATGCTGTGGGTACGTCAAGTTGTTTCATAGGTAAGTTTTCTTGCACTGCTAAACAAAACATCATCCTTAATGTAGACAGCCTAGCAACAGGGGAGTAAACATTATATCTATTTTCTGTTTGAAAACCCTTAGCCACTAATCTAGCTTTCTTCTTTCCTCCTTGTTTTGTTCGAAAAACCCACTTGGTATCAATAGCTTTTTTCCCTTTTGGTAATGTTGCTTCTTCCCATGTATCTAACTGTTTCAAAGAATTAAGTTCACTCTCAATCGCATCTTGCCATTCCTTTCCTCCTTCAATTGCTTCTTCATACGTTTGAGGATCTGTCATTAAACAATAAGCAATATTACTTTCATATTCATTTACTACGTCTTCGTCATAATCGTAATCTCGTAGATACGTTGGTGTTTTACAAATTCTTCCAGATCTAGTTTTCTTTAATTCTTCAATTTCTGTTTCACATTCATTGACACTTTCTTCAGTTCTCTCTTCTACAATTTTTTTATCATTTTCTTCTCTATCTTGTTCATGTGAAGTTCCTTCCTTACTTATCTCTTCTGTTTCTTCTACTTTTTCTTCCTCAGTCCATATTGTGTCTTCTTTCTTATTATCTTTACTTTCCTTAAATGTCACATCACTCTCATCAAAACGAACATCACGCGATTCTACGATTTGATTATTCATTGGATTCCATAGACGATAACCATTGTTTGAATAACCTACCATTCGTAACTCTCGACCTCTTTGCTCAAATTTGGATCTCCTTGGTAAAATTACAGCCCACGTTTTACTTCCGAATGCACGTAATCTGCTAAGAACATTGCTGCCTAAAAACAATTCGGCTGGTGTCCTGAAATTTATTGTCGATGAAGGACATCTGTTGATTTGATATGTTGACGCCATTATTGCCTCATTCCATAGGTGTTTAGGTAAACATGACTCTACCATTAGGGTTCTAGCTCTGTCATACAGTGTTCGATTCATGCGTTCAGAGACTCCGTTTTGTTATGGTGAGTATGGTTGCGTGTATTTTATATCTATACCTTTATATTTGCAAAAATGTTCTAAAGTATTGTTTCTAAATTCCTTTCCGTTGTCGCATATAATCTTCTTAACTATGGCCCTATACTGTGTTTCAATTTTGTTTATATAATTTATCAAATTGTTTGTTGCCTCTCCTTTGTGCTTGAGTAGACTTACCACTAAAAACTGCGAATAATCATCAATTATTACTTGATAGTACAGATGTCCGTATATTCCGGGAATATTCACTGGTCCTGCTATGTCAGTGTGAATCAATTCACCTATAGCTCGAGATCTTGGTCTTGATACTGGAACAAAAGGCAATCTAGTAGCTTTACCTTGCATGCATGGTCCATATACCTCATTGCTTACGGGAAGTTTGAGTATCTTCAACCCACGTCGGTTAAGATGTCCTAAGAGCCTATGCCATAGATAGTCAGAGTTAGTTCCTGCACTAAGAGCAAGTTCTGTATTTAGAGTGAATAATTTACCCTGCTTTAGACCAACTAGAAATTTACCAGACCTCCTATCATTTATATAAACTTTATCTTTGTTAAAATTAACAGTATAACCATTTTCTAGGAATTTTATTTACAGATAATAAGTTAAATTTTAAGTTTTTCACAATTAACGCTTTAAGAGCTGTAATATGACCATTGGCCAACAATTTAACTTCACCTACCTTTTTAGCTATAAGAAAATCTCCATTAGCAATATGAATCTTCACCTCTTTTTCTAAATTTTCGATGTTACTCATACTATTCTTAAATTTATCCTGAACAAGATGATCCGTACAACCTGAGTCGATTACCCATTCTATCTCTCCGACTTTGTACGACGTATTGCAGTATTCTGTTGAAGTGATGAAGCTGAAAGCGGTGGTAGCTGCTAAAGAATCCTGTCTCGTTTCATACTTGTGGTGACCTCTACCACGTTGATTCGTCTGACGTCTGCTATATCTACCTCGATCTCTGCCTCTGCACTGTGATGCTATATGTCCGTGCTTGTTACATCGATAGCATGTGATGAAAGCTGCGTCATCTGATTTGGAGTTTTCATTTGAATTTGCCATTGTCATGTTCAGTTCCTCGTCTAATAGTCTTGATTTAACAAATTCTAGTTTTAGGTTTTCATTGCTCAATGTTTCGATCGCTGTAATTACATTATCATATTTTTCACTTAATCCAATCAACAAGTAACATATTTTATCCATCTCACTAATCTTTTCATCGGCGCACTGTAGCTCTCTGACTATATCATCGAATCTCGAAAAATATTCTTCTAATCTTTCCGTATTACTATGTTTTATATTTAATAATTTTCTTCTGAAGTGAATTTTCGTTATGACACTTTTTCTATGAAATGTATCATTTATTCTTTCTAACATTTGGAAGGCCGTAGCGCAGTCTTTAATAATGTTCAAATATTTGTCTGGCAAACAATGTACGATAGTATTTTTGACTTTTGCATCTTTAGTCGAAAAATCAGAACTTTTTGTTTCTGTATCATTTATTATTTCATTTAGACCTTTTTCTTCTAATATGCAACGTACTCTAAAAAGCCAATTGTTGTAATTGTCAGCATGTAGCTGCGGAAAATTTGTCGTACTAGCAGCCATTTTCTTTTTTCACAAATTCTGTTCTACTTTTTCGATAAATAATATTTATTTATTTTCTTTATCTCATTTCATTCTTTTCTGCACTTTTATGGGTGATGCGGCCCATAACCTATTAATAATATAGAGCTTTGTGCGCATATTATTTATTTAAGGAAAATTATCACAACGTTACATGACATTAGTTTTTCTTCATACATCACGAATTCTTAAGTGACAATGTCAAGTGACCATAACTAACAGACATGTTACTATACTCGTTCGTGATGCAAAAAAACACAATTGTCGCCAGCGACAAGTCCGGTGGATAGGCGCATAAATAGTAGAGATGGGCGTTTTTAGATATTTGTGAAATCGATGCGCATCGGTATCAGATAACTCGCATCGGATCCGCGCACCGATGCCGGCATCGTATCGATGCGAAGTGAATGTCAGTCAGTATCATAGTATCACAAACTTTTCAGTGCCGGTGGCAAAAATTGGAACTACAATTTATCCATAGCATTGTGACATTTTTATGACATATTTGTTCACCGCTAGCGACATCTTGACCGGCACAGATAAGTTTGTGGCACTATTGCTATCGTAACGTTGACAAAAACTAGATGGCATCGGCATCTAATGAAGCGCATCCAGTCGCATTGGTTTTAGGTTTAGAGAATCATGCTAGAATCGACACCATTATTGTATTGTTTAAAATTCATAATGTAAAAACACGAATTAATAATATTGCGTGTTTTCGTTTTATTCAATCTTTAAAATCAGCAACTTTTTGCAATATTGATTAAAAAAATCCGAGGCCTACTCTAATTCAACGAAAAACAAAATTTCCATCGAAACTTCGCACTTTTCTTACTATGTTTCTGGTTCGTTTTTAATTATAATAATATTCGTCGTTGGAATATAGGTTGAAGTGTAGATTTTCTAAGCCTACTCAAAGAAAGCCTCAATTTGATAGTTTATCGTTCAAATTAAGTATAATCATAAATTGCCGAAATTAAATTTCGTTTGAACTTAGTTATCGAAAGTTCGTTTCGAAGAAAGAGAGTAGAGCCCCTGAATGTGATTCGTATCCATGAAGGTGTATTCGTATCCGATTATATAGGATTTTCTTCGATAATAGGTTGACTTTTTGTGTCACTATCGCAATGTGTCAAAAGGGCCATCATAGCGTACCGCTCACAGACATATAATATGTCTGTGGTACCGCTACACCATTGTCCAAAAAGTTCGGTGTGAGTATTAATTATATGGGCATATCTATGGTTATATTCTTATATTCTAAACTGTCAAAAACCAGAATAGACAAAAGAGTAGCGTGGCGTCCGATTTGAGTCCGATTTACAAAATCATATGTTTATTTATGTAGGTTACTCTCTTGCTTATGGTTTGATTGGGTGTTGAGGAGATGTTTGTTGCGTGTTGATTTGGTTTCAAGTACTGAGGTCGCGGAATGCCGTTTGTTGTTAAAACATTTTTAGCAGTGCCTAATTGAAAGCATCAACAAAGGTAAGTAGTTTTAAACGCAACAATATTTTAGTTGTAGTTTCCATTTTCCTCTTTCGAGACGCAGTTTTTAAGTCCCACTTTGCAAGTGTTGGTATTTATTGTAAGTTATTACGCATTTTGGATTTTGCTCCCTTTAATCAGCGTGATGAGGTGAATATCGTATTATTGCACCCGCACATTGCCTTTGCATGCAGAGTGAAGTATCGTTTACATGCGGATCTAAAAATGTGACAAGACGCGCATGGGGGCAGCATAGTCGTATTCGGTGGCGCTCCTTCTAAATATGGAACGGGTGTTAGTCAAGTATTGTGGCGCCCTGCGCGTGGCAGCGGGATCGTCCCTCTGTCCCTATAGTTATATAATGTCCCTTCGATGACCCGAGCACGTGCATATGGGATTGCACGCGCGCGGTTCCACGTCGGAAGCACGACGCAATCGCGCACGCGGTGCGTCGCGCTGGCCCGAACCTCAGTTTCCTAGCAACACGGTGTTGACGCCACTGCTGACCCAATGAATACAAAAACATAATTGTGATAAATTGTTGTTACATCACCATAATCAAAAGTTCGTGTCGTATTTTTTCCTGCTTACCTTGTTGTGCAGTTAACACTATAGGTAATATGTTTATGATCTATGTACTAGGGTGTTACCTCACCTATGGAGTATGTTATTGCTTAAATGAATTTTGTTCTATTATCCTCATCCTTTGTCCTCATATAATCTTCTATTAGAAACTTTGTTCAATAGTTATTTTTATATCAAGGGAAAGAATTTTTATGGGGATTAGAGTGACCTATTTCACTGCATGGTTAGTACTTTTAATTCCATAATTTACCACTAGCTGAAAGATAATGTATTATTTAGAATTCAAGTAGCTATATAGTTTTGAAAGCTATTTAAATCACAATCTTATTAGAAATTACCATCATAATTTTTAAAAGGCAAAATTGAAGTTAATATTTCAAGTAAAATTTATATCTCAAATATCAAGGCTGAGGTTGATCTTGATAAATGATAAGTTTCTTGCTTTTATATTGAGGACTAATTAAATTGAAGATTAAATATATTGGTCCGAAATTTTAGGCTAGAGTAAACTTTTTTTCTATTTATTGACTTTATGTCCTACCTAAAAGTACATGTCAGTCTCAATCCTATTGAATCTTAATATACATAACATAGAGAAAACAGAACATCATTAAAAAAATACTGCTTTTTTATCAAAATTATTTTTTATTAATGTTTTTTAGTAAAAATCACAATATGTATGGTGGAGCTTACTAGAGAGTAAATTTGGTTTCCTCTTATACTGAAGATGGGCATCACACATTAAAATAACAACATTTTCCTTAACTACTACATGCCAACTGAAACATACAATAAGGGTTAATTATAGAATATCAGACCTAATTAATTAGGGTCACTGACAGCAACATTCTATAATTAAATTTAAACTAAATTCAGTTTAGTTAGTCAACTGTTTTAGATAGTAAAACTGGAATGAGGAACATGATTATGTTTTTAATTTAATGTAAGAATTTTAGTGCAAGTAAAAGTTTTTCGAAGATTAATTACTTTCTGAATATGTGATGTTATAAGTTAATATTTTTATTTTCTTGTATTATACTTTTTCTTGTATCTCTCTAAATGTTATGTTATGTTGGAATGCAGCTGATATGATGAATAAGAATGGTTAAAAGGTGGAGTTAACACTAAAAGCATCCTCTACCACTAGTGAATTATGCTCTTTTGATGAATCATTTAATGATCAAATGAACTTACCAAAGTGAAGTTCAATCTGAATTATCCTGTGAATCGCCAAAGATATTTATTTTTCTTTACTTTGTAGTACCATCAGGATGACTAGCCATTTTGCATTTGTAGAGTTGCTCCGCAACAGCATTATTCTACATCTGTGAGTGTCACAACTGAGTTCAAGGGTTGTGACAATGTTGTGAATACTTAGAGCGTCATCTGTTGTAAACACCAAAAGTTGCAGCATTCATTTGTTTAGAAATGTTACCACTTGCATTTCAAGATTTTGGTTGCTTTAAAACTTTACTGGAACTTGATGGCAAACTGCATTTTCTCATAGTCTCATTGTAATTGAATTCATCTCTGGCTTGTCTTTTATATCTATGTATAACTTAAACAAGCTATATACTAGATATAACTCGCAAGTAGCGGGGCATGATTATGAATAGCTCTTACCCCCCAGTCACTACTTTAAACTTTACTGTGTTGTAGAAACGGATTCGCGCACGCGGTGTGCGCCGGCGTCTGTCGACGCGTTGACTTTCTTGACACCCACGCGTTGAGTAGACAAATTGACGAAAACATTATTGTGCTGAACAAATTTTCGTGCTTGTGAGTGAAGGAAGGTTCTACAACCAATAATGATATCAATATAGACGGACCGCGCCTCTCCGATTTCTTGACATGAAGGATATCTATAGTAGGCGTCAAATCCTCCTGGTAAGCATTACGTTTGTATTTGTTATACATAAGGGGTTACACGCAATTGCAAGACCAAAAAATTACATTTCTTTTTGATTTTTTTCTGAATAGGTATTTCATTTGACAAATTTAAGGGTATTCAATAAAAAGACGTGTCTGGTGGTGAGCAACATATCCCACTTTGCTTTATCTGAAATTACAAAAACCATAATATTCTATTAGTGGATAAATAAATCTAGGTATTGATTGATGGAATAGACAAAATTTTTACTTTTGAAAAAATTATAGCTCTGAAAAGAAAATAAATCCAATTTTCGACCAAATTGTTTTTAAAAATAGGTATGATTATCACATTTATTCCTTCGATCAATCCTAGAAGAATATATCTAAGAAGGTTGTGTTAATATTTCAGACCGATTGGTTGAGCCGTGTTTGAGAAATTGTGCTCATGGACATTGAAAAAACCATTTTGAGAAAAACATATTTAGAGTTTCAAAACACGTGTATCGCCAAGAATAATTGCCAGATTAATTTGAAATTTTCAGAGAATATACTCAAATATATATATGCATTCCGAAAATGCTATATTTTTTTTGTTTTTTTAGCTTTTTATATGTGAATAGCCCCTTAATAAAATGCAACCAAATCGACGAGTCTTGCACGCGATATTAGTTAAGATTTAAAAACACCACGCAATCAACCAGGAGGTTCCACATCTTAAAAATCATACAATACAATACATCGGTTAATATCCAAACTATTACGTATTAAAAATACACAATTATAGTTTATTCCGATGTCCTATCTACATTTTACAGCAAATCTAATTCTGATTAGGATTTACTTCGAATCTTGTTACTGTAAGTACTTGAGCATTCTAAAATTATGTATGATTAACCGAAGAGTTTGTGAGAATTAAACGGTTAGCACCGTGAAATGTTTCATCTCGCGTGTTGAAAGAACAGAAGTGTCGGTCACTATGTCAACTATCGCATTTCTTTAAAAATATCACGCGACCGCGACCATGTTTAACTATACACACGCGTGCATGACGTTACGGCTACGCGCCACGCCGAGATAACGCACGCTAAATCATCAGGAATTCTTCAAGAATTCTGTAACTACACGGACGTATATGCGTCCACTAGCAAGCGCCAGCTACTTTTTATTTTTTTATTAATCCCACAGGAACTTCACTTCTGTCCAGGATAAAAAGTATCCTATATCTAAATCCAGGTCATAAAATATATGCATACCAAATTTCATCCAAATCCGTGCAGTAGTTTAAAGCGTAATTGAGTGACATACAAACTTACTTTCGCATTTTTAATATAAGTTAGGTACACATTAGCTAAAAGAAATAACTAGACTAAAATATCCTCCTTACAAGAAAAGAATGTCCTTTGATTGGTCTCAAACCTTATAGTAAAAATAGAGAAGTTAGCTAAGTATAAATAATTATGCATCTTTCAGACAGATTATAGAAATTGGATAAAAACCGAACAATGTGGTCTTTATTTCGAGGGTTTACTTTTAACTTGTCTAATATATAAAATTCTCCTGTCACGGTGTGCGTAATTGAACTACTCCGAAACGGCTCGACCGATTTTCGTGAAATTTTATATGCATATTCAGTAGGTCTGAGAATCGAACACATCTATTTTTCTTCCTCCTAAATGTTTTTTACTTTGGACAATATTTTTTGTTTTTATTTTTTTATGATACATCATACAAAAATACATACAACCCTTAACTTTCACCCTTCTACCACCAACCCCTATTTTTTTATGGCGGTACGATGTTCGCTGGGACAGCTAGTCTTCTAATGGAATTTTATGACGGGCTAATATTACCAAGCTAGAGCCAACCAAGTGTTATTTTTCTGTCACTCTTAGATTTTTTTCTACAATTTTAAGATTTATTTTGAATCACTTATCTAACCTGTTTCATACTTACCTATTGAAAACGTATTAGCAGGGAGCTCGACTGTTTATGTTATTGTGTTTTGGTTTGGCGTCAATTTTTAATGTTGTTAAACAAGACAATTTGAATATAATATAACAACGCAGCCGCGATCTTAGTTTATTTAGTGGTAGTGCCCTGCCTCGTCAAGGTCACTTTAGGTGATTGTACCAGGCGGTACGTTTGACACGATAAATATTATATCAATAATTCGGTGATTTCGCGTCAGAGCAACACAGCTCCCCCTCTGGCCGCGTTGCTCTATTTTTCACCTACAATAAGAAACTTTTTTTTAAATAATTAAAACGAAAACTTCTTTTCGTAAGAATTGTTTTACTGAGGTTACCTATTCGTTATTTTCAATCGTTTCCGTGGATCTATTTAGCCCAAGGTCGGATGTTTGTAGCGTGGTGCACTAAACGCACTAAAAGATCCTATTCAATTCAATTCCTAGACAACAACTAGCGGCCATGTTCGAGCAATATCAACGATAAGTTTTTAATGTTCTATTTATGAATACTACTACTAACTGGTATCAGATTTTATACTTGATAAGTAAAATATCCAAACATTCGACTAATAGGATTAAAGCGCCAAGTGTCTCGCTCGGTTCCAATTTAAGGTTTCTATATTTTCTATTTTAATCTAGCCAAGTCTACTTTAGCAATACCTCAGATCAAATATAAACGGTATACATGAGGCCGTTGAAGTAAAGTTAAATCTCCGAAAGGTTAATTTGTCAATCGTAATTCGATTAAGTAAATTGAGTAACTTACTTTTAATTAAGTTAAGGAAGCTGATAATTCTGCGAGTAAGAAAGTTAAAGTTCAGTGTTGTGCTTAATCAATACGACCGTGACAGGAATTCAATGATAACAAAGATTAAAGTAATATTATTATAATTTAATATAATTCAATATTATCTATCTTTACAATCAAATTAGCACAATTATTCGCCTGTTTTGACATTGACCAATGTCTACGTTACACAAACCGACGATAATTCGGTAATAAAAATACTGCTACAGCTCTATCCGCAGTAACGAAAGGCTTATTTGAGTTCAGTTACCAAGCAATAGTTGAATTAGTAGAAACTAGTGGGCCCGCCCTCGCTTCGTTTCGGTGTAGAGCTGTAGTGTAGATTTTGTTCTCAGATTTGTATTATACACAATGAATTTCTTTATTAAGTAATTATAAACCTTCCATAAAAATTTATTTAACTGATAGTGAAAATTTTGTTACGTAGTTCAGGACCCGTTGTACCGAATGCACCAATTTTTTGGTTGAACGCTCAAATCTCAGGAACTAATGGTCCGATTTGAAATAATCTTTTTGTGTTAGATAGTGCATTTATCGAGAAAGGCTTAAGGTTATATAATTTTTCGCTGCGACCAGAAGGAGCTGAGTATAAAATATTATATATTAGTACGGGTAAAAAATATTTTTTGAGAGATTTCGTTGCGTGCGCAATGATTAAAGTTACACAAAAAATCATGTATGAAGGAATCGTTTCCCGTAAAAAGTCCGCGACAGCATATACCCGTCTTTTATTTCTGACTAACTAACTAACCTTTTTCCTCAAATTAACGCGGATGAATCCGCAGGGGAGCTGTAGTTGTGACAAAACTTTAATATAGTTAGACATATGATATCGCTCGCTTTTTTGTAGATTTTGAAACTAAAACTTAAAACTTTATTGCATCACTTTGCTCTATTGTCAATAACTTCCGCAGCGTAAGGTTATTTTTTTGGCATTTTTTTCAAACCCTGGGTTACATTATCGAATTTTTCATAAGGAACCCTAACTTTTTTGAAAATACTCTATAGCCTATGTTCATCAGGGAATATGTAGGATTCTAAATGTGTAAGAAAATTTTCAAATCGGTCCAGTAGTTTCGAAGAATACAAACAAACAATCAAATCTTTCCTCTTTATAATATAAGTATAGATATATAATATCACTATATCAATTATATTTCGGTAAGATAATTTCTTATTGTGAATGGTCATATAATAGCAACATAAAACGTGACAACCAGTGTCATTGTCTCGCCAGCATCTTATGCCTATACTTCCGAAAAATATATTAAAGAGGCGCGTGGTTATAAATAAATACTCTGCGGCTTAGTTGCAAAATTAGAGGTGAACTAGTTCCGAGCTGATGACATACTGAACTTTAATTACGGTTCCGTAATGATAATGTTAATGAACGCATTAACTAGTCTAGTCCCCAGTACCACATAAAGCAGCCAATTTTCTCGTAAAATCGAGTTTCAGGTGTAATTCCAAAGGTCCGACTTGTATACTGTATACATTTTTATACATCTCATCTGAGCTCGATGGCTCAGCGGCTAGAGCTTTTGGTTTGAAGTTTGAACTTCCATGATTTCAAAACAAAGTGTCCAGTCTCTCTGTCCATAAGAAAGCCCAAAATCCTGAGTTCCAGCATTAGAGGTGATGATGAAGTATATATTTTAAACAGAGATGGTGTTGATGCGTGGTGAACGCCGTGGCTCCCCTCCATGCTCAGTGGCTAGTTCTTTTGGTTTGCAATTACGGAAGATAAGTAACTTTGTGCCCGGTCATCGAGTGCATGACCGACCATTTACTTACAATCCAGAGCTCCCCCGTATTTCCAACCCGTTGGTTGGCTGCATTTGCAGTATGTACTTAGCAACTTAAAATGTTGGATTATGATTTGTTCTCTCTAACCATAGAAAAAACCTGAGCTCTCACAATGGAGATATTAATAGGATGATTATTAAGCATATCTTCTGCATGCTTAGTTGCCTGCTTTTTTGGTTTGCAAAAACGGAAGTTGAACGACTTCAAGAGCGGACGCGAACTGAGAGACTACTACGCGAAATGAGTTGGAGATTTTTTTTTGTAAATGCTTATTGAATCTCCACACTAGACGTCTTTAGTGGTGATAAAAAAATATTTATTTTTGGCATTTTTGAGGGCTGCCAGTTTCTTTGAAACACAAATTATCGAAAAAAGGAAGCCATATGAGTGTAGAATCATTTCTTTAGTGATAAAAATCAAGGAGGAATCAGTCGAGAACTTTGTATGGAAAAAAAAATGCCCTTTTCCCCCTTAATTACAGGTGGTGATCGGATGGCTGCCCGTACATTTACTATTCAGAGCTCTTCTTCCTAAGCTGTTGGAGCCAGCTGCAATCACAGGACTTTATACCCATAATAGATTATACCTGGTTCTCTCTGTTGATAGGAAAGGCCAGAACCCCAGCGTAGGAGATGATTAGTGAATATGAAAATGATGATGCATAACTTTTGTACACAGATGGCGCCGATGCGCGGAGAGCGCGGCGGTTCCCCAGCTCGTGGAGCCCGAGCGTCCCTACCTTTACCGCGGAAGCTAATCAGGCAGATCGCACGGCATGTGGCTTCAAGTGGACGCTCGCTGCGACGCCTGGAGGTGTCCGGACGCATCATAGATAACTTCGACGACATCGACGATGCCTCGGACGAGTCGGATATGGAGGTGCCACAACCCACGTGAGTCACAAATGCACCGATACAGGATAAAGACGGGACTACGGAAGCTAATTAGGCAGATCGCACGGCATGAAGCTTCAAGTGGACGCTCGCTGCGACGCCTGGAGGTGTCCGGACGCATCATAGACAACTTCGACGACATCGACGATGCCTCGGACGAGTCGGATAAGGAGGTGCCACAACCCACGTGAGTGGCAAATACACTGATACAGGTTAAAGACGGGACCACGAAAGCTAAGGCAGATCGCACGGCAGGTAGCTTCAAGTGGACGCTCGCTGCGACGCTTGGGGGTGCCCGGGCGCATCATAGACAACTTCGACGAGAGAGCTGACATATGGCAAGTGACATATGTGCTGATACAGGTTAAGGACAGGGTTACACAAGACAGACAACATCAAGGAGCGACCCTCACTTTTAGAATATTTTATCTTTAACCATGAACCATTACTTCATGAGACTGCTTAATATACTTAGTTTATGCTTTTTGAGAGTTGGCTAAATATTTATTAATGTGTTAATCTGTGGCACTTGTTTCCATAAAGATGTCCAAGAATCTTACCCACATTTTTATCTTACTTATAAAAATGAATAGTTATATTTTATTGACTATTATCAAATTCGACTCTACCATCAATCAACGCCACGCACTTTTTATTAGAAGTAAAGTTTTTTTCATGTGATAAAATTCTCCTTATCGTTTCGTTGGGTTAGTGGGTAAGACAACAATTGATAAAGCATGCTGTTACGAAGCTTGATAATGTTGATTACATAGTGAAACCACTTATATTGTTTGGCGCCAGACGCTAGATTAAAGTTACGAAGGGCAATTTTGCACAAAATTATGAGCATTTATCGTAAACAGTCAAACGTCTTAAACTTTAAGATTATGTTTGTTTTTATCATGAGGTTTTCTTTTATCGGATTTAGGCATTACCCTATTTATTTTAATATTCCGAAATAAGAAGTCATTATTAATCCCTAATCAAAAATGTCTAAACTCTTAACAAACAAGTCACAGTATGAACTCAGGGTACGCAACATGCGAATGATGTGCTCTGGTATCGCAAGGGTCTACTTGCAATATTTATCTAATCTTGTTAGTGACCAATGTGGATATATGAATTCTTTGTCCTTCACGGGAATTGAGTCTCCAAGACGTTTTCGTTCTGACATCATTTTCCGTCCCTATTCATGATTATATAAGGACATCATTCTATAACTCTTTACATGTTCTAAATAACCTAACGATGTTCTTTTGTCAACAGAGTGGCGTGCGGTGGTAATGCAGGCAATTTACCACCAGCGGAACACGACGATGACCTCACGAGCTTGAGCTGGCTGCAGGACAGGAACTTGCTTAGAGGTAAGTTCATACCAAGATCCGATCAAATAAATAAACCGAACGAAGCAGCGCTTGTACTGTGGACACAAATTTCAGATACACTTATAATGAGAATGTAAAAAAAAACATGACTGGAAAAATGTATATAAAAGAACTAGTGAATGCCCGCGACTTCGTCTGTGTGGAAATATTGGTTTTCCATAGAAACTCTCCGCCCCTGTTATACCCCTTTAGGAGGAGAGATTTGGAAAATCTTTTGTAAGCACATGCCTACATCATAATAGCAATAACTGTGCCAAATTTCAGGGCAATCCGTTTAGTGGTTTGAGGTGTGCGTTGATAGGTCAGTCAGTTAGTAATAATTCTTTTATATGTAGGAAATATTTTATTTGCAATATACTTAAAATCATTTTATGAAAAAATACATTATGTTGTACATATTTTAAAACGGGCGCTGCAGTAAGCATTCTCTATATCTAATAATTAAATCTTGAAACATAACATCTGCATCGCACTTTTGACTCACATTCAAACTAATGTACGTTTATTATTATTAACAATATTGTTATCTTACAGGAATAAACTTAACCAAAGGGGATGTAGAAGACACAAAAATGATTGGCAGCCAAGTTGTGATAAAGGTGAGCTTTACACCTACAAGATGTGGCATGATCTTTATCATCCCATAGATTGTTTTTTTAATACTATAATAATAATAATAAATATTTCCAACACTCACACCAATTAGCCTAGCCCCGAGCTAAGCACTATAAGGCTTGTGTTATGGAATACTAGGGTAACGGATAGAATACATATACTGTACATATATAAGTATATTTATATAGAAATACATATTAAACATCCATGACTGGAGTACAAATGCTCGTATTCATCACACAAACATCTGCCCCCACCGGGATTCGAACCCGGGACCTCTCGAGTCGGCGACACCATGAAACCCGGCGTACAAACCACTCGGCCAAGGAGTTCGTAAACTATCAATAGTAATACAGTTTGTTTCAGTATTTTTTCATGCTGACACTTCTCTTGGCTATTTGTATGTGCTATTTGTAAACTTGACAACAGTCAGTCCATATCATGCTTTATATAGAATGAAAAGGACAAACTGTTGTTGAGTTTCCAAATAACAAACACGAATAGCCAAGTGAAGGGCTTCATAAGCAATATTGTTAAAGAAAAACAATCACTGTTGTCTGCTTGGGATTGACCAGAAAACCTCAGAGTTTGCTCACATTTCCGCTAAAATACGATACTATTTATATATGTAGTATTATTATTATAGCCTTTTAATTCCTTAAAAAATATAGTTGTCATTCATTCAATAGAATTCAAATAACAGGTGAATTAATTAATTTCATTACAAACATGTCAATTATGATAAAAAAATGGTCAATACACATTTTTTTATTTATTAAGGACCCCTCAGCGAGTAAAGGCCTCCATTTTACTCCCAAGTTTTTCTACCTTTGGCCTTGGTGATCCAGTCTCTACCAGCCACGTTGTTTATTTCATGTATCCATCTTTGTTTTGGTCTACCTCCATATCTTTTGTGTTAAAGTCCTTTCCAAGAAGTCAGTTTTTAAGTCCATTTATTATTATTCATACGTGCAATGTCTCTAGCCCATCTCCATTTAAGATTTTTACAGTGGTCCAAAGCATCAATAACATGTGTTGTTTTTCTAAGATCATTATTTATATAGTATAGTAACCCAGTTTTTGAAACTATTGTAGGCCATAGTCTTGTGGCTGTCCCCCGTTGAATGAACAATCTTATACATAACTTGCATATGGACTATAACTATGTTTTCGCCAACATTATGTTTGTACAAGTGTCGTTATATTCAATGTCGCACTACCTTCATTGTTAACGGTGATGTATTTTCTGTGCATATGAACGTTTAAAACAGCACAGCAAAATCTGCATAATTAAAACTCAACAAATTAAAGAAAAGCACCTGTTGTTGCTTTGCCTTTATAGTACGTAGACAAGGTATTATGACTCGATTAATATTGTGATGGGACGGGCATATTCTAGTTTGACGAATAACTTTAATCTGTCTGTGGTGCAAGGCAACCCAAGCCGCCCTTTTACAAAACGTAGACTAAACTTAAACCAAGACAAAAATGTATGCTGTCACTTTTGTTTTCTAAAAATAAGACAGAGACAACATTAGGTTTAAACCAAGACTCCATAAGTCCATTAGTCCACGTTTTGGAATTAGGCGGAATAGGTTTCAGTAGGAGCATAACGTCTGTTGTTGATTTGACTTATGATATAAATGTATCACAAAAACTTAAAACAAAAAAACAAAGCTGAGATTGTCCGAAATGAAAAGTAGCAAGTTGCACACACCCAGGAAAGTTCGCAGTCTAAAAGTCAAAGCAGTTTTTTTATATTAATCATACCTATTTGATTATTTTGATTGGTCAAGGAAACTTAATGCGCCGCATATAGTCAACTTCATCAGCCAATTTATGAAAAAAAAAGCAATGATCAGCTATATTGTATGACCCCCCCCCCCCCCCCCCCCGAATGCGAATAAAACTTAAAAGCTCAAGTCGCGGCGCAGTAAACAAAATGTAATGCTAAAATAGCAACAATATGCAGTCCGTCCTACTCTCACAAATAAGCCGGATAACATATTGGCAAGAGATAGATATTACACTATTCTTTCGTCGTTTCGAAAGCTGGATAACAATGTTTTGACGCCAAAATTTGTTTAAAACTAGTAAAAATACGCTTAGTTCCACAACGCACGTGCCGCGGATGGCGGTTGTGCAGATGTTAATTTGTATGGCTCAACCACGCGGATGCCCGTGCGTTGTCGTACTTATATGCCTATACAAATTGCATCCGGACAACCGCGGTTCGTGGCTCGAGTGTTATTTGTCTAAAGCTTACTAACTCAATATTAAAACTTTCTACATTTGAAACAAACGAAGTTTCTCTTTTGAATGATCTACAATGTCTAAATATATGAAATTTAACCAAATAGTAACTTTGAAAAAAAGTATGATCTACTCTCTCAATTACACACGTTTGACTGTGCTTTGCCTTAGAATAGTACAATAACTTTAGCTACCCCGCAGTCGAGATCGCAGTTATGCGGTTTACCTAAAGATGCTAAGAAGTATTAAATTTAGCTTTCCTTCTATGTAAATTGTTATTCTATGCACTCAACTGACACCTGCATATATTGCGCTCACCGCTAAGTTCACTGCCGCCATAAACTTTGAATCGCACTCTGTACCGTATCATATTCTATTTTTGGATTCGTATTCCTACAGTCGGAGCCGTCCAAGACGCCTCCGCCAGTGATCAGGATGCCGTCCCCCCCTCGTACTCCTTGCAAAGCTCCCCCCTCCCCTCCAGCAATAGCCGCTCACACTAAACCTCCCTATTCCTTCTCCTGCCTCATATTCATGGCCATAGAAGCCGCGCCAGCCAGAGCTCTCCCCGTTAAAGAAATCTACGCGTGGATCGTCCGACACTTCCCGTACTTCAAACACGCACCGCAGGGATGGAAGAACAGCGTACGACACAACCTTTCGCTTAACAAGTGCTTCCATAAGGCAAGTCTTGGTATATTGTAGCATTAAGGCCGCATTGTTTGATACATAGTAAAATGTGACTATAGTTAAAATATTATAGAAAAAGTAACCATTTTTCAATTTTTTAACACAAACCCCCTTATTAATAAACGAAGACTACGCTTGGATTAGTTACTCCATGTTTGTCTCTGTCTATTGAATGTCAAATTGCATTTGAGTGACATGAACAAAAGATGCCAGAATCGATACGATTGTTTACGTATTTGACGTGACTTTTGACTTATAGTCAAATTTCTCTATGGATGAAACAACACGGCCTACTCACCGTTGTCTCACACATAGTTAGTTAAACTTTACTTTTAAAAACAAAATGACATGAAACATTATAAACAATGAAACTGGAAAATCTTAAACTCGAAATACTAGTTTTAATTTAAACATTGAAAATAGAAATGTTACATCAGGTCTTAAAGTTGCTACAGCATTTGTGATTTTTTTCACTAATATTCCGTTAGCAGTTTCAACTATAAAATCTTAGCTGCTGTATAATAAAATCTTTCAACCAATTAAAAAAAAAAGAAAACCGCGGGTCTGTGGGGTAACTCTGTGGATGTTTCTAGATCAGTAATTGAAACAATAGCTCCTATTCTGGCTAGCATTTTTAATCAATGTGTGGACTGTGGTGTTTTTTCTGATCTAATGAAACACAGTAAGATAACTCCATTATATAAATCGGGTAGCACATCTAACCCAACGATATTAAATACCCTAGATACAACATCAAGAACAAAATAGTTTCCGAAACCTGTCCAAAAGGTACATTGAAAGTTCGTCGGAGCTCTGTAAGATGATCGCGTAGTCAAAAACAATATAAGGCATTAATTAAACATTGAGAATCACCTTTAATGCATACTGTATAAGGTCTTAGTTACAACGCATGAAAGCATGAGCTTTTGCATTTTGCGTTCTAAATGAAAGCATATTATGAAATATTTTACGACTTGTTTCTTTAAGCGGAAGAATATATAGTTTATTTCTTTGACTGTAAGCTTAATTCTGAATGCGCTGTTAACAATATAGCAGTTACGGCGCGCGAGTAAAAGAGACGGCTATATAACCGACCATGCTTTTGAATATCACGAATATTTTCTAGTAAATCAGTTTATAGTAAATGTTAGACCAATTTTTTCTTAAAAATGCGTTAAATGACAAACATAGACTAGATACATGTCGGAAAAAACGACATTATATACTATAAGTATTTTTCGCATTTTTATGGTGACTTATCAAAGGTCCGCGCGTGACTAAACCAAGGAGTGCATGAGTGGTGCTCAAGTACTTCTTGATTTGGACACATTTTGAGCGCACGTGGTGTACTAGATACACTACGAGCGCTTTTATATTATTTAATATTGTCGTTTATCACATCTAACTATATATCAAACAACGCGGCCTGAGTCTATTTTTTTAAGCATCTTTCTAGTTCTCTCTCAGGAACTTGCTGGTTTACTGGTAAAGAATTCCTATGGCATTCAGATTTCAGACCGCCATTTGTTTATGTGTGGCAATAAAGTTTAAATAAATATTTCTGCACATCAGACCCCCAAAGGCCGCCCGCCAATGAACCTTTTTATGTGTTCTGTTACTAAAATTTACATTCAATATTTCTCTTAATAAGTGTTCTTTAAAAATGTTACAAGTGCCACTTTTTTGATGATCCACATAACTATTCACTTTTGATTTTAAGCCGTAAATCCTGTGTTTAAGGTTTGATTTTGTTGGCCACAGGTTGCAGCCGCCCCTGGTCTCGGCAAAGGCTCGTTGTGGACAGTCGATCCACAGCACAGAGCGTCCTTATTACAGGTTTGTGGTGTTCTTTTAAAATTTTTATGATCTATCATTTTCAGTTAATATGATTCTATTGAGCTTTTTTGTGTTTTTGAAATTTTATCAATACCCAACGATTAAAGCAATATGTCTATTTTATTTTAATTGTTTTTTGTATGTAGGCAAACGACATATATTGACCTGATGGTAAGCAGTCCCGTTATCTGTGCCAGACTTTCTTATGGCAGTACTCAGAGACATCAACAAATTTTTAAGTATTATTGAATTTGCTGCTGTAAATTTCTTTGCGATAAAATAAAATGATGCGACTTATTGAAGTTGAATTTAAACGACCTCTCTGACTGCGGTCCTAAATTTTATTTTGCTCAATCTTCGAGTGTCCCCCCCCCCCCCCCCACCAATAACATAATAACTTATTATCTTACTCTTAGATCCGTAGGTACTCAGAGATTTCAATTATCATTTGAGTTTGATCAAATTAATGTGGTCACTTTACCTACTACTTACCGTTACAAAAAAAAATAGATGAAATGCGACTTACTGAATTTTTAACTCAAAGGTAAGGGTAATTAAACACCTTTGAGTGTGACTGTCAGAAGTATTTTCCTTAGGCTTCCACCCGAAATCAATCCAAAAATCCTCTTGTGTCCTATGCCAACTTGGGAAGAGTTAAATTAAGTTGACCATTCAAACTGGGAGCGTAAATGTTATTTTTCACAATTTTCCAGTTAAAAAGTTCCCTACGAATCCAAAGCGAACACAATCTCCCAAAAATTACTTCCCGTGTATGAAATGCTATGTCAGCGCGTCTCGCCGCAGGCGTTCGGGCGACAGCCGATCCCTCCAGCGCCGCCTGACACGCCGCCCCCCGCCAAGAACGCGCCCGACCCCGTGCTGTTCCCGTATCTGGCGCGACGGCTCGCCGCTTCCCCGCCGCCCGCGCCCACCGCCGACGAGTACCTTGCCGCCGCGTCCGTGCTCACCATGAAGTACGGGCCCGCCGTGCTCGACCAGGTACGTTATAGGACGTGCTGTTCCCGTACCTGTTATCTGGCTCGCCGCCTCCCCTCTGCCCGCGCCCAACGCTAACAAGTACCTCGCCGCCGCGTCCGTGCTTTTTTTTTTTTTTATTTATTTATTTTATTTATTTATTTATTTAAGTCTCCTCCGCTTACCATGAAGTACGGGCCCGCTGTGCTCGACCAGGTGCGTTATAGGACGCGCCTCCACCCGTGCTGTTCCCGTACATGGCGCGCTGCGTCAGTGCTCACCAACGGGCTCGCCGTGCTCGACTAGGTGCCATAAAGGACGCGCCCCCACCCATGCTGTTTCCGTACCTCGCCAACTCGTCCGTGCTCACCAACGGCCCCGCCATGCTCGACTAGGTGCGATATAGGACGCGCCCCCACCCGTGCTGTTCCCGTACTTGGCGTGCTGCGTCGGTGCTCACCAACGGGCCTGCTGTGTGCGGATGCACCTGTTGTCTTACGTGGCGCGCGGCGACATCGTCATGATAATGAATGCCTATGGCATTAAGTCCGCCGTTTGCTTATGTTTGGCAATAAAGTTTAAATAAATACAAAAATAATTTCCGATGGTAGGTTTGAAATGTATGGAGGGCGGAACAAGGTTGGTTTCTAATTTCATGCCATTTTACCAGCAAAGCTAAGTGAAACGATAATTTTTAATGTAACCCAAGTAAAAAAGATTCATTATATACATTGAAATGAAGCTAAAATGCTATTTATTATTTGTTAAAAATATATAAACAAAATTTACAGCCAATTTCCAGAAGTCTCTTAGTCTCAAAAAGCATAAGGAGAAATATTTTATTTTAATTAAAATTAACCCATAAAATATTCCTATTAGAAAATTAAAAACAAATGAAACGCTATTGTATAGGTAGTAAGTACTGCGCAGTTTCATAATTGGCCAATTATTTTCCGATATAAAACTGTTGTCGGATAATAAGTAAAATTAATAAACTCAATCTCCCCTACCTCACAGTTGCCGCCGGCGGCACACCTGGTAATATCGCGGTGCGTACGCGACGAGCATTCGTACAGCGGCGGTTGTGAAGAGCGCCGCACCGCCGAGGCACTGCTCAACCTGGCCGGTGTACCCGCACCGCCCCCGCCCCCCGCGCCCAGCTAGCCCCCGGCCCGGTACGTGCCCCACACACACTCATACAGCGGTGGTTGTGGAGAGCGCCGCACCGCCGAGGCACTGCTCAACCTGACCGCCCGCGCCCAGCTAGCCCCCGGCCCGGTACGTGCCCCACACACACACTAATACAGCGGTGGTTGTGGAGAGCGCCGCACCGCCGAGGCACTGCTCAACCTGGCCGGTGTACCCGCACCGCCCCCGCCCCCCGCGCCCAGCTAGCCCCGGGCCCGGTACGTGCCCCACACACACTCATACAGCGGTGGTTGTGGAGAGCGCCGCACCGCCGAGGCACTGCTCAACCTGACCGCCCGCGCCCAGCTAGCCCCCGGCCCGGTACGTGCCTCACACACACACTAATACAGCGGTGGTTGTGGAGAGCGCCGCACCGCCGAGGCACTGCTCAACCTGACCGCCCGCGCCCAGCTAGCCCCCGGCCCGGTACGTGCCCCACACACACTCATACAGCGGTGGTTGTGGAGAGCGCCGCACCGCCGAGGCACTGCTCAACCTGACCGCCCGCGCCCAGCTAGCCCCCGGCCCGGTACGTGCCTCACACACACACTAATACAGCGGTGGTTGTGGAGAGCGCCGCACCGCCGAGGCACTGCTCAACCTGGCCGGTGTACCCGCACCGCCCCCGCCCCCCGCGCCCAGCTAGCCCCCGGCCCGGTACGTGCCCCACACACACTCATACAGCGGTGGTTGTGGAGAGCGCCGCACCGCCGAGGCACTGCTCAACCTGGCCGGTGTACCCGCACCGCCCCCGCCCCCCGCGCCCAGCTAGCCCCCGGCCCGGTACGTGCCCCACACACACTCATACAGCGGTGGTTGTGGAGAGCGCCGCACCGCCGAGGCACTGCTCAACCTGGCCGGTGTACCCGCACCGCCCCCGCCCCCCGCGCCCAGCTAGCCCCCGGCCCGGTACGTGCCCCACACACACTCATACAGCGGTGGTTGTGGAGAGCGCCGCACCGCCGAGGCACTGCTCAACCTGACCGCCCGCGCCCAGCTAGCCCCCGGCCCGGTACGTGCCCCACACACACACTAATACAGCGGTGGTTGTGGAGAGCGCCGCACCGCCGAGGCACTGCTCAACCTGACCGCCCGCGCCCAGCTAGCCCCCGGCCCGGTACGTGCCTCACACACACACTAATACAGCGGTGGTTGTGGAGAGCGCCGCACCGCCGAGGCACTGCTCAACCTGACCGCCCGCGCCCAGCTAGCCCCCGGCCCGGTACGTGCCCCACACACACTCATACAGCGGTGGTTGTGGAGAGCGCCGCACCGCCGAGGCACTGCTCAACCTGACCGCCCGCGCCCAGCTAGCCCCCGGCCCGGTACGTGCCTCACACACACACTAATACAGCGGTGGTTGTGGAGAGCGTCGCACCGCACTATGTGGAGGTGCCTAAGAGAGCTTGGCCATAAATACATTTTGTAAAAATCGGCGCAGGTACTTGTATTATACCTCAAACTATAGCTAAGAAGTTGATCTACTATATTATGTATAAATTATGTATGTAACTAATACTTTTTTATAGTAAAGAGCATCTAAATACGATGATTGAAAAATTATCACGAAAACATCATAATTTGTATTTTTTTCAGGATGATTTTCTAGTAAGCTAGCAATAAAAATTATTCAAGTATTATACCATTTTAGAAAGCTTATAATATATACTTTTTTTTGGTATACACAAATATGCTATATATTTATAAATATAATTACTAGAAATATTTATCTCATGACATATCATTTTTGCGTATCTGAAACTTTCAATTAGAGTTTTGACAGTTGCCGAAATTTGCCGAAGGTCTGTAAATGATGTTATTTGATAGGAAATTTAATATTTTTATACAGGAAGAAAAAAAAAGTTGCAACTTCATTGCACAACATAATGCTATCTATCATAACATGAAATAGTAATAATTTCTTAAAAATACGTGGGCGAATCTATTTGTTTTATTGGTTGATATAGGTTACACTTGTGATATATTATTAATTGCGGTTTATGTTTTGATAATGTATCGAGTATTTCTCACTATTTTTAGTTCGCCTACAAAATAAATTATCAATAAAACACATAGGAAACCGAGTAAACACATAATGATAAATAGTTTTTATTCCCATACTTTGCATACGTATCAAATCAGTTATTTAATATAAAATAGAGCATCTGCATACTGAATAATTACATACTGTTTTTCGTTCGTTATTGTCGTTACTAATAGTGTATCTAACCACCTACTCTCTCGCAATGAGTGAATTCCAATGTACCAGACGCGACCTATGTCTTGTTTTGATTGAAAGTGACGGGAATTATGTTGTTGCTTTAACAAGTTATATACGGAATAATTTTATCAACTTTTCTGAGGCAAATATCGCTAAGATTGTCGCGAGTGTACAAAAAAATCTTATTACGAACTTTCGTCAACGCTACACAAAATCTGGCAGAAATAAAGAATTTTTTTTAAATCAGAATAGCCTGTGGTTGAATGCCACATTCACAGTAAATCTGGAAGATCCTACTTGTGAATCTGAACCTTCGACATCGACGGGGAAGCGAGGACGCCCTTCTAAAACCTACGAAGACAGTTCCGATAGAACACAAAGACGAAAAAAACAAAGAGTTGCTTGAAACATGTGGCCTTGATTTTATACTGAATTCATATCTTCAAGGATTGAGATCTCAAGGGGAAACGGAAGAAGCATTCATTGTCGAAATTTTACGAGTATTACCCATAGATAAAAATAGTGAAATACGTCAAAATCTTTTAAATGAACCGGCACATTTAACAGCGTACTCTAAAGATGAAGCTCTCAGTATTTTTATAGAGTTGGACCTTAACGAGGCACAGTATGAAAACATGAGAAATTGCTTAATTGCGAAGAACTGCGTATTATTTCCGTCATATAAATCAATTCAGGAAGCTAAAGGAATGTGCTACCCACCAAGATCAAGCACAGAAATTAATAATATTACAGCAAAAATAAAACAGCAAGATCTGCTGGATCACACTATTGCAAGAATTTTGAAAATCAATGGTGTATACAAAGCTGGCAAAAAACATTTAATGCTGTATTCGAAATGGGGCTGTGATGGCTCAAGCGGACAAAGTGAATACAAGCAAGTCTTAACTGAAGAGGATGAGTTAATTTCTGACACAAATTTATTTATATCTTCATTAGTACCTCTGAAACTTGTTGATATTAATACAAATGAAACTTTGTGGGAAAACCCTGTTCCATCATCAGTAAGATTTTGTAGGCCCATTTTAATAGAATTTTCAAAAGAGACACCAGAGAAAACTACAAGTGTAGTTAATGAAATTATAGCTCAAAGAAACGCTCTCACAACAAGCTTAATCAATAAAAATGGTGAAAGTATTGAAATCAAACACACATTATTTTTGACAATGGTTGACGGGAAAGTGGCTCAAGTTTTGTCAGAAACTTCATCAGGTGCTGTATGTACTATTTGTGGTGCAAGACCTACAGAGATGAACAATTTAGAAAAAGTACAAAATAAACCTGTTGACGAAAATTCTTATCAATATGGGCTTTCAACTTTACATTGCTGGATTAGATTCATGGAACTAATTTTACATATATCTTATAATGTAGGCTTTGAAAAATGGTCTGCTACAACGACAGAAAATAAAGATTTGAAAAAACAAAAGAAGACATATGTACAAAGAAGGTTCAGAGAAGAACTTGGTTTAAATATAGATAAACCTAAGCAAGGTTCTGGTAACAGTAATGACGGTAATACAGCTAGACGATTTTTTCAAAATTATCAGTGCACTGCAGAAATTACCGGTATGGATGAGGAATTGATAAAACGATTTTATGTTTTACTTCAAGTTATGTCTAGCGGAAAAGTAATTAATGCTACGAAATTTGGACAGTATGCTTTCGATACAGCACAACGATATGTTAGTAAATATATGTGGTATTATATGCCATCATCTGTCCATAAAGTCCTAATTCATGGGGAAAGTGTAATTCGGCATTATTCAGTGTTACCTCTTGGACAGCTCTCCGAAGATGCGCAGGAATCAAGGAACAAAGACTATAAACGATTCAGACTTCATCATGCTAGAAAATGCTCTAGAGTAGCTACAAATGAAGCCGTTTTACATACACTTTTGTACACTTCAGACCCTTACATAACAAGTTTAAGAAAACCTTCCAATAAAAAGTCTATGGAACTTATAGATGAAGCTGTAGAGCTAGTAGAATAATATAATTCTATGTTATTTTCTTTTTCTTATTATATTTAATTAATAAAAGAGTAATTTTATGTGTTTATTTTGTATTAATTATAACATTTAGGTCACATTGTTTAAAATTAGTCGTAAATTTATGATAATTTTTCAATATTTCATGTTTTGTATTTTTTTGCAATTATTAAATATATTTTTATATGCATAGACTGTATATTATTTTAAAGTACGTTTATCTCAGATTTCCTAAAAAAAAAATCAGCTGTATATCTATAAAAACATGGAAGTTATAGATTTATGACCCGAAACCGACTCGATCTCCACATAGTGCACCGCCGAGGCACTGCTCAACCTGACCGCCCCCGCCCCCCGCGCCCAGCTAGCCCACACACACAGTGTCATACACATCATTAAACACAGAAACAAAAGCAATACAAATGTATTATACAGCTAATCACTGCCTGCTTTTTATGACAGCGAAAATACTGTCTAAAAAACGTGTTTTGACAGGACTATTTTTGTTCCTTTCAGCCGTTCGCATTTGCCGCGCTGTGTTTGGAGTTAGACACAGCTACACTAGGATTGGTTGCGGATTCTGCTCTCAAGTGATGGATACATCCGAATACCATCTTTACATTAGAACATACTAAGAAATTACTGTGGACAGAATCCACTCCCGCTTACACTCCCAATTTCAAAATCCTACCCCTATAGCATGACCACTGTTACATGACACGATAAAGCGATTTTCAACTCTACGAATATTATATTATAGAATCACGGTAGCAATTTTTTTAAATGTTTTTTTTTATCTATAGACTCGGAAGAAAAATGATTTAATTTGTGCGAGCTATGAAATATCGCGTGAGAGAAATAGAGTTGTCTTGATTATCCGTTTCTTAATTATTATTAAAAGATTTAAACTATTAATAGCATATGTTATTAATTTAAGACGTCATCTTAGACTATCTAGCTACTATAAATTAATTGTCTATTGGGTTCAAAGTTCAAAAATCAATTGCAGAATTTGAAAATTTTGTGGTAACATATTGTTGTCCGTACCTTTTAGATAATACTTCTTTTCGTTAGTTCAATTATAACTTTAATGTTTTTTTTATAATGTAAATTTATATCTATATATAATATCGGAGTATCGTTTCGTGTTGCGATGGTCATTAGAAGCTCCAGGGGCTACCGCCTATATTCATTATTTTAGCTATTTACAGAGTTTATGACGTCATCATGATCTTTTGTACCACTTATAAAAACTGTATTGTATCGGCATGCACTCCATAACCTAAATATTGGTTCGTAGAGCATATCGAAGTACACGGTACAGTTTTAGTAAGAGGAAAGTATAGCATTTTTATTAAAAGTTTCATATCCCTATCTGATCCCACCATGTCCATTTGAAAAATTAAAGTTGAACTAAAGTGTATGATGTCAAGTTACCATTAAAACGTCTACGTACCTACTTCTGTCAGTAATCTATTTTATAGAAATCATGTTTATTTGCGACAAAGGCGTTACGCGGTTAAGTTTTGTTTGAAGCGTTGTGTGTTTTAATTTTCAACTTGAAATGGTGATTATTTAATACTAGTTAATTTGTAAGGTTGCGGGTTTGAATACCTATATCGTAGTTGTTATGGCGCCTCTGTGGCACTTTTGCGTTATTCTGCTCAAACTATTGCTTTTAAGAGAACTATGTTATTCATAAGTTACCTAAAGGATGTAATCAGCAATCGAAAATCTAAGGCCAAGCCCTAGAACGCCTCACTTAGCTACATATAAGTTCTAAGAACAAAATTCAATTCGAAATTTATTAATGAATATAATAATTATGTCTATTGTCGCAACTATGTATGTATGTATAGACAAAAAATGTTTACCAGACTCTAGTCCAATAAAGACAATCCATAAACAATTTCGGTGACTTATACAAATGTTTAATGAAATATACTAATAGATATAATTCGCTTAGTCAAATCGTTGATTCACGACCGCGTTAACAATTCTTATAACATCATCACAAAGCGATATTTTTTCTTTGGATCGGGTCGCGTAGTGTAAAATATTGATTTAAATTATTATCGTAATATTTAATAGTAGCGACTAAATAGTGATAGATGTGATACTATATGGTACGGAATATTATTTAAAATAAAATATTAATGTAGTTAAATAGTACTCCCTACATGCATTTAGGTTCCCAGTTTACGAATAGTCAGACTTTCATAATAAGAAGAGTTTTCTTGTAATTTAACTAAGAGTAATATATTTTCAGTGTTGCCATACTTCTGTCACTGTGATGTATACTCGTGTTTTAGAGTCAACTATTGTATCATACAACTAAATTTAAAGTGATGGAAATATGGTACACTGTAGTTTTAAGTTTCAAAATCAGATATTTCCTTTTGCTTCGCCTCACTTTATTTATGAAAACCTTATCATTGGTTTGATAATAAGCAATAATATAGTGTATAAATAATGGGTAATGATTTATATACAAACTACCTGCGCATGATCTGATCATATACAAAATGCTAAACAGGGCGAACAAAATGTATTTTAAATATCTATTAAACCTTTCTCACAGAAGTGATATGCATAATTTTATGATATCAATATATTTAGGCAATAGATGTTAGTGATATAAGTGAACTGTATTTTGTGTTCAAACAAAGTGATCTTCTTACAGTCGCCTACATTTTTTAATGATCGAAAATTTATTTATAATATTTACATTGTACTTATAATAATGTTTATATAGCAACGCGTGTTTTGCTTATAATTTTATTGTCCTAGATTCAGACTTTCACACGATCGCCTGATACTAGTGAAAGTTCAAAAAACTAATTTCGTAAGTAAATAATTTTTAATTAAACTTATTGCGCTAGGTCATAGAAAGATACCTCCTTGTTCTGTCAAGTTGTAACAGTTTCTATTGACATAAATACAGATTTGAACATCATATCCAAATACATCATGTAGTCAGTGTATTGATCTAAAAAGATAAAAAAAAAAAACAAATTGTATCTAATATACTAATAATACTGCATAATCATGTGTATTGATATGGATACATTACTCAAATTCATCTTAATATCGCCCAGAAATATTCTCTATAATAAACAGCACCGACGATTTAAAAATATAATAATTTTGTAATGTGAATGTTAAAATATGTACAACGGTACGAGGTGGTTCTTATCTCAAGTGCCTGCTAAATGCTTCTATTCTATCATTAAAATTTGTTAGCCAAGTAAGAGAAGGATCGAACGAAATATTAATTATTAAGATGGAGTGTACCGGAACTTTGCTAAACAAGTTTAGTTTTCTGACACCAGTATATCCGGGTATCAGTTAATGATCCGGTACTAAGAGGGAGCCTTGGAATAATACACCAACTAGTTATATGTGATAAAGTTTGAGTCTTGCCTGACGGTAATTTTCTTGTATACCACTTGAATGTTTCATAACTTTTAACAAGACACATTGCCCCATACGGAACCATAGAAGTTTAAGAATAGAGTAGGGAAGGCGGCTCTAAACGTGTCCGTCTAGTAGAAAGAGAAAGAAGATGAGAGACCGCTAGCTATCTCTCTCTCTTGTGACGCATGGCATCCAATGGCATCACATCGAAATAGTAAGATGCTTACGGTTGCTAATGCACATGCGCGATTAGAGAGAGAAAGGTAGCGGTCTCTCATCTTCTTTCTCTTTCTATTAGAGGGACACTTCCACTAGTAGAGTCTATATCACCCCTACTCTATTCTTATACCTCTATGTACGGAACGCGGATAATGCGTTGTCTGTGGTTTAAAACAGACTTCTGTACTCTAAACACAGCTTTTGTGTAAAAAGAGTGAAGGACTAACCATTGACTAGACTGATGTGATGACTGATTTGTGATGAAGCAATATTATTTATTAGTAAATTAAATATATTTAGTTTCTAAACCCGAAGGCGGAAATCTATGTTGGATGTATGTACTTATTTATGGGAACTTCTATAGGAAATTGTTTTATCTCGGGTGCATTTCGTCAAACCAAATAAAAAAATCTGAGATACTATTCACTATTATTCTTAATATTGTTTACGGGTCTAAAAGATTCGGTAAATGAAGACGCGTTGTTCTTTCAGTTTGATCTTATGAGAGATTCGCAGTGGTTTTTATGAACAGATAAAAACTCAATTCTTAGTTATAACAAAAAAGTAACACCAATTTGTCTTTCTGTACCTTCCAGTTTTTTATTTTTATTTATTGTAAATGGATGAGTCAAGAATTAATAGTTATTGATCCGGTTCCTTTTTTAGGCATAATACATTAAAATACGCGTTTTAAATATGAGTAATTTTGTCATTGTTAATAATTTTATTGTGTATTTGATAATCTTTTTCACGGTACTAAAAGTACGGAGTAGTTGTTATTGTTTTCTATTTTTCTCGATATCCGAGTGTTTCTGAAGACAAAGGAAAGTTTGATGTGTGCCAAATGTTAAAAAGAAACATATAATTACCGTGTAGCAACAGATTCAAATACAAGTAATATGGATGTATTTATATGATATAATAATAAATAAAATATATTACTTATGTTAGCTAGATTAGGTTGTAAGTGATATTATTAATAATAATAAGAATTGCTAAATTATGAAATACTACATACATTTTGCTGTATTTAGGAGCGTCTTCCATCTTATTCGTATTGTTTTCTCTTAGGTAAAAGTTGGAGAAGGAAATTTCATGGATATTTTGAATTTTGCTTATTCTACGTGTGTTCACGCTATGCAAAGCAAGTTGTTTAAGCATTCAGATTTTTATTTCTATCGTCGTCGTTATAACTTACCAACTTATACTGTTTAGCAAAACTATATTTTATTTAAGAATTATGAAAACGAATGCTTTCCATAATATTTTTAAAATGTTCACATGAAATTTTCGCCTTCACTGTACACACTAGCCTTTCTTTCGGTGGTATAAGGATTGTAGATGAAAATTTACAGCAATAATTAGTACCTAATAGTAGTACTTTGCTGGTAGATGCTATATGATATAATTATGTGTGATAATTCGCAATTTATTTATTAAGCGCTGTTTTAAACTTTGTTTTTGTGGACATAAAAAAATGTTCGCATAAACTTATTCACTACAATTTATGCAAATATTTTTGTGTGTGCATACAAAACGCTTTTTAAAAGTTATTATGATATTAAAATTGTTGCGGCTCATTTTTTCTCTGTAGTCGCAGGGAAAATGTTGTATCAATTAATTTATTCTTAGGTAAATAATACTTGTTAATTTTATTTCTTATCGTGTTTGTTTGTGAAATGTGTTTCAGACAAAAAAATGCTTCATTGTAAACGGAGTATTTTATTTTGAATGTAATTTACTTTGTTAACTTGAAGGGTGGCATTTACCACTGCAAATGAAATACATTACAACACTTATCTACAGTAATTTAATGTTTACTATGAAAATAAAAAAAAATGCATAAATCAAAATGTAAATCCACAAATTCATAGTGTCCAGCATAACAAGAAATACTTAATGTAACTTTGCAGTGGTCAAGCCCTAACCCTAGTTATAATAAATAAGTGCGAACTATGTTTAAGTAAAAAAAATATTGTTGTTGTTGATATTTTGCTGGCTTTGAATGACACCACTCTTTATTGCTATTGTTAAAAGTTATTGCCAAATTTTTATTTGTCCTAAAATCTTTTGTCTTTGTACATATCCATTAAATAAAATTATGTACCGAGAATAAGGTATTGTGTTTTTTTTTTGTCACAACAAATAATCATTTGACCTTTGAAAGACGTTGAAAAGTCAACATCCCGCAGAGCTCCGTGAAAAAATGTAAAAAAATACTTATAGTAGTACCTACGTAAAGTTTCGTTTTTTCGACAGGTATCTAATCAATGTCTGTTAATTTAACGCATTTGTAGCAAATTTTGTTGTAATACTATAAGGCACTTTGCAGACGACGGGGCGGGGCGGACCGGTCAATTTCTCCGCGAATAATAGCACAAAGTGAATCCTATACTTCAAACGCACACAGAGGGCAAAAAGACCGCGCCGTGGGTGCCCGGCGGGCACTGGCGGCGCGGCATGTCCGCGGCTGCCCGCCGTGGATCATACAAACCAGTTTATATGCAGTAACGCAGACGGCGGCGCGGGGCGGTCAGCTCACTCCGCGCCACGCGCTTATTAGAGATGGACTATTCACTAGAACGAACGTCCTAAACTGACCGCCTCTGCCCGTCGCGCGTCGTGTGCTTTGTGTACGCGGCGCGGGCAGCCGCAGACATCGACGGGCAGACGCGGTCTTTATTGCTTCGCGGACAAAATGCCCGCCCCGCCCCGTCGTCTGCTCAACGCCTAAACTGATTTAATAGAAATTATTTGTTATATTCAAATGCATGGCCGGTAATATAGCAGTCTCTTTTCCTCGCGGTTTGTAACTGCTATTTTGCCAACAGCATATTCAGAATTGCGCGTAGAGACAAAGCAATAAGGTCTATATTCTTCCGCATATAACAATAAGTCGTAAAATTTTACGAGCTTGCATTTTGAACTGTCATAACTCTGACGCATGCGTTTTAATTAAAACCTAGTATGAATTAAAGGTTCTTCACATGTTTAAATAATGCCTTAAATTGTTTTTGACTACGTGGTCATCTTACTGAGCTATTTAATATCGTTGAGTGAGCGGTTCTCATGTGTATTCTCAAAAACTGCTATTAGATGTTTTATTTTCTTTTAATAAAACTGATTTGGTTATATCATAATATGATAAAATGTATGTAAAGGGAATAGACAGCTATGTTACCGGTAATCTGTATAATCCGGCATTCTATACAATACCTAGGTAATGAAGTTTTAGGCATTCCTGAAACGTCAAGGCAATGTATGAAATATTATTATTATTGACTAAGTATTAAATATTTATACTGACGACCTTCGTGGTGTAGTGGTTTGTACGCCGGGTTTCATGGTGTCGCTGACTCGAGAGGTCCCGGGTTCGAGTCACGGTGGGGGCAGATGTTCGTGTGTTGAATACGAGCATTTGTACTCCAGTCATGGATGTTTCATATGTATTTCTATATAAATATACTTATATAGTACTGTATAATATGTATTCTATCCGTTACCCTATCTCCAAGACAAGCCTTACAGTGCATTCTTTGGGGCTAGGCTAATTGGTCTAAGTGTTGGAAATATTTATTACTAGCTGACCCAGCGAACTTCATACCGCCATAAAAATAAAGGCTGGTGGTAGAAGGGTCACATTCTAAAAAAAATAAATTTCCCAAAAAAATGTTAGAGGTGTTGTCGTGCAGCGACAAAATAAATAAATATATATAAAAAAAAAAGAAAAAAAATCAGAAAAACAGTAGGTATAACATACCTATATATATTTACAAGGAAAAGTATTTACAGATTATAAAAAAATAGGGGTATGGTATGTGTGTGAAGTGTGGGGTGTGAAGTGGAAGTAGTGAAGTGGGCGTGGGTCGTCGGCGAACTTCTTCGTTGAGAATTGAGGGTCTGGAGGACGTGCTGCTGGCAGACGGGCGGCACTCTTAGGAGGTAGAAGCGCTCCTGTTCAGACGTCTCAGGTCTTGGCCTGTCCTGGTGGTGGCTGGCGGGCGCTGCTGGTAGGTTGGCCGGTGGCAGGAGTTGGTGGAACGACAGGAATCGGTAGAAGGCGGGCTGAAGCAGTTGGAGGCTGGCCGAGGAAGCTGGAGTCCAGGCGGCAGTCCCACCGATGAGGTTGCGAGTATGGTGAAGATGACGAGAAGAATAGTCGAGTTAAGTAGTTGTTTAGAGAGCCAATAGGTGTGTAAAGCTTTGAGGTCTTTCTTGAGTCCCGGGGCAGCCGGCCCCGGGACAAGGCCTTTTATTAATTTAGTGCTCGGTAGCGAGCTATCAAAAGCTGAGTAGGCAACTTTTGCCATAGAATTGAATGAAAGATCAGGGAGGCTCGGCCTTTTATAGGTCCGGAGCCATTTAAATTTAGACACGGTTCGAATCGAACTAAAAAGAATCAAAGTAGGTGGTCTGTGTTGGTTGAATAGTCATAGACGTAGTTGGAAAGAGTATCCGTGTCATGGGTAGCCATGGCAACGGATAAAAAACATTAAGTTGTCAAAAATGTCAATAAAATAAATAAACTAAAAATAGATAAAATCGGAGCAAAATTAATGAAAACAAATAAATAACAGAATAAAGAGAAATGCCGGTAAGTGTCCAGCACTCTGGAATAGTGACTTTCAGTACAGATGGAATTATAATACGTATTTACAAAATGATGAATAGTGTGTGATATTTTTGAAATTGTGTTTCCAGAAATACCTAATAAAATATATGTTGATGCCTGATGAATATGATGTTAGATGATAAAATGTGTGAAATGGAACCTATGATAGTCGAAACCATGGGACGATTCCTGAGGTACGTTACAGTGTGTAATGTTGTGTTCCATCAATTTCCTGGGATGACATTCCTCCTAACCCATATAAGAACACTACTTTACAATACCTAATAATTTGAATCTGGGCGCGAAGGCGCATCTTAGATGTCAGAACATTACGTTACAGGTGGACAACCCTTATCATTTAAGGGTATGAAAAATAGATAGTAGCCGATTCTCAGACCCACTGAATATGCATATAAATTTCATAAAAATTGGTCAAGCCGTTTCAGAGGAGTATTGTAACTAACATTGTGACACGAGAATTTTATATAATAGATTGTTAATTTATACTTTGCCTAGATGAAATATCTAGGCTAGACTAGTTGCCTCGATCTATTTGATACGTTTATTCGGATCGTTGTAAATGAGATACGTTGAAAACTTATTTAATTTAAATTTATTGCAAGTTCATACACATTTATCTGGGATCAGTTTTTATTTAACAGTTACTTTCATTTCATTATAAGGTTCTAAAATATTATCGATAATGTAAAGTGTACGATGCAAGACACCATTAAAACGCATAATCCAGGCACTCGCCTTCTACTGCGTGCAACGGTCTGTGATCTGCGCGACGCTCTCCCACGAATCATAGTACATTACGTGTTTTGAATGTAGGAGCTTTCTCCTACATTCAAAACACGATTCTTTAATCGCGAGCGTACGTTGTCAGCAATGATTATTTTTATTGAAAACTAATATGTGATATATCGTTTTGGTAATATTCATCGAATTTTGGCTGAAATATCGGTGTAATTAAGAATTTCGATATTTACCAAGAAAGTCCTCCTTTTAGGTAGATTTGATACTTGAATCCTAACTATGTAATTAATTACAGCAGAAGAAGGCATATTTTGAGCGTTTATCACAATACTCTCTAAACGACGCGATCGCAAGAACAGATCAAGTGCACGCCTGCCCGCCCACAAGGTCATATCTAACCTTTTTCTGTATTATTATTTTGTATTTATCGTTGTAACAATATTTATGGCAAGACATTGAAATAAAATTTCATATTATATAGTCAGTCTATTTTTATTAGTAACAAATGATTACACTAATTTATTCTTAATACTAATAAAAACACTAACGAGGAATGAGATATCTTGTCGCGTCGGCAATGCCGTGAGTACCCGTGCACAACTGCCGCCCCGCGTCCCTCGGACCATCAGGAAAGTCGGCGTTAAAGCGGTAAAGCTATAGCGACACGGGATCAGTACAAACCGTGTTATACAGACAGGGTTTGGGATCAGTACAAACCGTGTATACCGACACGGTTTGGGATCAGTACAAACCATGTTATACCGACATGTGTCGCGACACGGTTTGGGATCAGTACAAACCATGTTATACCGACACGGTTTTTGATCAGAGAGAGAGACATTTTATTGACCATATTACATTACAAATGAACATACAAAAAAAAACTTTTTTACAATATACAGGGTGAAATTGAATGTTTCTATGAAACTTCGTGAGATTGTTGGGTTACGTGTATAGAGTATGCCTGATTTTTTTCGGTTTTTTTTGAAGTATATTTTTTTTATGTATTTATTTATAATTTGTGTATTTTTATGTCCTTTCCTCCTTTTGAGTAGTTATTCATTTTAAACAAACAAACTTACATATCCAGTGAAAACCAACTAATAAATAAGCACTTCTAAAAAACGGAAAAACATTAAAATTCCACCGCGGGTCAACGACCGACCGCGCCCGCCAGCCGTTGAGTGAGTAGGTAACTCTACACAGAGCTCAGCTGACTCCTTTGATTCCACACAATACAATAAAATCGTCTTAGATGCCTTTATTGAAATTGAAATAATAAGCACAAATGTCATCTTCTCTTAAGCAGAGAAAAAGTTAATAATAATTTTATCACGATTGGAAATAGGCAAATGTTAAACAAAAAGAAATACTTATTGCAGTTCAATACTAGGGTCAGAATGAAATTTATAACCAGCTATTCAAAAGTACTTACGAGACCGGCGATGTAGGTAGGTAAAACGAGGAACGAGGAACATATTCATTTTTTTCACTAGAACTTTTTATCAAATCAATCACACTGGTAGTACACAATTAGTTGTTTCTAATCAAAAAGTATTTACACTAGCAATAAAAAGAGACTTAAATTATTATCTGCAAAATTGTTGCTCTAAACCACCATTTTGCTGCAAACAAAGGTAGGCACGTTTGCAGACGTGTCTTTTCACCTTTTTTAAATGATAGGGACTCTACTCACTGCACAAAATGCAACTTCTATGGTTTGGGGACTCATTCGTAAACCAAACCTACTTCGTCACACTCGCGATAGCAGTACACCATCTCTAAATATTCTTGGTTCGTATACCGAGGCATAATGAAATTATCACATGTATGTCACTAAGTCAAAAGATGCGCACGCCCACGCGCGATTGATATACTTGCGACTGCGTTTTGCATGCAATCAAAGCAAACCACCGCGTGCGGAGAAGAGGGGAGGTGGGCGGAATTCACATCATCAAATCAAAGACGCCGCAACCGGCGCCAACGCTGCTTGTTTCTTGCCAGCGTGCGGCGCGCCGCCCGCCCGTGCTTGCCGCAAAACAACATATTATTATGTGTGTGTGTGTGTGACTGTGGCTGTGATTAAATGTGTTCGGAATATCATGACGTGGGCAAATCAGACACGGAAGAGTTCCTTCCTTCACTAAGCTCGTAAGTTATACCGATTTGCTCTGTATGATTTTTCCCAATTTTAAATAAGCCGTTTGTGCTTAAGTTTTAATTAAACGAGGCAACTAATATTAACAATAAAAAAGAAGTTCTTACACTAACAGAGAGGCTTTACCGATTTAAAATCGTGACAGTCATATTAACTTTATAGGATTTTTAATTGCTCTAACAGAAGATTTATTTTATTGATTAATTACCTGTGCTTTATGAAATAATATTCAAAGGTATTGTGTATCAGTGAATAAATAATTATAATATAGCATCTAAGACTATTTTATTGTAATGTTTTTAAATAGTGTGGAATCAAAGCGGAGAGTAGGTAAGCGCCGAGTCATCTGTGCGTGTAGCAGGTACCTACACAGGCGGCCGCCGGTCGTCACCCCGGCGGCCGGCGCTGATCTCGACTGGAGACATTCATTATGTTTCCGTTTTTTTAGGAGTGCTTATTTTAAGTTGCTTTATAACTCTTATGTAGACGTGTTTAAAATGAATAATTACTCATAAGGAAGAAATGACATAAAAAATAACCAAATAAAAAACGAAAAAAAATATTTTAAAATATCCGAAAAAAATCAGGCATACTCTATACACGTAACCCAACAATCTCACGAAGTTTCATAGAAACATTCAATTTCACCCTATATATAGGTAAAAAAAAGGATAAACTACATTTTGTGGTTTGTGGTCAATCAGGACCCTGCCTCAGTTAATGCTGCCGCAACACGATACAAAACGTATCACAGCAGCGCTGGTATTCTGGCAGGGCCTGTAATGCCGGTACTTCACACGACCAATCGTACCCGCAAACTCGACAGCAGTCCATCCCTCTCACTCCCCGTAGTAGAGCGTGACTGCTACCACCCAATATATAGCAAACATGACTAGCCACGTGACGCGCCAGCATAAGGTGCGAAAGAATACACTCTCCGTAATATGGGATCAGTATAAACCATGTTATATCGACCCGGTTTGGGATCAGTACAAACCGTGCAGTTGAACAAGTTTAGCCAGCACAGGCCCGAGTAGAAATCGACTCATAACAAGCGCCGTAAGTCTAAACATGATTAGCTAAACTTTGGTGCAAAGTTATGATAGAAATTATGTTCTTATAAGTTTTCACGCACACCACTCGACGTTTATCAAAAAGTTGCATTTAGCAAATATGTAATCCGACTATTCAGAAGAATTCATTTCCTACTGTCAAATAAAACGAGCTCATACTATATATTTAATTTATTAGATAAGAACAAAAAGTGCGGCTCTAAAAGCCAACTAAATATACAGTGTTAATAGGCTAGTTTACTCATGTCGAATTGTATTAAATAAATGTTTATTTCTTAAAGTGTTTAGTCTAAGGAACCTTAATATATCGATTTCACTTCATAAAAGCAGAAGATTGCTGTAGAAATTTAATTGTAAAAAATATTTTTTAGTCTATATTTTTTAAACACTAAAAACGCTGTTCGCCACATTCGCCATGATTTTGACGTCTCTTGTGGTAAACAACTAAATGTCATTCGCGTGTTACTGTAGGTGGATTCTTTCGTCTGACTAAATTTATCTTAAAACACTTTTAACTTTAGGAAAGAAAAAAACAGTAAATTTAGTTTTTTTTGACTAAACAAATTATGGATGCCGGCTTTGTGAAAGCAGAAATCACAAATCTGCCAAGAATTGACGCATTGATGGTTGGTGAATTTGTTGCACTAAACCCCGATTTCTGCTCTGCGGAGCAGAGAAACGACAAGGCATCTATGTAAGTACAGTGCATTTAGTATTACAATGTAGTAATAAACATAAAACTGATACAACATATGAATAAGTGTAATAAAGTTGCGTAGGTTAATTTCTTTCGGCACTTTAATCCACAACTTTCCTGGAGTCTTCAAGGATGTGTTTTTATATTCTCGTACAATACAGTAATGATAATTACTTTATTTTTCGTGGTATTTATTAGAAATCATGTTTTTTTTTATTATAAACTCAGTTAAAAGTAATTTTCTACGTGTTTACGAGTTTTTGTTTACCACAGTTCACGTCATAGCATAGACAATCTATAGACTAAAATGGCCGACAGCGTTTTTGTATGTCCATGAAAAGTCTATTTTAAAATTAAAGATTTGTAGCTTTCTAGGTTTAAAAAAAATACAATACATTTTTTTTCGGGCTAATAGAACATTTATTAACCATTTAAAACCTTTTTCCAAAAAGGGTCAACTAGCCTATTGTTTATCTTACAATAAAGTCATATCCGAGTTAAACGTCTATATAATATTATCGGTATTATAATATGACCGGAGTGACCGGCATTCTATGTCTCTTACTGTTTATTATATTAACGAAATTATGCGTTTCGTGCTTTCAAGAGAAGTATATCTGTCTTGCTTCAGACGGCGCTTGCTCCATTGGGCAGTAGGGACATTTCAACCTGGAAAAATAATGTCAACTTGTAGTTTGCTGGCAAATGTATTAGTAGTAATGTTATTTTAATGCTTAACATAAAATTACTACTAAGACCCACTTACAGCAATTTAGCTAAATCTCAATTTAACTAAGACTAGGTTTAGCCCATAGAATAATTTAAAATTGACATTGTCCTTTTTGTCATTTTTCTATGGGTTAATCTTTTCTAGTTTTATATGAATCGAGATTTTGCAAATTTGCTGCAAGTGGAAATAAGTCCACGAATCAACAGCAAGAAAATGAAAATAGTAGAGAAAGGAGGTGTTTGTTTCTACGTAAACACACTCAAATGCCATTTGTACCTAATTCGACGAACAAAGCGATAAAACGCTTCAACGTTGATAAGTTCGTCAACGGTTGTTTATCAATAAGAGAAAGGACATGGCTAAGAAACTGCCCTTAACGTATATAATTATTTTGCAACGAGCCCGTAACTTTATAATATTTTTTTATTAATTATTACGTGTTTATAATTATCATACAACTTTCATGAAATAATGAAATTGACTAACATGTCTGTTTCAAAAGGAAAATGCTCCGTTTTACAAAAATAATTGAACAATCAATGTGTACTACAAAATATTTCTGTCAGTTTAACGAAATTAACAATATGAATTCAAAACTCCCAACAACTATAACATATTTGGCCTTGGCCCTTATTTTTATTATAACAAATCACTGAAGACCTAAAATAATAGATTTTATTTTTCTGATCAGGCTTGAGAGAAGGCTGTATGATAATTAATGCTTTGATTTTTGCAAATGAACAAAATAAAACTTCCCAGATTTCATGTCAGACCGACGACAACAAATTATTTGTATTTATTTTTACTTTACATTCAATCAGATAAATGGAAGGAAATATTCTAAGAAAATGCGAAATTTATGGCTCTGTAAATAATGTGCAACATCTTTTATTAAACGTAGCAAGGTAATGACGTCGTAGCAGGACTTTATCAAAAGTTCCTGAGCGACTTTTTCATAGAAATTATAAATATTCAGCCATTGTGCATTGTATATTACTAAGTACAATATTTATACATTGCTAGGGCAGTCGCTCATACAAAATTTATTTTACCTTTTCGTATGAAAACAGATTCCTCGAGCAAAACAAGCTAAACCAAATGTAATTTTTGAAGTTGTGATACGCGTTTTTCAAGCATTAGGTTTACCAACGACTAAAATATGTCGTCATGCGCTATAAGCTACCCAAATCACTATGCTACTGTTTTTTTCTCATTCTGCTCGATGACATTTATTCATATCATTCTACGACTGACCGCATTTTACTAACTTGACACCCATGGCAAGCTTGTCTCATGGTGACGCTTGTTGCGGAGGAAGGACAAAGCGCAAATTTAGATCTTCAAGCACCCTTACCAACAAAATCTCCATTTTATCAGCCCGCTACCTGAAGAAATGGGTAAGGAGTTGTCTGCGCTTTGCTGACTGACGCACCCATGGCGACCTTGTCTCATGGCGACCTTGTCTCATGACGAGATTCTTGTTGCCGGAGAGTGAGATAAGCAAATACAGGCAGTCCTCGACTAACGTCGTTACAAGTTACGTCGAACAATGTTTTGACACTATTCCTCGAGCATACGTCAATTTCTTAGATTTCCGGTATAGGAGAATTCACTTTTCGCGTGGTCATTGTCCATGGGGCCGGGGCGGGGCGCGGTGTCTGCGAGCGGGGATTACCCCGCACATACAACTGATTTTGTTTTAGTTAGTTCAGGAACAACGGACAATCAAGACGTAATTTTGTTTTTTTTTTGACAGTTTTTATTTACATACATATTTAAGTGAATTTTAATCTAATTATGCCACCTAAACAAGACATTTTGAGTCCGTGTGGATCCGAACCCTTGAGTTTTACATGTAAGCATGAGAAAATATGTCTCGACTTACGTCGCGTATTTCAAGAACCTAACATGCCGTAAGTACGAACTGACTGCACTTTACTGAATTGGCACCCATGGCGGGATTCTTGTTGCCGGAGAGTAGGACAAGCGAATATTTAAAAACCCGCCACCTTAACGGAATGACAAGGAATTGACCATACTTTACTGACTTGGCAACCATGGCGGGATTTGTTTTGCCGGAGTGTGGGACAAGCGAATATTTAAAAACCCGCCACCTAAACGGAATGGTAAGGAATTGACCGCACTTTACTCACTTGGCACCCATGGCGAGCTTATCTCATGGCGGGATTCTTGTTGCCGGAGAGTGGGACAAGCTAATATTTAAAACCCGCCACCTAAACGGAATGATAACGAATTGACCGCACTTTACTGACTTGGCACCCATGGCGGGATTCTTGTTGCCGGAGAGTAGGACAAGCGAATATTTAAAACCCCCCACCTAAACGGAATGGTAAGGAATTGACCGCACATTACCAACTTGGCACCCATGGTGAGCTTGTCTCATGGCGGGATTCTTGTTGCCGGAGAGTGGGACAAGCGAATATTTAAAATCCGCCACCTAAACGGAATGATAAGGAATTGACCGCACTTTACTGACTTGGCACCCATGGCGGGATTCTTATTGCCGGAGAGTAGGACAAGCGAATATTTAAAACCCCCCACCTAAACGGAATGATAAGGAATTGACCGCACTTTACTGACTTGGCACCCATGGCGGGATTCTTCTTGCCGGAAAGTGGGACAAGCGAATATTTAAAACCCGCCACCTAAACGGAATGGTAAGAAATTGACCGCACTTTACTGACTTGGCACCCATGGCGAGCTTGTCTCATGGCGGGATTCTTGTTGCCGGAGAGTGGGACAAGCGAATATTTAAAACCCGCCACCTAAACGGAATGATAAGGAATTGACCGCACTTTACTGACTTGGCACCCATGGCGAGATTCTTGTTGCCGGAGAGTGGGACAAGCAAATATTTAAACCCCCCACCTAAACGGAATGATAAGAAATTGACCGCACTTTACTGACTTGGCACCCATGGCGGGATTCTTGTTGCCGGAGAGTGGGACAAGCAAATATTTAAAACCCGTCACCTAAACGAAATAAGGAATTGACCGCACTTTACTGACTTGGCACCCATGGCGCGGGAACTTGTTGCCGGAGAGTGGGACAAGCGAATATTTCAAACCCGCCACCTAAACGGAATAAGGAATTGACCGCACTTTACTGACTTGGCACCCATGGCGAGCTTGTTGAGGGCGTCGCGTGAGATCACGTGGCCGCACAGCAGTCTCATGGGGGGATTCTGTTCGGACGCTTGTTGGCGGAGGATGGGGCAAGCGAATACGGAGTGGTAACCGCCGCCGTCTTCGCCCAGATCCACCTGAAATAAACATTTGAAATTATTGTCCATTTTGTATGCTAGCGATAGTCTATAGCAAACCTAGCGGCTGCCTTAACCGCGTCCGCGTTAACTTTGGTTTTTAGAGAATCCTACAGGAACCTAACATATTCCGGGATAAATAGTATCCTATGTCTAAATCCAGGACATAAACTGTATGCGTACCTTTTATCAATCAAATCCGTCAATTTGTGGCTATTCGCGCCAGTATTTTCAACAGTTCAAAACATATCATTTTTAGCAAGTTATTACGGTAGTGCTGGTAAAATAGTTTAGTGAATAAGTACACGAGCGACATCTACGGCGTATTTTCGAAGCACGTGGTGGTTTGGGTTTGGAATAGACAGCTATTGATGTTTTGTACGAGGCGCGCTACATATTCAATCCAATAGATGGCGCCACCCGTTGAATAAGTGCAACCTTTTGCTATGATTTTGTATGTGCCTTTTTCATAAATAGGTTTATACTGGCGCAAACAGTCACATAAACAAACATACTCACTTTCCCATTTATAATATTACTCTGACATCTCTGCACGCTTAAACCGCTGAACGGATTTGGATGAAATTTGGTAAAGAGATAGATTGAGACCCGGGAATGGACATAGGATACACGTGGAAAGGTAAGGGTACAAAGCTCAGACAGGCACACGAAACGCGTCGTTTTATCATGCGATCGTTGCTAATTAGGGCGACGCCGAAGAATATAAACCAGTAAACTCACCTCCAGTGGCAGCTCGTCGTCAGCCCACGCGGCGATCACGTGCGGATGCGTCATTTTCGCACGAATATCGTGTAAGGCTGGTAAGACTCGTGCGCCGGCTAACACTCCCCCCGCGAGTGGAGACAACGGGGCGAGTCGAAGTAAAGCACACGCCTCGCGGATAAATAGCTCCGCCGCTTCTGCACCTGTTTTGACATGTATGCTTAACATTTTGAAAACGAAAACAAAATTATAGGTACCAAAATAAGTACCAATATTGGACATTAAACTCGGTGTAAGTAACACACAAATATCGCGTAAGGCTGGTAAGACTAGCGCGCCCGCTAACACTCCCCCCGCGAGTGGAGACAGCGGGGCGAGTCGAAGTAAAGCACACGCCTCGCGGATAAATAGCTCCGCCGCTTCTGCACCTGATTTGACATGTATGCTTTAAATTTTGTAAAGTAGAATTAGCTAATTTCGGCAACTGTTCAAACCAAAGTATTATCCGTCCGCCGTTGAATGAGCTGTGCTTGCTCATAATTAACTATTGACACATTATGGACATGAACACTAGAAATCTTCGTAGTTTTACCACAAAAGAGATAGTACGGAATGAATCTCATGCGCTTACCACACGCACAAGCTTCACCACAGTTTGGCCTGCGCAAGCATCTCGCACGAAAAAACTGTACACTTTGTGCGTTACCACACGGCACAGTTAAGTACGCGCAAGCCTCATTCTTATCGAAATCATTGGCGTGGAAACAATGTTTTCTAATGAAGAAACATTTCTTATGCTACTATGTTTCAAGTGTTTGCTATTAAAAAAAATGGGTGCGTGTACTTATGTAGGCGCGTGAGAAGTTATCCTTCTTTGGCATCGTTTAAAATTAGTTTTTAATTGCATGCAAATATTTTGATTTGTATTAACTAATTAATTCAGACGTGAATTCGCGATTGTACGTACGCAAATCTACCATTTTTGTGTGACGATGACGAACGACCTCATGAAACGACGAGCGAGCCTCGACACAAAGTACACTCGACTGTGGCTTGAACACTGAACGCCCAACCACACGCACAGACAAGTACGCGCAGGCCGGGCTTGCGCAGGCAAAATTTCAAGCAAGTCGAAAATTGCGCAGGCCGCGCTGTGGGGTTGGCGCGTGATACAGTTTTACCAACTACACGCACCGTGTTCCGTGTACAAACCGGCCTGCGCAGGCAAAACTGTGGTGAAGCTCGTGCGTGTGGTAGGCCCATCATGTACATTGGGGGCGGGTGGGTTTTATCACGGGCGAGTGAACACTTCAAAAAATCTTTCCTGTGCAAGCGCTAGACGGGTGATGTTACGGGCCCATCCTGATTGGTCGTAGTATTTTACTATAACCAATTAGCTTGCTCTATGCCGCTACACAGCTACAGCCAGCGGTTTAGCAACATCTCGGAATTTCTGTGATGCGCGTGCGATATCGGGACCAAATAAAGAAATAATAAAACAACAACAATAATCATACACATAATTTAACATTTGGTTTCGATTTTAATATTGAATTCATGAATCTGGTATAGTCATATTTTTAAAGTAAACCTTTAACCTTTTTACTCTCAAATAGAATGAGCTTAATAATTATTTCTTTTATTTTTATTATGCTCTTGTAAAAATAGGTACTAGCTTTCCGTCAGCGGCTTCGCACGCGTAGAACAAAACTTTGATCCTACATTGTAACAACTCAAAGAATAAATTTGAAAATACTACCATTTTCTAATTTTCTAGGTAGCCTAACCAATTACCAACTCCGATATTAACAACTTTAAAATTTTTAATTTTAATTAATACATATTTATCCCCATTTTAAGGAAGTTTCCTAATATCCTTTTTAGGCAACGACTCCTAATCATTAACTACTTTCGTGTAAAATTTCACCTTCATATATAAATAAATACTTAGTAGTTTTCGAGATTTGTCAGTGAATAAATACTCAATTAGTTTCGGTTCTATATACCTATCTAAAGATATATGCGTTAGCATCTAATAGTCGGTGAGATATATTTTGTTATTTTTTTTAACACAAGGCGCAGAAAATTTCCCCTCCCCAGCCAGATATTTAAGTGTGATTGGTGACTAGTGAAGTCTGAAGATAACTGATGCGATAAAAAAGTGTGCCGCTCCAGCCATTCTCACCTTGCTGGTCTGAACCCAATCCACGTCCCCATGGAGCCCTAAAGCCTTATTCACCAACAGAAACACAACACCAAAAGGTAGGAAGTATTATTTTACTGTGGTCTTCTGTAAGAAAAAGGTTAGTTTTCCAGACCGGCGCTCCAATTCCCTGTCTCTTTTAAAATAAATATAATATCGTTAATAATAGTTTTTATATATTAAGTATTTACTTTTACCAGCGTCTATTTTACCTTTAAAAGACGTAGGGCATAGCGGATTTCCCGCTTGAATTGGAGCACGCGTTATACTTGATTAATAACAAACCCCTTTCTAACCAATGGGCAAAATTTAATTTGTGAGACCCTTAGGTCGCGCTGAATCGCTGCCGTACTCAGAGACGCCAATTAACTTTTAATTTAAATTAAAGTTGATGCTGTCACTTTCTATGTAGAAACAAAATTTCTTGGTAAAACAAAATAAGACAACACGCGACTTAATGAAGCATTACCTTTAATTGACGTCTTTGAGTGCAGCCGTTAATGACATATAAAATATCACTGAATTATTCAGGAGTTATGATTCTTATAAATAAATAAGTCGTTAAATAATCTACAGAACTCTTACTTCGTGAATAGCACGAACGATTACAACTGTTTCCGGATTTAATTATGTAGGTAATTGAAAAAGAGGACATTCATTAAATCATTTACGAATTCCAAACAAAATGTAATATCATGAGCATACATTCATCACAACACAACCGAGCTATTGCTGTTCATTCATAAAAAGTCGAGAGCCCGCCCACTAACGAATCGTATAAAACGAGTGCATGGAAAAATCGCCTTAGAGCTGTTCACGCGCCCGTGACCATGTTTGTACGTACTTCACTTTTCATACTAAGCTCGGCGGTCGAGCTAGGCTGGTCAACCTTGGCTTGTGCACAAAAAAATCGTGATAGTGGCATTCGTACGTATCTATTTGTTTAATTTATTGTTGAAAATGAGACAGTAAGTTTGAAAACATACCAATAATAACAAAAGTATTTATATTTTTATTTTTTAGGCATTTAACTGCTAGATGTTTCAATATTTAAGAAGATTTTACTAGAAAAAAAAAACCGGCCAAGTGCGAGTCGGAATCCCGCACCGTGGGTTCCATACAAACCTGTAGGTATATTTTAACAATTATTAAAAAATATTTTTTATTATATGATGTAACTAAAAATTTACGGTTTTCGCATTTTTTCCTTTATCTGTACTATAAGACGTTACTTCGTACCAAATTTCAATATTCTTTAGTTCACGGGAAGTACCCTGTAGGTTTTGATTCCCGTGAGAGTCGAAAATTTGCGGCATAAACGGCTGTACCTTTTGATTGCTTTGGCTTAGAAGTTTGATTTTTTCACAGCTCCAAGGTCTATTAGATATAAATTTCAGTTCATTACTTTTACGGGTTTCTGAGAAAAACGGTCTTGACAAACGATCGGACGAACAGCAAAGTGATCCTATAAGGGTTCCGTTTTTTCCTTTTGAGGTACGGAACCCTAAAAATGGTTGTCTGTAAAGTCGCTCTACGGACGATAGTTTTACGTGATAACCCTGGACACAGATTTTTTTTTGTCATTTCAACTTAGTGCATTAGTGACCTAGATCTACAATAGCGAATCGGTTACTTGGCCTCCCATTAGCGGGTCTCAGCAAGTTTATTCACCCTTGCGTTTTGTTTTGAGGTGCTGCATCTTTTCGAAGTCGCAATAGTAAGATTACTGTGTATAATTTGTAAAAAAATGTCTTTGAAAGACATCCACTGAATATAGTTTTTCGGAAAATTCAGGATTTTCTATTTGTGGCGTAGTTCGTCGGTAATGAACGTTGGACCACAATTTTCTATATTAGTCCTCTTCTTAAACTATAATACTTTAGTTCAAACCTTTCTGTGTCTTCAAACCTATTATTGTATTATTCTTTTTAATTTTGAATTCTTAGAGCGCCTTCTATTTCCCAGTGAGATTTCTCAATACGGTCCCATTTTCATGTTAATAAAGCCTGCATAGTAGTAGTTTCATACAACTGTACAGTTTTCCCATAAATAACGTTTACAAAATAGCTAACACTGGATTTATCTTCAATTCGTTCTTTCGTTGAATTCTTCCCTAAGTTTGTCCAGAGTCGCCAAACGTTGCTCTAAGTTGCTTCCGGTTTTTCTTCTAGCGCTGTCTTTCTTGTAGTTGAGCACAGAGTCTTTATGCTTTCAAATGTAGCTACTTGTACAGTTAAATCATCCATTTTGCGAAGTAGTTTTTGCAGTTTCCTTCTTCCACAGTCTTTGTCGCTTCATGTAGTTTACAAGGAGCTTTGTAGAATCTTGTAGGTGCTGGTTACCGCGTAGTTATTGACCTTGAGTGCGAAATACACGATGTTCTCAATTAACTTGGTGAGACCCGCTTGTGGGAAGCCTAGTAATCGATTTGCTATAGTAGATCTAGGTCACTAATGCACTAAGTTAAAATGTCGAAAAGAATTTCCGTGTCCAGGGACGTAGTTGGACACTGGTGCTTTAGTTGTTGTTTATATGTTGTTTTCTTGTTGTAGTTACTGTTTCGAAGGATCACTACTGCTTGTTAAGCGCTCTCATTTGCACAAGGCTCTGGCGGAACGTGACACGTTTTCGTGCGTGCAGCCGGAGTTCATCGATTTATAACACGTTATCACGGCAAATTTTTTTAGAAATAACTTAAGTATTTCAATCTTATTCTTATGTAACGTAGGTACAAAAAAATCTACCACTTAATGTTGAATTCAATAAACAAAAATAATTAAAATAGATACAAAAAAAAACAAAAAATAATATATGTACATATATTGAATTCAATGCATAAAAAAAGTATACTCACCTAGCGCGCGGGGATCGAGCAGATGCGCGTAGTGCGACGGTGGGGGCGGCGCGTTGGGAGTGCACCACGCGAGCGCGCACACGGCCGCCTGCAGCTGCCGCTCGTGCCGCGCCGCGTGCGACGGGAACTGGGCGCGCGCGTACATTACTGCCGCGCCCACGCCCACCGAGCGGGCCAACTGTACGGGGGCGGTGTTAACGTTATAGCGGTTATATCGCGGCGGACGGGCACCACGCGAGCGCACACACGGCCGCCTGCAGCTGCCGCTCGTGCCGCGCCGCGTGCGACGGGAACTGGGCGCGCGCGTACATTACTGCCGCGCCCACGCCCACCGAGCGGGCCAACTGTACGGGGGCGGTGTTAACGTTATAGCGGTTATATCGCGGCGGACGGGCACCACGCGAGCGCACACACGGCCGCCTGCAGCTGCCGCTCGTGCCGCGCCGCGTGCGACGGGAACTGGGCGCGCGCGTACATTACTGCCGCGCCCACGCCCACCGAGCGGGCCAACTGTACGGGGGCGGTGTTAACGTTATAGCGGTTATATCGCGGCGGACGGGCACCACGCGAGCGCACACACGGCCGCCTGCAGCTGCCGCTCGTGCCGCGCCGCGTGCGACGGGAACTGGGCGCGCGCGTACATTACTGCCGCGCCCACGCCCACCGAGCGGGCCAACTGTACGGGGGCGGTGTTAACGTTATAGCGGTTATATCGCGGCGGACGGGCACCACGCGAGCGCACACACGGCCGCCTGCAGCTGCCGCTCGTGCCGCGCCGCGTGCGACGGGAACTGGGCGCGCGCGTACATTACTGCCGCGCCCACGCCCACCGAGCGGGCCAACTGTACGGGGGCGGTGTTAACGTTATAGCGGTTATATCGCGGCGGGCGGGCACTACCTAACCTCTTTGAGGTACGGCTTACGGCGCGGCCACGACCTCGCTGCTACGAGTGAAAATCAGGAAGGCAAGAAAAACTAAATACTAATAACCAGGTTGTATAGACCTGGTCTTTAGTTTAGGTTCTTTGTTTTCATCAGAATGTAGTAAGTAGTCATCATAAAATAATTATTATCATAAATATTTAAAAACGTTTGCAAATCTTAAATACTACTTAGAATAATCTTAAATACTTGATAATGCTATCATCAGAATGACACATATCAACTATAGTTAAGTTAACTATTGGGTGTTATGATAAATCTATACTTATAATAAATCTGTAGAGAGCTCAATTCTGTACATGAAATATATTTTCAAAAGAACTATCAGGGGGTGATTAGTGATCGATACTGATGCCAAAAATGCAATCAGTAAAATTTTTCTCTGTCTGTCTGTCTGTGTGTATGTTCCTTATAGAAACAAAAACTACTCGAGGGATTTTAACGAAACTTGGTACAATTATTCTTCATACTCCTGGGCAGGTTATAGTATACTTTTCATGACGCTACAATCAATAGGAGCAGAGTAGTGAAGGGAAATGTTGGGAAAACGGGAGAAGTTACTCCATTTTTTAAGCTTCCGTCGCGTGTGTAGCCTTAATGGTTAAAGTTACATAGAAATCATGTATGACGGAAATATTCTACCTAAAATTGTCTAAAAAATATCCCGCAACAGCATATGTCTATCTTTTATGGTTGACTCACAATAACACGTGTAATTATATAAATAAAGTCATTCTTTATAGCACAAGCCTGAGAACAAAAACTATAGTTTACACTACAGCTCTACACCGAAGCGAAGCGAGGGCGGGCCACTAGTAATTAAATAAAATAAAATAGTTTGTTTTTTGGATATAACCTAAAATCACATTAATATGGACTATATTATGACTCATTCATATGATAGTATAATCAAGTAAGTATAGGTATTTTTGCCAGGACAAAAAAATAATAAAATTAGGACTTCTTTTCTTACTAAATGGGCATTACTTTACTTTATGTTAATATTATTGTGGTGTAATAAATATTAAACAATTACGGACATATTAACTACTTATTTCTTGAATATAGGAAAGTCGGTTTGGTTAAAAACATAAGGCAGTGTCATTACCTTCAATGCTTGCATTCTATGTAGAGTAAACGGTAAAGGTGAGTGCGCTAATTCCTCCTTCCGTTCCTCTGCCCACTGCAGCGCTTGAGTGGGATCGCCATCCGCTAGCGCTGCTGCGCATCGCTGCAGCAACGCGAACGTGCAAGTGCGCTCCACTGGGGGAATTCCTGCCTCTGTCACTAGTGAATCGCCTACGTCTTCTAGTCCCTGGTTCCGAAGAGAATAAATTCATATACTTATAGACCATATCCTCATGCTATAAATAGCAAAAACCCACTAAAAACAGAACTGTTTTATATACATAAAGAATGCTGCTAAGGTATCTAGTTAAGTGATGTTGTTCTGTTATAAAAAGCACACAATTGTATAAATACGAAATAAAAGTTTACGAAAACAAAACAACTAAAACTTAAGAGGAAAAATTTATTACAATAAAACCCGTTTAAGACTATTTCACAGGGACTCAATAAAAACGCGTCTTAAGCGGGAAAGCGTATTATGCGGGATAGGGAAATTTCGAATATAGGTATTGAGGTATAAATGTTATATATTTAAGAATTATGTATGTCATAAAATATGTAGTGTATTATTATTTCGTTATTTAAATTAATCACTTATTTTAATTTGTGAAAAAGATTTTGAGGCATTAACAATTACAAGAATTTTAACATAATTTAACTTTGGCAGTACGTCTACGCTTTAATTCAAAGAAGTTACATAGCGTCTTAAATCATTAACTGCTGATAATGTCTGGGCTTGTGACAAAGTCATTATCACTTAGGGCCTCTTCTTGTATGTTATTCTCATTGAATTTTATGCTACTTCAAGAGATAATATATGTGGTACGTGTTGGCGATTTAGGCGTATTAAACGGGATGACAAATCGTATTAAGTGTTAAGAAATGTATGAAAACATGTCTCAAGTTGCAGGGACTGACTCAAAATGGCGTATTATACGAGAAATCGTCATAAGCGTGATCGTATTAAACGGGTTCTACTGTATAAATCAAATAAAATTTCCTAATTTTTAAATGTTTTACATAAATAAAACAGCATGCTTAAGGGAAAATTAATAATGTTTGAAATTGGTGCTAACACAAGTACTTAACAGCAATTTGGATCAATTTATTTCTTGACATGGCACTGACTTTAATAGATGTTGATTATCCTTTCACTGGTCAAAGTAATAATGTATTTGCCTTACTCCTCACTTATGACAAAAAATTTCATAATGTGCTAATATATATATATATATATATATCCAAGTATACCTATACTTAAAGAAAAGCTTACTAGAAAAAATTCCACGCAGACCAAACAGGACAACAGGGTAACCTGGTCCACATGTTTTTTTTTTCTAGTAAGCTTTTCTTTACATTTAAACAACAAGTAGTTATATGCTTAAAAAATAAAAACATAACTATACCTATACTTCTCGAAGACTCTACTACTCTTCTATTAGAAGTATAGGTATAAGAATAGCCCTAAACAAATCTGAGTGGAGAAGATTAGAAACAGCATTTCTTCAAAGATACGAACATCAACTAGATATTCTGTAGGCGCTGGGGTAAGCCTCGTGTCACTAACACACGACATTCACTAAACTTTTTCATATTTTTAATCATTGTTTAAAAACTGGTAGCTTTAATAAAGGAGTTTTTTATTTTATTTTTATATACTTTCACTGTACTTTTCATTTAAGTATAGGATTATTACGTCATAAAGTAGTTATGTATTACTTTATAACAAAAACACATGAATAAAGAACTATAAAAAGTTATTATGTATCAAAGCTCCAAAAATGTGATTTGGATAGCAAGCTGATGAGTAAAAAATAGTGTGACCATAAATGTCATACCTGTCTATATAAATGTTGTGCAATGGCTTGTTCCATAATAGGTCTGTTTGTGTCACAGCAAAATGTTTCTGCCCTTGGTGCGACTGACCCATAATCCGCAATGAAGTGCCTGTCAATTGATTTGCCTACTCGGGACACAGTTGCATGTAGCTCACGGTGTTCTGCAAACAGTACATTCATTCTAGTCAAATCAACCAATAATAAATAAATAAATATTTCCAACACTCACACCAATTAGCTTAGGCTCAAAGTAAGCACTGTAAGGCTTGTGTTATGGGATACTAGGGTAACGGATAGAATACATATACTGTACATATATAAGTATATAGAAATACATATTAAACATCCATGACTGGAGTACAAATGCTCGCATTCATCACACAAACATCTGCCCCCACCGGGATTCGAACCCGGGACCTCTCGAGTCGGTGACACCATGAAACCCAGCGTACAAACCACTCGGCCACGGAGGTCGTCAAATAAAAAATTAACCAATAAATTTACAAAATTATTGTACATGAAATTTGCTTATCAATAAATCTAACAAATCAATTGAGCATTTTTCAAGTGGTACCCAGTATCAAGTGGCACAAATATGTAACAGTTGATTTTTATTTATATAAGTAAACGATTTTAATGCAAGCCTTGGTCAACACATTAAAAATCATTAGCTGATAGTGATAGAAACTATCACTAATTAATTACATAAACACACCACTCATCAGAGATAATCATTGCTACTGCCTTGTTTAATTCACTGGTTGAATAAAGTTAACAAATAACAATTTAATTTCAAAAAACGAAGATCACAAATAATGTATACCTGTAGACATTTGAAACACCGTTTGCTTAACTCTAGTAGCCAGTTCACTAACAACCATAGACTGGGTTTGAGACAGAGGAGTATTTGATGGCTCTGCAATAAAAAAAATATATGGACAAACAAATAATCACATACCTATATATATTTCAAACTAGCTCTGAATTACTGGTCAAAAGAAAGAAACAATATTAAATTTTAATATTGTTTCGAACACATCTAAAGAAACAAAGTGAAAGCAACAAAGGTCTAAAGTGTTGTGAAAATCCTAGCTAAAGTAGTGTTAATTAAGTAGGCTAGCTGTATACTTACGTCTAGCTATCTCGTTTTTTAAATTTTCTACTTGTTCAATTACATCCTGTAAAACTCTATCAGTGTGATCGTTTAAAGAACTAAATTTTGTTATGGCTTTGTCCAGATCTTGCTCTACACCGATACACGAATCCATATTTAAATTTTATCTTCGTTATAATAAAACCTGTGTTTATACTAGGAGTCAATCTCCTTCATAAAAAACGAAATCCAAGTCAACAATCTTCAATTTAAGATAAGAACAACAGACATTTACATTTTCTTTTTGCTATGCATTGCATTCAATTGCAAGCAAGACAAACAAAACGTCAAAAACGAAAACGAGTGTCATTCTTAAGTCATGTCATTCCTATATTTTGCTCAAGAATTTATGATTTTGCTGCATACCTTTCTTTTTTTTTTTTTTGTTAATTTGTCCCTGTTGGGACGGGCAAAGGATTCTGTTTTTTTTTTGTTTTTATGTAATTTTTACGGCCTTGGAGTTTCCCATATTGGCTAGCATAAATTTCCGATATATTAGATAGAGATTCCTACTCTTTGGTTATATGCTAGCCAAACGGAGTGATTACATTCTCTATGGCTAGCACTAAGTGGCTAAGTGCTATAGTAGCGGCTTGGTAAAGTGGCTAAATGCTATAGTAGCGGCTTGGCAGCGACACACTAATCATCATAGCGTACCGCTATTATTTCGGGCCGTTTTGACTTTTGTGCGTTCTTGAAGTTTTCTAATCTAAATTCGAAATTAGTTCTACATTTCAAAGCAATAATTATGTTCTTCATTGTCATTACAGACGTGAATTTAGTCATAAAACTTATCAAATCGTAATTTTAGGGTGTAGAATTTAAATTTTACAAAACTGTCTAAAATCATAGCCTAACTTATATTTAGGTTAAAAAGACCTTTTCAGGTTTAAAACCATTTAATATATTATCTTTCTTAATTCAAAACCACCGACCCTTTGACTGAATCTTTAAAGAATTAAGTAAATTAATTTTAAAAATATTTTATTCTCATTACCGTTAAGAATTTAAGTTAATTGAGGGCGCCACTGTTTGCGTAAATGTCACAAAATATGACGTTAACAACTGAGGTTACCAAAGACGGCGTCGTCAGTTCCAATTTTCGCCACATTCATAAAGATCTTGGTCGCTCTAACTTATCTGTGCTGCTGACTGCTTAATTCGTTCGTTCATTCATTCTCAGCTTCACTTCAATCATGCGTAGAAATAGTATCTCCTAGTCTGTGCTTCAATCAAAATTCTCCATCTTTCATTCATTGTGAGTCGAATTTCAGGTTAGATTTTTTTTGGAATTCCGATTAGAATTTAGCAAATAGTTATATCTGCGAGTTTATTGTCATGGCACAAAGTAAGTTGAACGACATGGCTGGAAAGTTTGCAAAAGGGGGACCTCCTGGAATGGGTATCGGTCTGAAAGTCGTAGCGGTGGTCGGTGCGGCGGCTTATGGTATTTCGCAATCTCTGTTTACCGTAGAAGGTGGTCATCGTGCTATTATGTTTAACAGAATAGGAGGTATCCAACAACATGTTATGACTGAAGGTCTGCACTTCCGCATACCATGGTTTCAGTACCCCATCATTTACGATATTAGATCACGACCACGCAAGATATCATCGCCTACTGGGTCCAAAGATTTACAAATGGTCAACATATCCTTGCGCGTACTGTCTCGTCCTGATTCAAACAGTCTACCAATAATGTATCGACAGCTTGGCACTGATTATGATGAAAAAGTTTTACCATCAATTTGTAATGAAGTCCTAAAATCTGTTGTGGCGAAATTTAACGCTTCTCAGTTGATTACGCAGCGACAGCAAGTTTCGCTTTTAATAAGACGTGAACTTGTTGAACGCGCAGCTGATTTTAACATAATTCTTGATGATGTCTCCCTCACTGAATTAAGTTTTGGTAAAGAATATACAGCTGCTGTTGAAGCTAAGCAAGTTGCTCAGCAGGAAGCTCAAAGGGCCGCTTTTGTTGTTGAAAGAGCTAAACAGGAGAGACAACAAAAGATTGTCCAAGCTGAGGGTGAAGCAGAAGCAGCTGAAATGTTGGGCAAGGCAATGGGAATGAATCCTGGCTATCTTAAGTTGCGTAAAATTCGTGCTGCTCAAAGTATTTCTAGAATGATTGCTCAATCACAAAACCGTGTCTTCCTTCCTGGCAACAGTTTGATGATCAACTTGCAAGATCCTACCTTTGATGACCTTTCAGAAAAACTTACTAAGAAGAAGTAACAGTTAACTATGGTAGAGTGTGTTGATAATGTGGAAGCAGCAACCACTCTTACCGAACAAGAAGCTACTGTAATTATTAGTGGTGCTGCTTCAATTGCTGTCTAGCTAGAAAGTATATTGTATTTCATGCATTTCAAAAATTTTTACAATGTCGATTACCACTGTGGTCTTTTCCTTGATGTTGCATTTTATGTTATTTAGTTGTAGGTCCATAGAAAGAATGTGAATCAGATGATAATAATAAAAATATAAAAGCAAAGAACTTTCATTTTCTTAATATCCTCAGTTCACTTAACTTGCAATATAACAATAAGTGTATGCAATTGTACCTATGTACATTTTGTCAATTCATCAAGTGCATTATGTTGTGATTAATTTTCTTATTAAAAAAATCACAAATCAATTGTAGTCACAAAATGAAAACAGGATGATATCATGATGACATAAGATTTCATATTTTTAAAGGAAGTAGTAGGTAATATTGTTTTATATTGGTAAAACATGTGCAATGTCTATTTATTATTAGGTAAGAAAAACTGGGGGGGGGGGGGGGGGGGGGGGTATTATTTGTGTTTAATTCACTGGCAAAACATTCACTTAGGTCTAACTCAATAAAGCCTGCTTAGGGACAGCAGACTGTAAGGTTCACAAGTCAAGTCACCTTTTAGAGATTGTAGGCATCTTATAAACATTTTATTATCTGCATTGGAAAAGTAACAAAGATATTTCGCCCGTTCCCAGTACTCTTACCACTTGCACTACTGGGAATTTCCTAACCAGTAAGACCACTGAGAACTTTGTACCCAGAGGACTCACCAGTAAAACTAAGCTCCTAATAGCCCTACTCTTATGTAGACTTAGGTAATTGATAGAGATTTTGAGACACATTTGTCAGAATAAATTATAGATTGTTTCTTCTGACTTGAATGGGAATTTAGTCATATTCTGCTTTTGTCAGAATAAATTATACGCTGTTTTATTCCGTCAAAAGTGGAAATTCCAGATTTAGTTTTATGGCCAAGAGTAAATGAATAAATATCAGATGATTCATGTTGAATATTGTATTTTCTACCACGTACGACAAAACTGTGGAATATATTGTCGCCAGCAGTGTTTCTGGACCAATAGGAGCCAAAAACCTTCAAAAAAAGAGCGTACTCCTTCCTTAAAGGCCGGCGTCGCATTTGTGATACTCCTGGTGTTGAAAGTGTCCATGGGCGACGGTGATCACTTACCATCAGGTGAGCCGTCTGCTCGTATACCCCCTATAACATAAAAAAAATATATATATAAAAAAATATGAAAGAAGATATTATTATTCTTTAACCTCTTATTCCTGCATGCTCTCCTGGTAGTTTTTCCATATAATGATTGTTTAAATGGAAAACTTAAAGATACTGTCCATCAAAGTAAGAGGTCTGTTTTTTTTAAATTTTGCTAAAGTAAAAATAATGGAAAAAAATAACACCAGGGAAGTCTTACTATCAGTAAGTCTGCTGGGAAGGAAATTTTTAGTAGTTTAACTGGTCAGAGTACTGGGATCGGGACATTTTAACATTTAGTTATTTATTCTTAGATTTTCTTGTGAAATGATTCTTTTACAGTAAATAGGATAGATTGATTGGTTAAACCAGGTAAGTTGGTCATTCAAAACATTGTACTTAGGCCTATTTATCCATTGTGATTGGTATACAATGTATATGTGTCTATCAGTCATTCATTATTTAAAATTATTACAAACATTTTAATTTCTTTTTATTTCATTCAATATAAAAAGAGATCATAGAACCACAAAAAAGGGATCATAGAACCACTTTTTCTTTGAGCAATGGGTTTGACCTATTACATCAAATAATAATCTTAGGTTATACGAAAAGTACATAAATAAAAGACGGTAATACAGTAACAGTTTCTAATATTAAAAAATGAAATAACAATAAATTACTATGACAATTTACATTAATAAAATGATGTAATTTTTACTTTTTAAGTGCAGATGGCTGCGGTAGTCTGTACTTTGACATTTCAATTTCAGCTTCAAAGAAACTCATGTTATCATAACAAAAGTATTCCGGAACTTTATAGGCACCAGACTTGTTTGGATCTACTCCGGGGCCAACAGGCTGTGAAGCAGGATGGATAACTGCGCTGCTAAGACCAGCAACATCAGCTTGCACTATGTTTGATTTCGTAGATGCAGGTGGAGCTTGATTCTGACCAACTTGTTCACTATAACACCTTGCTAACATTCTTAAGTTACATTTCTGAGCAAGCCTCAAACTCATTGTACCTGTAGTAACTATCTGCGCCTAAAGTCGAAAAAAATAAAACCAAAAATTGCTTGTTGCGTATTGACAAATTAATTACACAACCAACCACAGACGAACATAGATATTAAACAGCATAGAGAAAAGTAATACACTGGAAATTAAACAGTCTATAACATTGTTTATGATTTACATTTTGTGGTAATGAATGGCAATACTGAGAGAGAGATCCCTGTGTCTCTATCTCTTTTACATGTATAGCACTGTCCCGCATGCCGGGTCCAGCATGATGGATAATGCGTAGAGGACTTTAGCTGCTGAAATCCTTTAACAGTGGACTCAACCAAGTTGGGTGGTTTTCATCGTCTTAGGAGTAGAAGTTTTTTTTATTGAGTACTTTTGTTTTTACAAAGCCTAACCGTCTCTGAATGGCAATTTTAAAATATTATAATTGGTATATCTTTCAATATAGTATATATAGTAGTTAGTTATATTAGTGTTACAATTAAAAACCTACAAAACTGTGAATTGTTATAAGAGCGGTTTTGATTTTTAATAAAATATTACTGTTCGATATTTATTTATTTTTAATTTTAAACTGGTTAACAATCAATTAATGATGTCGATTCTGGCATGATTCTCTAAACCTAAACTTAAATTTGACAACAGTACCCCTAGCACGAACCATTGAGCCCAATTCTGGCGTGCCAACTTATGTCTAAATTTAACTAAAATTAGATATTGGTGGTTTTCCAATTACAGAGCATAATGCGACTCAGTGGCGCACAATGCCGAATTATGCTGATGCTTAATTGGAACGTGAATTAGTTTTCAAATGCACCAGCAGGGTGCGCTAAGTTCAGTATTGATAAAAAAAGTCAATGTTTGTACCTTCATCCATATTTATATTTAATTTTTTAACACAGTTTGAACCAACTTTGATTATTTAAAAAAAAACTATAATGAAAGGAAAGTTTTATATCTAAAAAAAACATTTCGATCAATGCCAACTTAAAGAAAAAACACTTGTTAATTTTCTGTCTCTGAGTTGGTACGATTGCACGCATCACACGAAAGCATTACTTTTGAGAGTGCTCGATTGTGCGAAGCGTTGCTGTAGTTGAAACACTCAACGTTAAGCATTATGCCGCATAATGCGCTGTAATTGGAAAGCTACCATAGAGTTGTCAAATTCAATTTGGTATGCTGTAATGACACACTCTCTAAATTTAAAATTGACGTCGCTAAGTTATTCAACTTAGATTTAAATGTTATTCTGAAACCTGTTCTAATTGTCATATTTTCTCTAAAATTAGAAATATCATACAAAAATAAATAAAATAAATATTTATCTTAAATATATCTTGTTATACTCTATACAGAATGAAAACGAGAGACTGATGTGAAATTTAGTTTTAAGTTTAGATAATCACGCCAGAATCGATACCATTATCGAAGGTATACACGTATTACAAATGAAGATTTTGGACATCTTTAGCCAAAGCACGTCACCTGCGGGAAATCAACAGAACTTTAATGTGCGTGGGACGATCGCTACGGGTGTTGCGATAACTTTTTGAAGTTAAATCTTCTTAGGCACGCTTGACTTGGGAGGTAAACTGGCGAATGTAGGTGACGAGTTTTGCGTTACGCGGGTAACGCGTACACCAGTAACTCATCAGTAAATAATGAACAATACCCGTCACAAAATACATGAATCTAGTGCTTGGTGGGGGATAACGGACCCAGTGCGGATTGGTGAATGATAACGGACCCTGCGCGATTTGGTGGGTGATAACGGACCCAGTGCGGATGGGTGGATGATAACTAACCTAGTGCTGATTGGTAGGTGATAACGTACTCAGCGCGGATTGGTGGGTGATAATAGACCCAGTGCGGAAAGGCAGTAGAAACTACGACCGAAGCCGAAATTGTCGCAGCAAACGAAGCAGCACGCGAGGTAGTGTAGCTACAAAGGCTGTAATGAAACCACCGACCTAAAGCAGACAACAGCTCTAAAAATGGATAATGACGATGCTGTAAAATTCACACATTGCTGTGAGACACTTTTATGTACGAGAACTAGTTGCAGAAGGAACAATACAGGTCAGACACGTAGGGGCAAACCTACAAAATGCTGATTTACTGACAAAGCCCCTCAGCACACCGTCCATTACATCGATATCAGACCGAATAGGTTTGAGTTGTTTGTAGTTTATCCGTTTTCATAGACTTTGCAAAATGGGAGGATGTTGGGGTTTATGTATCCACGGCTTTGTGTCATAATATATGAAAAAGAAAGAAGCTTGACATATTTAAGGAATAAAATAAAAGACTGACTGCAGTGTTGCCAACTACTAGCATTGCCCAGTTGCTAGACATCTTACAAAATGTTGCTAGATTGTCAGTTTTTATTACCCTAAAAAGTTGCTAGAAGTAGCTAAATCTTCCAGTAGGTAAAAAAGATACAATATTACAAGAAGGGATATCATCACTGACCGTAGACGCATAAAAATGAGTGAGACCTTTATTTTAAAAAGAAAACCTTGTAAACTAAAATTATCATACTAATTTTTCCCGTCGAAAAAGTCTGCTTTCAACAAAACGAGTTTTAAATTCACGTACCTGTTTGGCACTTTACTTTCTGTCTAAGTTTTTTGTCCTAGTATGTTTCTTTATGTCAAATACTTTAAGAAGAATTTCCGTAGAACAATAAGTACAAAACGCTTTGCACTTGCTGCTATTAACCAATCTGTCTGTATTTCTGTGCGTATGTTTTTTTCTCAAGGGTTAATACAGCGAGCATTAGTTTTATATGGATAAAAAAACACTGGGATACGAGTGGTGCGTACTACTTTGGTTTAGTAAATAAGTACCCACATTCTGTCATAGTGCATTCTGTCGGAGCGTAACATTAAATAGGGAATTCCCGGCTAAGGCCGACCTACGACCGATACCATAGTATCTTTAATCTATATACCTATAGGGTACGGGTACGGCCAGAGTGCACTCAGATTCAGATTCAGACTCAGAAAACAAGCGCGAGAAATATACAGTGTAGTTTAAGCAGGTTGCCTGCTGCCACTATGGCCACCCTGCTTTAACTACACTGTTTATTTCTCGCGCTTGTTTTCTGCACTCTGGCCGTACCCTACGGTCAGAGTGCACTCAGATTCAGATTCAGACTCAGAAAACAAGCGCGAGAAATAAACAATGTAGTTAAAGCAGGGTGTGTCGCGCAAGGACTCTGTGGGCAATCTGTGTGGTTGTCTTATTCTATCTTTATACCTAGTGCAATGAAGTATATTAACTACTACCAAATACTGACACATTCTTTAGAGGTTCAACCAGAAACCACACAGAACCACACATGTCTCATCGTCTGCCTACAACCCACACCAACAGGGTGTACAATGGACTGAGGCAGACCGCGATTATTCATACTTTCGGCATTGAACAATTTAAACATGTTACTATACTAGTGCAAGTCATATTAATGTTTCATACCTTATTCTGTCTTGTGTTACATTTGCTATAGATATCTGCTTCGCTTATTTCAATTTATTCCCATCGTCAATTGTCAATATCATCAAGGAATCTGTATAGAGAAATTATACCATGAATCTCAGAGTTGAGACACTAAGCATCTTCCTCGCCATGATTAATACCTATACATTATATGTACACACACATCAACATTCACATATACATTCACGTCGATTTTCTACTCATTTTACATTACATTTCATGATTGGCATAGGACACTTTCAGCGTATCCTGTTTGATTATCATAAGCCTTTGATCATGAAACCAAGGTGTGTCGAGCAGCCCTTGCACACACTCATCCTGGCTTCCCTTGTTCATCGGGAGGCCAAGGTGTGCCAAGCAGCCCTCGCACACACTCATCCTGGCTAACATCATCCCGCGCAACGCCCGCAAGCGTTCGCCAGTACAATCGTCAATCAATGTTACGAAGGAACTGCTCGTATCATAGGTAAGCCATTCCTCTGGCTAACATCATACCCGCGCAACGCCCGCAAGCGTTCGCCAGTACAATCGCCAATCAATGTTACGAAGGTACTGCTCGTATCATAGGTAAGTCATTCCTCTGGCTAACATCATCCCGCGCAACGCCCGCAAGCGTTCGCCAGTACAATCGTCAATCAATGTTACGAAGGTACTGCTCTTAATATAGGTAAGTCCCTTTTTTGACCTACCAATCGACACGTGAAATCATATGGACCATAAATAGTAATTAATTGACTCGGGGAAGATACTTAGCTCTCATATCCAGAATCTCGCAAACAGCACACATTTCAGCCGGAGTCGAAAAGGAAAAGAAACTTTTCTGACAGGTAAAAAACCGCGGAGTTACGGGCCACAGATTAGGTATTAAAATCGGTTAATGTTACTCACCGCAGATTACAGGATTTTGTTGCCATATCCAATATTTACATTTCGCGACTTGGTCAAGTTTGCCCGTCGCGACAGGGTGGCCATAGTGGCAGCAGGCAACCTGCTTAAACTTATTTCTCGCGCTGGTTTTCTGAGTCTGAATCTGAGTGCACTCTGGCCGTACCCTTAGAGCCGCGTTCAGTTTTTAGTTTTTTCGTTAAAGATTTGGTACCCTACTCCATGAATCTGTCATGAAATGAAAAGATCCTAGAAAAAGTAGCTAAATAGTTTAGCTACAAATTTTATTAAATTGTAGCTGTGTGATACCAAATAATAGCTAGATCTAGCTATAAAGTTGCTAAGTTGGCATCACTGACTGACTGTTTAATATCACTTTTATTGTAATGTATTTTTCTTTTATCTTATCAATAACGGACCCAATACGGAATGGTGTTTTTTTTTTCTATCAACAAATCTTCAGGTTAAATTTATGATTTATTATGAAATGACCCGTGTGTCGCGCATGAGACTTTGTAGGCGTTCGGTGTGGTTGTCTTACTCTATCTTTATACCTAGTCCAATGAAGTATATTAACTACTACCAAATACTAACACATTCTTTAGAGGTTCAACCAGAAACCACACAGAACCACACATGTCTCATCGTCTGCCTACAACCCACACCAACAGGGTGTACAATGGACTGAGGCAGACCGCGATTATTCATACTTTCCGCATTGAACAACTGCTCTTAATATAGGTAAGTCCCCTTTTTGACCTACCAATCGACACGTGAAATCATATTATACACATCACATGGGCAATAAATAGTAATTAATTGACTCGGGGAAGATACTTAGCTCTCATATCCAGAATCTCGCCAGCAGCACACCTTTCAGCCGGAGTTGAACAGGAAAAGAAAACTTTTCTGACAGGCAAAAAACCGCGGAGATACGGACCACAGATCAAGTATTAAACTCGGTTCACCACAGATTACAGGATTTTGTTGCCATATCCAATATTTACATTTCGCGACTTGGTCACGTTTGCCCGTCGCGACACCGTGGAAATGACAAGGACTTTAATTTTAGCACGCTATGGTTTTAAGACTAGTTTCTGTACTGTGTACAATTAATTACCCACATTTTCTTTTTGTACAGTAGCTCCCTAATTGTTTTTGACAGATGGAAGTGATAATCACCGAGCTATTAAGTGATCCACTACTGCTTTATTATAATGCCACTAAGATACTTGTTCTGAAAGTGATCGCTTTTAGTGATAAGACCACCCATTGATACACTAGTTTTAATTGGTTTTGTACTAAATGTAATGTTTTCTGTGGTGTACAATAAAGCGCTTTGTATTAATTATTTTATTTTTATAATGAAATGTGATAGATACATAGTAATGCTCAGGCATTATGTGTGGTATGTGATATTGATATATAGCAACGTATTTATATTTTATTGTATTACATCCACAAAAATCGCTGTTAGAAACTTTATTAAAGATAGATAAAAGTTAAGAGAATAGGCCGGGTTGTTGGCGTGATATGGTGAGCGAGAGAGAGAAGAGCTTAATCTGTGAACTGAAACAGTCAGTCAGTATCGCATTTCTATTGTCTATGGTACTTTTTCACGACTGTTTTGGATAGTTTACCTACCTTGCCTATTCCGCCGAATTTTGAGAGCAGATATGGAATTATGGATGTAATTTAGTGTCCATTCGATATTTCGAAGTGTTGTAATGTATTATTCTAATATTTTATTCTACTAGTGTCCTGGGATTCATTATAACGCTAGTTCAGCCATTTACATGAAAGGTAAGTACAAAAAATCAGTACTTCTTGTTTTTTTAGTTTTGGATACTGACTTGGTTCCACCGCAATTAGAATTGTGAGAATGAAGCAAGTTTTGGGACTGGTAGTTAAATTTCAATGCGTTTATGTTATGAGACGAAGAAATTATGGATACATTGTCGTAGCCATATACTATAGTTCACACTAATATATACTTAGTTGCCGCTATTTTCTATGTTATATTTGTGTATAAGAATATTAACCGACCAAGTAGAATTGGTCGAGCCTGTGTTCCGTTTCAAGTTTTATTTTCTGCAGTTCCCTTAGCGGGAATTGTTCAATATTCAGTTTACTTTAATGTACGTTGTTGAAACTAACTATAGTTGATATAATTTTATACAAATAATATGCATGTGCAATCCAGCGTAAATTGGTTAATTTCTTCTTATCTATATTTTGTAATTTTTTATATTTTTTCATAAAACGGAGCGTATCAAGCTCGTCTATGGTTTTTTTGTTACTACCATTTTTATTTGGCGTTAGCATTTCTGGTATCTATTTTACTACGCGAGTGCGAATTGTGTTTAGTCAAGTTTTATTATATTAAGTCGGAATTTAGTATTAATATTGTCAAATCGTAACGATATCGATATTCAAGTGTATGTAAATAACATCAAATATTTGACATGGCGGCCGAAGTGCCAGTTTGTGATGTGCTATGTGAGGCGATGGAATATTTATCGAAATTGGGTTCCAACCTCCGTGCTCGTTCTGAAAGTTTAAAAGAAAAGCGCATACGTAAAGATAAATTAAAGAATTCGCATGCAGTTCAGAAAGCCGCTGATAAAGTTCTTCTTATTTGTGAATTATCTAAAAAGTCACTTGAAAATGTTGAAAGTGGTGTACGTACAGTTCTGTCTAAAGTAAAAGACAGTTATCAAACATCCAGTAAAAAAACCACATCGCCTTCAACATCGAAAAAACATGATCATTATCAATATTTTACTGTACAGTCTCGCTCAGTAAGAATATCAAAAAAGGTTCCGCTGAAACATTACATGTCTGTGAAAGTTTTGGCGCGCAATATGGCCAAATCGTTTTGCGATAAGTACCCTGTTCATTACGATTGTAAACTCTATAGAGAAAGGAAAAGTTTGGAAAAGAGAAAATCTGAAACTAAAGTTAAGGATAGCGTTGAAGAACTCAATGAAGAAAAACCGAACACAGGTGAAAAGGATAAAAGTGAGTGTCTTGTGGAACCAACACAAAACAATTCTATTGAATGTAACAACAGCGATCCTGATTCTATTAAAAATAAACATAATAATGGATTAAAATCTTTAGATGAACCTACTGAAAGTGAAAGCAAATTAAAAATGAACTTAGGGGATGAGATTCAAAGTAATGATAAAACAACCGAGATTGGCCTGAAAGTGCCTGAAGAAGATCACCTGAAGAATAATAGGAATGAACAAATACATGATACAGGGTCAGTAAACAACAAATATGAAAATAATACAGAGAAAGACGATGATAAATATTGTCCTGATATAAAAAAAAACTCTCCGGTCCCTGATTATGGGGGACTGGAAGAGAAAGTAGCTAATAAAAAAGAGCAATGTGATTTAAAAACAAGTAAAAGGAGCAATAGTATGTCTGAAGATACAGACCTGACTGAAAAGTCTAAAAAGCATATGAAAAAGAGGTTCAAACATATAAGAATTATTGATGACAGTTCTGAAAATAGCAGTGAACCATTATGTGGAGAGCCATCTGTGCAATACAAGGATGGACAAAATTCAAGTAAAACTGATCTTGAAATTAGTGATAAAAGTAAACAACAACAACAGGAACAAAGTGAGGTTTCTGAAAAAGAGAGAAATATAGAAGGTGCTGTGGACAAGGAAGAAGAAAGTAAATCAAACAGACCTATGATAAAATGTGTCAGTATAAACAAACTCCTTAAACCTGATATTTTGAAAAATAATGAGAGTAATAATTTGTCTAAAGAAAATAAAGAAACTAGTAACATAAAAAAAAAGATAGAAAATAAAAAAAGTGCTAAGGTAAATAGCATTGACAAATATCTTGCAAAGAAAAAAAGTAAAGATATTGTTGATAAGAACAATATGACAAAAAATGTTTTAGAAATAATTTTATCAAGTGATGATGAAGAGTATTGGTCTCAAAAACGTAAAGAAGTCAGCACATTTAAGTCTAAAAAGTTGACAATTAATGTTAATAGGCTTCCAGTTTTAACACCAAAGTTTTTGCAAATACATAATTTAAAGAAAATAACTCAAAATAGTAAAACCGTTTGTGAACTTGGTGAAGATCAAATGAATAATACTAGCTGCTCTGATAAAGTTAACAATGTAACCACAACAGAAAAATCTAAAGAGTTTAAGCAGAATCCTTCTGAAAAAATTGATAAAGTGAAAAATTCTCTCTTAAATGAATCCGATTCTGAAAAGTCAGATAGTAATCAGCATTCTAATTTGGAAGAGGTTGTAAAAACTGTCAAAACAGCATTATTGAATTTTTCAGCTGCTGATAATCTAAATACACAAAGCTGCAGTACAGAAAATGTGGTGGTAGATAAAGAATCGCAGGAAAATGCCAAAAGTAATAACCATGATGAACAATGTTTAATTCAAACTGAGGATGTTGAACTTGAAAAGGGAAATGCTAAAGATGATCTTCTTAATAACTCAGATTCTGGCATTAATTTTAAAATTAATGAAAAAAAATTACAGAAAACTGAATATAATGAGAATAATACAATAGAAATTAAAACAAGCCTGCTTGCAGAATCTGATTCGGATGAGGCTGTAAAAAACTCAAGACAAAATATTTGTGAAGAATATCACAAGGAAGACCAAATGGAAAAGGATATTGTTAATGATTTTCAGAGTAATTTACTTAATAAAGATTCAATTAGGCAGTCACAAGCAGCTGATATCGACAATCACACTTTATCGAAAAATAATTGTTCTGAAAATGTTGAATTGTCAGTTGGTGATCCCTCCTTACAAAGGAATATACAATTAAATAAAGATGAACCAAATAAGTCTGATGATCAGTTAAATATACCACTTAGCAAAAAAAGAAAACGTAGACAATCCATAAAATATAGAAGAAAACATATTATGGAAAGTATGCATGCCAAAAAGATGTTGCTAACTTATTCAAGTTCCGACACTGAAGACGAACAATTGAAAGATGCTTTAAAAGAAATCAAAGACTCATTATTAAAAGAAATGTCTTCAGAAGAAGAAAATACTGAAAAGTTGAAGGTGTCTAATAAAAGCTCTACCTCATCAGAATCTGAGGAAGACATATTAAGGAAAGTAAAAAGATTGAAGAAACAAGATAATGAAGGTGATATTATAAGTAGAGAAACAGAACATGAAAGTACAAATTCTGAAAAAACAGCTCCAAATAGTAAAGTGCAAAGTGTAGACAGCATCGATGAAAAGTCCAACTCTGGTAGTAGCAAGGTTAGGTTATAAATACTAGATACTAATGATTAATTATAACTTATGTAATTTGTTATGCCATAAACATAATGATATGTTATAATTTCTATTTAATATATAAGAAATAAATTGAGCATTTCAAGGTTTAACAAATATAAGAATTAAATATAAAAACTAGTCAATAAGTACATAGCCACTGTATGAAGTTTTGGCAAAATATATGAATTCAAGTTTGTGAATATTGTGTTTAATTTGGATAATATTCAAATTGTGAAAGTGGCTGAATTACCATTCATATATAAAATGCCCCTTCTGTGATTAATTATCAAAACTTTTAGGTTTTTTATGATATATTCAGGCTCAAGTTCAGTGATCACTTACAAAGATAAATATTAATTACAGATGGGGCGGTCTAGGGCACAACCTGGTGGCAGCAGCCAGAATTCAGACAGCCAGGAACCAAATGACAAAGATATTGATGGGTAATTATCATTAGGGTCAAGATACTCTGATACTGGCTTTTGCATTATTGCTGATAAAAATTTGCACATTAGTATGTACTATGCCAATCAACCTCTTTTGGAGTTATGCAAATGCAATCTTCACAAACATTTTTTTTTGTTTTACACTGTAACACAATGGAAATGTGTGATATCAAAGTTTGGATTTATAGTGATAGTAACAATTTTGTTTTTCGTCAGTCGCCACCGTCTGCCGTGCCGACTGAATGCAGTCATTCATACAATTTTGTTTAAACAAACCATCGTCAGCGTGTCTTGCCTATAAAATTATAATAACAAATTTAACAGTAGTTTATCAGTGAAATTAGTTTTCGGAACACCTTTCAATCCTAAGATATAAGGTTGACCTATTATCTGTTATAAGAGATTTCACTGGGGTTAAAAATGACCTTTGATGAAACTTGAGAATTTACAAGTAACCTTTTGTTATCTGTACCAATTATATCTCCTAATATTTAACTTATAATATTATGGATAAATATTTCTTGTAGCCTAAGATAAAGGAGAATTATTCAACAGATCTGTTAGGGCTAGGTAGCTTAATGGTCAGTGCATTTGAACAGATGGTTGAATAGAATTTTTACGAAACATCTTTTGATATAGAATCTTCCAGTTTAATGATGAATATTATTTTTTATTAAAACATAACAAGGTTTCTTAATCTTTGTCACTAAATGAGAATTCACATTGACTGCATGTGGAACCTAAAATAGGTACTGCAAATATTTATGAACAAGGGGGAAGGTAAAAGGGAAACTATTGCCAACTATTTTAATCCCGTCTGAAACCTGGACCGAGCGGATTTTTTCAAGTAAAATTTTATTCAGATTTAAATATTTAGCAGTTATATCTTAGATTAAAACAAAAAGGGAAGATACGGTAGTCGCGGGTCAAAAGTGACGCGCGTTAAGTTAGCACAACGTTTTTGTCGAAATATATTTTATTTTTTGCATTAATTGCAGTTTTTTTGCAGTGCAAACCAAAAAATTGCAGCTCTTTTAGTTTTTTTATGAGGGGTTTTGCTAACTTAACTTTAGGTTAGCACGACTGACCTTATAACTCTACTTCTAACAGCCCTATCATTAAACAAATACATTCAAAAATTGCAGTTTTTATGCAGTGAAGAAATTACGTTTGCAGCTTTTGCAGATTTTTTTATTAACGATTTTGCTAACTTAACATTTAGCACGACACATCTCGTATCTCTACTACTAATGGTACTTTCGTCAAATAGATACATTCAAAAATTTAAGTTTTCATGCAGTGAAAGAATTAACGTTTGCAGCTTTTGCAGTTTTTTTATTAACGATTTTGCTAACTTAACGTAAAATTAGTACGACACACCTCGTATCTCTACTTCTAATAGTCCTATCGTCAAATAGATACATTCAAAAAATTAAGTTTTTCTGCAGTTTTCATGCAGTGAAAGAATTACGTTTGCAGCTATTTAATCGACTGCGCAAAGCAAGAGCGCGAACCGCAACGCGCAGACAGGGTATAAGTGTTTAACAGTCTATATATGTGTGTTTGTTCCTTTGTGGCACACTAGAGACCAAACAAACGCCTGGACCGATTTTTATGATTCATACATCAATCGATTCGTCTCAATCATGGGAGTGCTACTAAAGATAAGATAGTAATCAAAATTCAATATGGGCAAAATTAGGCGCTATATTGTGACGAAGTAAAAAAAATAAGTTGACAAAATATTTCGAGTGGGGTATCACTGTCTAGATAATCGAAAATCATGTTTAGGTTCCTAACACCATTTTTCATTTTATATGATTCTTTAAGATCTACAACGCTTTAAAGTTGTATATTAACCACTTGCGCTTTTAATTTCAATCTTAGGTTTGTATGGATCTTTGTTACTCTTTCACCTAAAAAATACTGAATGGATTTTAATGAAACTTAACAGTAATATAGCTCATATATGATAATAACATATATACAGGGTTACAGGGAAAGTCGTACTGAATATTGAAGGACGTTATTATTCAGGTCATTTCTGATGGATTTGGTCCTATAATATGGTGTCCAAAACTTAACCGTTATGGAGATATTGGATATTAAAGATTTTTTAAAAAAATCCTATATTTTTTGGGTTACTGTCGATTTTTTTGCAATTAGAGCTCCAAAGGTCCGATTTTTTAATGAATCTAGTTAGAAGACATGTCAAGCAATAAAAATAAAAAATAAAAACTGAACTTGCTTCTAACGGCTAAAAAAAACTGCTCGACAACGGTTATAACTAAAGAATTTTCACCAAGTGTTGTTAACTTTGAAGCGCTTTCCTAAAAAAAATATGTATGGAACTTATTCTGCAAATAATTTTAAAAACTTCTACGTCTCTTTAGCTATTCAAAAAGGTATAAAACTTGCTATTAAATTGGCAAAACATTGACCAAATAACAGTTATGGTAGCAGAGGGTACATTTTTAGTTTGAGGTAAAAATAGCAAAAATACGTAAATAAAACCAGAAAAGCATCATCATCATCATCACCAGCCTATTAATGTCCCCACTGCTGAGGCACAGGCCTTCCCTATTGATGGAATAGGGAGATTGGGCCCAGTGCGGATTGGTGGGTGCTAACGACTGCAGATGCGGGCGGGACCAACGGCTTAACGTGCCTTCCGAAGCACGGAGGAGCTCGAGATAGTAATTTTTGGTCACCCATCCAATGACCGACCACTGAGAAAGTTGCTTAAGTTCAACGATCGCATCATCTGGTCGTATACAAGGCTTTTCATTATTATGTGTGGGGTCATATGAAAAGCCTTGTATACGACCAGATGACGCCGATCGCAAATATCGATATTTTGCGACAAAGGATTTATTGGTGCGGCTGAGGATATGAGGCGGAACTTAAAAACTTCTGTAGTAAAAAGTAATTTAAGAAAAAGATTGAGAGTATATTGTGTTAGAAATAGCGGCGGCCATGTTGAACATGAATCATAATTTTGAGCAGCTCGATGGCGCAAGTGGTTAGCGCGTTCGGCTGCGATCGTTGAACTTAAGCAACTTTCGCAGTAGTCGGTCATTGGATGGGTGACCAAAAATTACTATCTCGAGCTCCTCCGTGCTTCGGAAGGCACGTTAAGCCGTTGGTCCCGGCCGCATCTGCAGTCGTTAGCACCCATCAATCCGCACTGGGCCCGCGTGGTGGGTCATGGCCCAATCTCCCTATTCCATCAATAGGGAAGGCCTGTGCCTCAGCAGTGGGGACATTAATAGGCTGGCGATGATGATGATGATGCTTTTCTGGTTTTATTTACGTATTTTTGCTATTTTTACCTCAAACTAAAAATGTACCCTCTGCTACCATAACTGTTATTTGGTCAATGTTTTGCCAATTTAATAGCAAGTGTTATACCTTTTTGAATAGCTAAAGCGACGTAGAAGTTTTTAAAAGTATTTGCAGAATAAGTTCCCTACATTTTTTTTAGAAAAGTGCTTCAAAGTTAAGAACACTTGGTGAAAATTCTTTAGTTATAAACGTTGTCGAGCAGTTTTTTTGAGTCGTTAGAAGTAGGTTCAGTTTTTATTCATTATTTTTATTGCTTGACATGTCTTTTAACTAGATACATTAAAAAATCGGACCTTTGGAGCTCTAGTTTCAAAAAAATCGACAAAAACCCAAAAAATATAGGATTTTTTAAAAAAAACTTTAATATCCAATATCTCCATAACGGTTAAGTTTCGGACACCATATTATAGGACCAAATCCATCAGAAATGACCTGAATAATAACGTCCTTTAATATTCAGTACGACTTTCCCTGTAACCCTGTTTAATAATTTATGTAGTTATTGAGTGAATTGGCCAAAATATAACAATAAGTGTCACATAAGACGGAAAAAATCTCCCATCTGCGAGCCCTGCACTGCAAAAACAATAAAAGTTATATAAATGTAATGTACAGTGAAAATGTATCTTTTAAATAGTTCTTAAAAAAAATCCGTGACACCATATATCTATTTTTAATATGTGGCTTACACCGCTTAAGTAGATTTGTTCCTTATTAACAGAATTATAGACTACTGGACTTGTTTTTTTCTTTTCAGTTTTTAATTGAAGTATAATGAAACAGTCGGGTTTTTTGATTTTTTTAATTTACCTTTTTTTAGTAGTTTTTTTTTATAACGGTTTTGCTAACTTAACGTGAAATGAGCACGGCACACCTCGTATTTCGACTTCTAATAGTCCTATCGCCAAACAAATACATTCAAATATCTACTTTTTATGCAGCGAAACAATCACGATTGCAGCTTTCTTAGTTTGTTTTTATGAGCGGTTTTGTTCACTTCACATTGGTGCTTTTATGTGGTGAAAAAGCTGATATTTTGAATTGATAAACATGGAACTCCTACATAACTTGCAGTAAACCTTGAGTTATAAAATAGAATGCGCCTTAGTTTTTGTTTTCCAATTTCTTTTTCGACAAAGAGTTTTGGTAATTCAACGAGGAGTGTGCACGAGATAAGCAGTATCTCGTCTGTAAATGGTACACGTATGAGCGTACCGTATCTTTCCTTTTTGTTTTAATCTTAGGCAGTTACTAAATTTTAATTTAATTGGCTGTAATCTGTTACGAAGGAGGACATGATTTTTCTGTATTCTGTTAGGGAGAGACACGGTTTGCAACAGAACCGTTGCTAGCACGTTAACACACCGGCGATAGAGACTGTACCCTAAACAAACCTTCTTAGTGTCCCATATCTATCAAAAGCCTAGACGGTTAAAAACCGTGGGTAGAAAACATCTCGTTAACAAGCGTCCTTAATGTACCTTAAAATAAATAAATTGTGAAGAAAAGTGCTACTGTTACAAGTGGAGAAAGAGGCTTATTATATTTAAAGCAAAAAATAAAAAAGTTTAAAAGAATTAGAACTTGAATATGTAATACAAGTCAACAGGACTCGTTTCCAACCTTGATTAACAAAACTCAGACATTGCACTAAAATAAAAGATTGGGTTAAAAACTACAACTTTTAAATAATCTATAGTTTGATAAATCGGGCTAACTACTCGTTCAAAAGTGTTTTATTTAAAAAAAAATAGTACGTAAATACTAATTAGTCTTTGAGAGATCTAAATACTGCACATCTGACTGAACTGTATAGAGAACAGATATAAACAAAACAGTACTTCAATTTTTATATAATCATTAAATTATGCATTTTGTTCAATTAATTTTTTTAAAATATCTTTATTTATCATTAAGTAACTGAATTGTACGTAGGTACTTAAAGCACTACACAGCCTTTATTTATAATCTTGTAGGCTCACAAATCTTAAAAGTCTTATGAAAAGCCGTCGACGGCGTGATTCGACGACAACCACGGACAATACAGAGAACTCAAGAAAGAGCAGACAAATGGCCAAAACTCCGCTTATAAATGAAGATAATATGCTGAAACCCGACAGTAGCTCAGATGGCGCTTCTGCAAGTGGTGCTGAGAGCGACGGCGGTGACGCAGACGGTATGTAATGCTACAGCAAAATCTAATAAAACTGGTAAAACCATCACTTCTGGTTGCAAAAATCAGCCAAAAATATTTTTAAACTTTGATTAAAAAGGAAGTTCAACTAACTTTAGAAGTTTTTTTTTGTTTCTCTATTACGTGATTTCGCATCGTCAGTTTAGGACCGGTTTCCAAATTATTTTTATAATCACAAGGGTATACCGAGCTGGTCTCATTGAAAAAAATTACATGATCTGATCAAGGACTTCGAAGATGTGGAATGGCACCCTTCGTAGGATCATAGCAGAACAGTTGAAATAAGTTTTGTTTATACGTGTAGTCGATGACTAACCTAATGAGGAAGTTGAGGGGCGGGCTATTAGGTCGACCATGTTTTTAATCACCTGCATTGACCCCGGGCCGGAGATATTAAGAGATCTCTTAATCTCTCACAGCGGGCTTTCTGCTCGGATTGGAGCTCTCGCCTGGAGACTACATCAGGCCTCCACCTTACAGAAGACCACAGTGAAATAACAGTACCTTTTGGTAATTCACACTTCCTGCTGCATCGTCTATCTTTTTCGTCGTCATCGAGCTTTTAATTTCATCATCAACCCAAGCTCGTCCACTGCTGGACATAGCTCTACCCTAATGCACGCCATTGCTCCCGATTTTTTGCCACTCTCATCCTGCCCACTCCAGCCAGCCTACGAATGTCATCATCCCATCTTGTCTCAGAGCGTCCTAAACTACGTTTACCGAGTGGTGTTTTCCACTCAAGAACTTTCCGGCTCCAACGGCTGTCAGTTCTGCGGCCAATGTGACCAGCCCACTGCCGCTTCAGTTTGCTAATTCAGTGGGCTATGTCGGTGACTTTGGTTCTCTGTCGGATTACATCATTTCTGATACGGTCCTTCAGGGATACTCCGAGCATAGCCCTTTCTATAGCTCTCTGAGCGACTTTAAACTGGTGGACTCCTCCAGCCGTGAGAGTCCACGTCTCGGCGCTGTATGTCATAACTGGTAGGACGCACTGGTCGAAGACTTTCGATTTGAGACATTGAAGGATGGGTAACGAGAAGACTTGATAAAGCTTACGAAATGCTGCCCAGCCCAACTGAATTCTTCTATTGGCTTCCCTCTCGAAGTTGTTTCTGCCTAATCGGAGCGTTTGTCCTAGATAGACATATTCCTGAACAACCTCGAGAGGTACTCCATTAACAGCAATCAGTCCCGGATCAACGAGCTCGTTGAACATGACCTTGTTCAACGAGCTGTTCAAGTTCGATGTTCAAGTTCATCCGGAGACCGATGCGTTTGGAAGAATCAGCCAGGCTGCTCACCATCTCCTGTAGGTCTTGCAGAGTTTTAGCCAGGATGAAGATGTCATCCGCGAATCGAAAGTGTGAGATGTATTCGCCATTAGATTCCACGTCTTTTCCAGTTGTGCGTTCCGAACATGTCCTGCAGCGCAGCGGAGAAGAGTTTCGGGGATATTCCATCCCCTTGTCTCACACCACGGCGCAGCAGGACAGGCTCGGTCCGGTCATTCTGGAGTATGATACTACATATTAGCGGCGTCATACAGACATCTCAGCACCTCGATATATCGCCAATCAACTTGGCACCTCTGCAAGGCCGGAAGGAACAGACCAGTTTCTCATAGTTCACAAACGCCATGCACAGGGGCTGGTTATACTCTTTGGTCTTGTATAACCTGGCCGGAGCGTGGACTTCATCAATTGAGAACGTTCGAGCTTAAAATCGATATTCAGAGTGCCTCTTAGAAGTCGGTGATCACTTCCGGTTTTAATCCTATTGATCACTGAGATATCTCTGAATATGCGCTTCTTGTCCGATATGATGAAGTCCATCTCATTCTTGGTCATAGTATCGGGGCTCCGCCACGTCCATTTTCTCTGGGGCTGTTTCTTAAAGAAAAAGCCCCTCGCGTTCTAAGATATTGACGAGCATTTGCCCCCTATGATTCCTACTCCCATAGCCATATGATCCTAACATCGATTAGCTGCAGGTCTGTATCCCCACTTTAGCGTTGAAATACCTCATGACAACGTTAAAGTGAGTCTTGGTGGTGGTGTGTAAGGCTGGAGAGATGTCCTTGTACATCTCTTCCACGACATCATCCGAGTATGTCGACGTTGGAGCGTACACTTGTATAACCTTTAGGCTATATCTGCTGGTTAATTTTATAACGAGTTACGCAACCCTCGCCGACACACTGGAGACTTCAATAACGTTATCAGTGAGCACTTTTTGGACCTGGGACCCTACGCGGCCCTGTGACGGATTATCCCCCTCTCTGAAGTACATAACATGGCCAGACTCTTAAGGTCAGCGTGTCCTCGCCCTCTCTGCGGACTTCGCTCAGCCCGAGCACGTGCCATCTATGTGCCTCAGTTCCTCCAGTTGAGCTAGATGAGAGTCGAGCCGTAGCGTGCGACCGTTATACGTCTCCAAGTTCAGTGTTTTTTGGCGGCCTACCGTGGCCCGGAGATACATAGCACCCCCTGCCCTGCCGTAACCGAGACCGCCCGCCGCCTTGGCCTGGAATAGCAGGGCTACCGGGAACTGGGGGCAGAGACAATGTTGTGCTCATAATTTAGGAGGGTTTGGTCCATAACCCACGACGCTGGTCCAGTGCGGGAGCTTTTATTTTACGATTTTCTAAATTAAGGTCAGGCTAAACCACTTTTGTCTACAAAATCTTTCAAAACTGTTTTTGTTTAAAGCCGCGATGACACGAGGCGAGATTACAAGCTACAAGCCAGCCAGTACGCTAGTAGCATGTAAATTCGCCCCGTGTCATCGAGTAGCAGCTTGTAGAAAAGCCGATGATACCGGGCGAGCTTACAAGCTGCTAGCGAACTCGCTAGCTTGTAAACTCGCCCCGTGTCGTCGAGGCTATTAAGAACATCAAACATAAATTAATACTGATATTCAACTTTTAGATCTACCATCGGTAACATTAACTGGTTTAAATGGCTCTGGTATTGATCATCTTGCAAAAGATGATCTACTGGATGAAAGTGATACGTCAACCTCGCACAATGAAAAGGAAGAGGTAATAAACTAATAAATAGTGGTTGAAGGTCATTTATTAAAACATTTAAATAACAAAAGCTTAAAAACTACTTACATACTGCCTAAAAGTTACATTCCAAATAGTTATATATATTTTTTTCTCTTCATTATATATTTTTTGACATGGGAAATAACAATTATTATTTGAATTACAGACAAATAAGAAATCGGAGTCGGAAGAAGATCACAAGTAAGTTTTTGGTATTAATCATTAACAAGAGACAAAAAGCTCTGTACGTAATAAGTGTAGTCACTGCTGTCATGGTCGCGCCCATTGGCGGTACATCAAGAGAATTTTATATTACGCATAATGGCTCCAATACACTTGGTTGTTAGCCCATATTCGGGTGCACGAAATACATTACTCGAATTCGGGCACCCGAAACAATATTTACACTGGAATTCGGGCTGGAAGACTGTGTCGGGTAACCCAATCTAAAACTACCCGAATACGGGCGTCCTCGACTTCATTTATTTACACTTAGTCGTTTACCCGAGTTCCATTGGCACTTCTATTCGGGATAACGACCAAGTGTAATCGATCCATAACAATGCATATTGTATACTTTGAACTGGTGACCTTCATTTTAAGGATCAATCAATCACTCACGAATAATATAGATTCTAACGGTGAAAGTTTTTTTTAAATCGGTCTTGTAGTTTTCGAATTTATTCGTTACAAACATACATACTTAAATACAAATCTTTCCTCCTTATAATAGAAAAGAAGGATTGTAGGATTAGATAGACCTTCTAATTAGTTGCGTCCGCTGTTTAGCGTAGATCGGTCGTCTTTGTTGCTTATTACATATTTTGTTAGCGAAGAATGACAAGTGATAGTTCATATAGTGTTGGTAAGTGATAAGCGACTACTAAAGCATTATAACCGTTTGCAATATCAGAAATTTTCTAAAGGGTATACACTGATCCAGAATAGCTTAGGGGCCCAAGCACGAATTTTGACAGCTCCATAATCTTATTGTCATCATTAAATTGACGACCTCCGTGGCCGAGTGGTTTGTACGCCGGTATGGTGTCGCCGACTCGAGAGGTCCCGGGTTCGAATCCCGGTGGGGCAGATGTTTGTGTGATGAATACGAGCATTGGGTGTTTAATATGTGTTTCTAAATAAATATACTTATATATGTACACTATATGTATTCTATCCGTTACCTTAGTATCCCATAACACAAGTCTTACAGTGCTTATTTGGGGCTAGGCTAGTTGGTGTGATTGTTGGAAATATTAATTTCATCATCGACCCATGCTCGTCCACTGCTGGACATAAATAGGTCTCCCCTAATGCACGCCACTGCTCCCGATTTTCTGCCGCTCTCATCCAGATCACTCCAGCCAGCCTACGAATGTCATCATTCCATCTTGTCTCAGGGGGTCCCACACTACGTTTGCCCAGTCGCAGTCTTCACTCAAGAACTTTACGGTTCCATCGGCCGTCAGTTCTGCGGCTAATGTGACCAGCCCACTGCCACTTCAGTTTGCTAATTCGGTGGGCTATGTCGGTGACTCTGGTTCTCGGTCGGATTACATCATTTCTGATGCGGTCCTTCAGGGATACTTCGAGCATAGCCCTTTCCATAGCTTTAAACTGGTGGACCAGTCCGTGAGTGTCCACGTCTCGGCACCGTATATCATAACTGGGAGGACGCACTGGTCGAAGACTTTCGACTTGAGGATGGGTGACGAGAAGAAATATTAATTTATTTATTATTATTATAATTATCAAATTTTGTATGCAAGCAGCCAGTATGTTCTTACGTCCGGTAGGGGCGCTGCTTAGTTTTCATAGTAACTTTGACGGTGCGATACGATTGCGGAGCTGTCAAAATTCGTGCTTGAGGGATGGGTGACGAGAAGAAATATTAATTTATTTATTTTTATTATTATCAAATTTTGTATGAAAGCTGCCAGTATGTTCTTACGTCCGGTAGGGGTGCTGCTTAGTTTTCATAGAAACTTTGACGGTGCGATACGATTGCGGAGCTGTCAAAATTCATGCTTAAGCCGCTGTGTTGGCGACAATAATTTATGGGCTTGTACGTCCACAAATATACGTTGGCACACATAACATTAAATCACAACCATTTCACAGTCCTAAATCGAAGCGTCGCAAAGCTCACGCAATATCGTCGGACTCCGAGGCCGGTTCCTCTCGCAAGAAGGATCCGGGTGTTAAGCTTAGTGACTTCGAAGATTCGGAAGACGAAAGTTCGGAGCCTGCCAAGAGGAACAAGCGAAAGAAAGTCGACAATGAACGCGCAGACAGTGATGGATCAGCGGGGTCCTCATCTGATGACGGCGGGTAAATATACTCAAAAATACTTCGATAGGTTATAGAAAGATTAAGTACTCTCACACACACAATTAAAAGGGCTTCCAGGAACAGTAGCACGAACCAATATCGAATTCGAATAGTTTGCGAGTGCGAAATGTCAATGTCAAATTTTGTATGGAAACTCGAACAGCAGCGCCACCAACGGACGTAACGGAGAACTAAAAATCAGTACACATTTGACAATGACCTTGCGGACTCGCAAACGTTTTCGATATGGGTTCATGCTAAGGGTACAGATAGTAAACTTTGGTGGGTAAAGGCGGTCTTATCGCTTAAACTATCTCTTCCAGACTTTAAGTCAAAGGATAAGTATCCTTTTTTATTTAACTTAGTCAGAGATAAAATGAGGAATAAACAGATATATATATATTTTTGATGCTGTTTCACTAGGAATATTTTTTATGTAGTATGGTTGCAAACACCCATGCGGTTAATAGTAAGCTGATTGTCGCTGCCTATTTTACGCTTGCAAAATCATAGGACTAATTTAAACTTAACTATTATAGCACAAAGAAACGGCGTCGTATAGTGCAGTTAAATGATAGCGATGTTTCTGGATCAGACACTGAGAACGAAGGCAAGAATAAGCATGGAAGGAAGAACATTCGTAAGGTAAAGTGTTTGATCACATACTTATTTTTCGTTTTTAATTGCATATAATTTCGTTTATGATATTTTTATTTTCTCTTAACAGGTGATGGGTAAAAACCAATTGGAAGAGGCTACTAAGAAAGCTGCAAGAGAAGAAAAGGAGAGAATCGCTCGAATAGCCGAAAGGCAAAAATTGGTGAGTCGTGCCTGTACAAATGTTCTGTAACTTTAAAAGCCCCCTGTGAGCAAGAAATATTTTAATTGTTTAATCAAATGCATAAATACAATATAACCTTACTAATAGTTCGTTTTACCGTATTAATCTTAAATATTAGTTAATCAATATTCATATGTTGTATCTGTCAGACGAGCTTGATGGCGCAGGTGGTTAGTGCGTTCGGCTGCGAACGTTGAAGTTATGCAACTTTCGCAGTGGTCAGTCATTGGATGGGTGACCAAAAATTTACTATCTCGAGCTCTGCCGTGCTTCGCGAGGTACTTTAAGCCATTGGTCCCGGCTGCATCTGTAATCGTTAGCACCCTCCAATCTGCACTGGGCCTGAGTGGTTAGCTGGTGGGTCATGGCCTAAAGTCCGTTTTACCCTATTAATCTTAAATATTAGTTAATCAATATTCATATGTTGTATCTGTCAGACGAGCTCGATGGCGCAAGTGGTTAGTGCGTTCGGCTGGGAACGTTGAAGTTATGCAACTTTCGCAGTGGTCGGTCATTGGATGGGTGACCATAAATTTACTATCTCGAGCTCTGCCGTGCTTCGGGAGATACGTTAAGCCGTTGGTCCCGGCTGCATCTGTAGTCGTTAGCATCCTCCAATCTGCACTAGGCCTGCGTGGTTGGCTGGTGGGTCATGGCTAATCTCCCTATTCCATCATAGGGAAGGCCTGTGCCCCAGCAGTGGGGACATTAATAGGTTGATGATGATTTCCATTTCATTATTCACAGTATAACAATTTGGAGTTTGATGAATCCGGCAAACCAGATGAGGTGGTGCTAGAAAAGGTTGTGTTGGATTTCGATCCAGAAACTAAGGAGCCACTGATTCAAGTGGACAGAGGACTCGTCAAGAAACTCAAACCGCATCAAGTGAGTATCTATTAATTTTAGGGTAGCATGAGGAACCTAAATACATCGATTTCACTTCATAAAATTAAAAGATGGCTGTAGTAATTTAATTTGAAAAATGTTTTTTTTTCTATTATTTTTAAACACTCAAAACGCTGTCTACCATGATTGTGACGTCAACAAATTAGTAAATGTGTTAGTAAACAACTAAACGTCATTGTCGTATTACTGTGGTGTCTTTCATCGGACTAAAATATATCTAAAAACTTACATCTTGTAGAAAAAAATCCGTTTATTGGTTTTGTTGACTAAATTAATGCTGGACGCCGGATTTGTGAAAGCAGAAACGACAAAACTGTTTGACTTAGTAGGTACATTCATAACCTTAAAAATTGTATTTTTAATCATTACATATTATTCAATGGTGTATTACACATGGGTAATCACATTAAAGTGATCTTTGCTAAAAGAAAAGACTTTCAGACGGTAAAATTACAGGGTTTAGCAAGTTTTAAACATGACTGTGTTCATGTGTAGTTATGTGTATTTCTCTAGGCAATTTAAACCACAACTTTTCTGGAGTCTTTAACGATGTGTTTCTACATTCTCGTATAATAAAATCATGAAATCTATTAGAAATCATGTTTTTATAATATAAATTTAGATTCAGGTTATAGCCTACGTGCTTCCGAATTTTTATTTCGATTTTGTTGACGTCATAGCATAGATAATCTATAGACTAAAATGGCCGACAGCGTTTTTGTATGTCCATGAAAAATTTATTCTATATTAAAGTTTTGTAGCTTTCTAGGTCAAAAAAATACAATTCAATAAAACTAGTTTTTCACGGGTTAATGCACGAAACTTTATTTATTTATTGACGTGTCGCAATTCATTTTTTTTCGGTCTAATAGAACAATTATTAACCAATGTAAAACATATTTCCATAAAGCCTTAAGTAGCCTATTGAATGTATGTCACTTTGACCTGAAGTATACTAGTGTGTGATTTCATTTTAGTCTTGCCTAATCCCTGGCGTTTTGGAGCAAAAAAGATATTTTTTTCAGAATAGTAAAATCGCTGCTAAGATTCATATTAAAGATGCCAACAATTGGTACATTATTTTTCATGCTGTAAAATAGCCTTGCCTTGTCAAATTACTATGGAGTTTAACAGTTGTTAACGCGATAAAAAACGTGATATAATGTAAATTGTGGTGCTCATGTTACAGGGACTGAGGCCCAGCACGAGCTTTAAAAGTACCTTTAGCACCAGTTTGCGAGTGCGAAATGCCATTGTCAAATGTGTTCTGATTTTTCTCGTTACGTCCGTTGTGGCGCTGCTGTTCAAGTTTCCATACAAAATTTTACAGCTCTCTAATCGTATTGCATCATCAAGTTTCTGTGGGAACTAAGCAGCGCCCTTACCGGACGTAAGAACAAACTGGCTCCATATAAAATTTAACGATACGATTACGGACCTGTCAAAGTGCGTGCTAAGGCCTCAGTTGGCTAATGAATTTTTACTTCTTTTATTATTATTATTTTAAATAGCCAGGTAGGTAAATGCCTCTACGCCACCTGATGTTAAGTGGTGATAAATTCGAAACACGAAGATACCTGGTACAGCAGATATAAACTGCCATACCAACCATCCTCACTTTGCCGGCCTGCAAAATGCTTCTCCACGCCTCTCTTAAAGGACTCCAGATTGTAGGAATAAGTGAACACGTGCGCGGGAAAAAAAATCCACTTACGAATAGTACGATAAAAAATGAGTCACCAAATTTCTTCTTTACCTTTTTTAATTCGATTCAGTTAGAAGATTATTCTTAGAATTATTAACTTATCATTGATTCTGATCTTGACCATTACGGCTTCAATTGAGGTTAAGGCTCAAAATAGCGAAGTTGCCTGTTTATACTTCAAACTGTAATCAGACATCCTCTTTGTTTACAGGCAAATGGTATAAAATTCATGTGGGACGCGTGCTTCGAAAGTGTTAAAAGAATCAAGAAGGATAGAGGATCCGGCTGTATATTAGCCCATTGTATGGGTCTTGGGAAAACTTTACAGGTAACTTATTTGTACAGAATCTCTTATCTATTAGACAAGTCCGTCTGTCTGTGGTGCTGTTTCAGCGGCCAAACCGTAAGAGATAGATAAAGAGAATATTTAAGTTATAAGTTAAGAATAGTCTGATAAGACTACAAACCGGATTTTCGAGAAATCAGGTTTTGGTGAACATTTGGTACACTGTTTGCTAGTTTATAATAATTGCATAAAGTGTTACAAAGCAAAACAAGATGGTGAGATTTTTTGTTCAATAAAACACAGTATTATATTAATGTATGATAAATAAGTCAATATTATTGAGTTCAACTATCTTATTTTTACATTTCAGGTGGTATCGTTAACCCACACTCTCCTCACACATAGTGATTTAACGACAGTGAACCGAGTTCTGGTTGTCTGTCCATTGTCCACTGTCCTGAACTGGGTGAATGAATTCAATATGTGGCTCAAGCATTCCGAGACTGAATACGATGTGGATGTTTATGAGCTGTCTAGGTGAGTTTAATTAATTTAAGCCCAGAAAAGTCTGGGTCCTTTTAATCCCCACTAGCGGCCTCCCGCGACTTCGTCCGCGTTAACTTTTAGTTTTTTTTTTCAAAATTAATAAATATTTTTTCTAAAATAAAAGTAGTCTAAGTTATTATTTATTACATCAGCTACCTGCCAATAAAAGTCCCGTCAAAATCGGTCCAGCCATTTCAGACATTAGCCAGAACAAACAGACAGACAGCAGAAAATAATAATAATAGGTATTTAGCACGGAAAAACATTAACATTATTTTACTATGAGCACATTATTGTTAAGATGCTTACAATAACAATGTAAAAAAATATTATGTTTTTATAGGTACAAACAGAACTCTGAACGAGCTTTCCAGCTCCAACAATGGCTGCAACATGGCGGTGTATGCGTATTGGGATACGAAATGTTTCGCAACCTATCCGCTGATAACAACAAGAAATTCAAGAAAAAAATGCTCAAGAACTTCCAAGAGGCACTCGTTGATCCTGGTAATGTTCTGTTCAGCTTATAATAAATAAATAAATATTTCCTTATCTCACACCAATTAGCATAGCCCTAAAGTAAGCACTGTAAGGCTTATGTTATGGGATACTAGGGTAACGAATAGAATACGTATACAGTACATATATAAGTATATTTATATAGAAATACATATTAAACATCCATGACTGGAGTACAAATGCTCGCATTCATCACACAAACGTCTGCCCCCACCGGGATTCGGACCCGGGACCTCTCGAGTCGGCGACACCATGAAACCCGGCGTACAAACCACTCTGCCACGGAGGTCGTCAAAATGCTTATGATTATGCTTATTATAGAACAAAAGGTCCTTTCACATTCATAGATCGATCAAAATAGATAACGCAATTGTATGTATTTCGTATGCCGGAAGCGAGAGCAAAGCTCTTCCTTTGACGCAATTTTAGTTCTTCACATCACCATTCTGGATACCGGACGTCAACGTCAATTGAATTTTAAAATTGTGCCTTATTAATAATGTCCATTTGCAGCGTATTTGCTAAATCTCAATTTAACTAAAACTGTTGTTTTTTACGACCTCCGTGGCTGGGTTTCATGGTATCGCCGACTCGAAAGGTCCCGGGTTAGAATCCCGGTGGGGGCAGATGTTTCTGTGATGAATAAGAGTATTTGGACGCTAGTGATGAATGTATGATATGTATTTCTATATAAATATATTTATATATGTACAGTATATGTAGTCTATCCGTTACCCTAGTATCCCATAACACAAGCCTTAAAGTGCTTACTTTGGGGCTAGACTAATTTGGTGGATTTAAAAAAATATATATATTTAGCCCATACAACAATCTCAAATTTACGTTTTGTCATCTATTTGAATATATCGGCTGATAAACTTTCCGTTGATAACAGTACCCTTAGTACGAGTTTGAGCTTACGAAAACTATCATAGTTTTTGTAATTGTAAATTATGTTTCCATGTCCATTTTGGTGAAAATTAAACAAATATACTTATTATTTAAGAAGACGCAAATGATTTAATGATAGAATTTAAACACTTTAATTATATACAAACGAAAACAATAAAATCAGTACCCTAAGTACGAGTGCGAGCTCACGAAAACTATCATAGTTTTCGTAATTTTAAAACTCGTACTAAGGGTACAGCAAGAAGGAAAGTTCATCAAGCTACTGAATAAAAGCTAATCAAACACTGTGAATCTAAAATTATTTCCACCAACTAGTCTTTCAGCCAACAATTACTTAGTGTTCTATGTTACGGGTTTTAGTTTCCGCATTTAGTCATTAAAAATAACCATTGTACGTAAGCCACGGCGGCCGATTATAGCTACTTAATCAAACTGTAAATCTAAAATTAGTGTTTCGCAGCCAAAACTAGCTTGTGGAAATAATTTTAGACATTTTGTGCGGTTACAAAAGCAGATTTATTAAAATAGGGGTTTCTGGTATGTCGGGCGCCTAATGTGATTGCTATGGCTATCGCTATCGCTTACGATTTAATTTTGTTATTTCTGACCGCTGAAGGTTTTCACATGCCCTGCATTCTTTTTTTTCCTTTTGTATTGGTAACAAAAATATTATAAGAGAGCGATAGCCATAGAAATTCCGTTAGGCGATTGACCTCCAGGCGAAAGGTATATATCTGTCAAATCACCTATGTCCGCATAGACTATGTGTTTAGTGTCCCAAAAAGGAGGTGGAACTAACTAAATAATTAAACACCTGTTCCAATTTTAAATAGCGAGAGAGCATTTATTGCTTCGACATAAAATACTTATGTTTCCATAAAAACAAAATGATAGCGCGATTCAATAGACTATTCCTGCCATCTAGTATACAAAACGTTAATCTGATTCTTAACATACCGCCCACCATGGACAGCATGGCCATAACAAATGAGATTGCAATTTTAATTATAAATCAAAAGTCATCTTAATAGTAGATTATACATATAACAACACAAATTCTTGAAAAATACCTAGGTGACAGTCGCACTATTAGATAATGAACATCTCAGTCAATCAACAAAATAAAATTCTTTATACTTTAACACAGATTGAAAATATTTACAAAAAATAACTTTATAAGTGAACAACAATATAAACATACTGAATAATAAATCTATTATAGTCGTAAGCAATATTTAAATAACTATAATTGAGAAAACATTACTAAAATTGTATATAAATAAACAATTAACGCAAATATTTTAGTCAACAAATCTATATAGAGAACATTTGCATAGAAAGCCAACGACACGGGTAATGTGATAACTGTAACGAAATATGTAATAATGCTGTAAACTGCTTTAGCAATCAAAACAAAAAAAAATCATATACCATAACATACCAATGTCACTAATTTGTGTTAGTCAATTGGAGAATTCTTAAGCTAAGTAAAATAATATAGTACCGCCCACCCTGAGGACTTCCATTTTTGTCCTGGGAAAGTTCCTTTTGGCCTTCTTAAGTTATAACAAGCTTGTACCTAAGTGGACTGTATTTAATATTTACATATAAACCAAGAAGGACCAACTTTAAACTGGCTGTGGTAAACAATTGACTTTTTTTTTTTACCCTATTGGCAATGAAAACCTTGCATTTACTAAGATAACTACTGAGCCTTGTTTTGTCCCTGTAATTAATCCAATTCTGCAACAAATGATTAAGCTTGTCTTGAAACCATTCTAAACCATTCATCCATAATTTTGAAATTTTTGTTTGAATTATGGAACACGTAACCCACCCCAGCGGATCGAATAATCGTGTGATACAGGAAATAACTTGGGAGGTGTTTCTGTATATCCGTGCTTCGGTATCAATAATCTGTATACCATGTTTACCATAATTAAATGAGCGGAATGGTGGCTTAACTAAAAACCGGCCAAAGTCTTCTCTGATGGGTTTATCCGCGAATAGCATTTTACAATATTGGAGTTCTCGAGCAATAGTCTTTTTATTTATAACTGAATTCCCTGACTTCGATTCCCAACATTTAAGAAGTAAATCATCCCTACGAGCAGTGGTATTTGAACTTATGACCTTAAGACATGACAACTGGAGGCTGCCCAAAGGTTTTGAAGAAACCTGGCCAGATAGAATCCATCCACTTTGTACTAACAGAAAAGTTGAAGGACCCTTGCTTAAACCAACGACTAAAATCTGACTGATCATATCAGCTCCCAGAAGCAAATCAGAGTCAAGATCTGCTATTTGTACCACTACTAACTTTTTATATATTTCTATATTGACTTTATAAGTCGATAATATGGAAGTTAATTTAACATGAGCCCTGGCGTCTACAACATAATAATTGAGGCCATGCATTGATTGAAGTTTAGTAATAGACGCTTTCGTTACTACAGAGTCACTTTGATTACCGATACCTGACATAAAAGCATTCGCTGGAAACTTTTGGAGACCTAGCGATTGCATAGTGGCATCTTTAGTAAATGAAGATTGAAATCCTTTAGCAACCAAGGATCTGAAAGTACAGTGATTTCTTGACATGGACTGTACTCTAACTAACGTAGTAGTAGTTTGACTATGAGTAGTTGAATGACTCCTTACTACGTGATTGACTTCCTTAGTAACATCAGAATTAACTGACGAGGAAGTAGTGTCTACAACAATGGCTCTCTTGTCAACGGATAAATCAGCGACATGGTTTTCCGTTGATATTGGAATATTGAGATGTAATAAGGTATGATGTTTTTTCTGACATACGAGGCATCTAGAAGCTTGACGGCAGGCAAACGCGGAGTGATTTGGACCCATACAATTAAAGCACAAATTATTTGATCGAATAAAATTACGACGCACTTCAACAGTTTCATGTGCAAAAAAGAAAATACAGTTACTTAAGTCGTGACTTTCTGAGCAGAATAAACAAGAAGTTGATGTGACATGTTGGACTTCAGTATAATATGATATAAAGCAAGAATTCTCTGTGTCAAAACAACTGTCAGTAACAGACTGTGCCTTTTTGATCTTTAATAATACTTCTTTTAATTCGGCCTTATAATCAATATACAACTCTTCTGTTGTTTGGTACATATTATTTTTACAGTAAGAAGATGATTCGTAGTCTTTAGTGTCTATATCAGAGATAATCTTTAAGTGTGTGTCTACATAAGATTTCCATAGAACTTCTAATCTTTCTAACCTTGCCTCTATATAACTCTGAGTAAGACGTTCCTTGGTTAACTTTTTGTAGCTAACTATACCATTACCAATGACTGACGTTACATGTTCTTGAATTTTAAATAATATTTCCATATTTGTTTCTCAATAATTACTTGACATGAAATGAAATCAAATAAAAAAAGCTTTCGTACACCATACAACAACAACAACAAAATTATTCCGTAAAGGATAAACAGAATATTACCTAAACCAATACAGAGGTATAATAACAATCTGTAAATATTTTCAAAGTCTATGACAGCCACCAAAACAAACAAAAAATTATTTTAAGTCCACAGAGAATTGATTGCTAAATTTTCTAAGTCTTTGACAATTTTGACACCTGGGGAAAATCGAGCATAGGTTCCCCGTCTCAACAGAGTTTAGCCTAAAATTTTACAAGTCCAAGCTACTATACTAAATTAATTCTAATAAAGTTAAAATCCAAAGATCTTCTATTCTTGCTAAGTTATTTCTTCTATGTAAATAAAGTTCAAATTCACTCACTCACTGATTGTTCCGCATGCCATACCATATGTGTTTCGTGTTCAGCTCCTGTACAACTCTCCATAAATATTTTCAAAACTGCAGCGCCCTCTATTGTCAAGGTTTGTTTGTATTACAGCTTCAACTTTGACTCAAACCTTTTGGAATTACTCCATAGCAGCAGCAGTAAAAGATAACACGGCAATAGACAATAAATTCCTCAACTCAACCTGAAAAACTTTTTTGAATGGCGCGCTGAACACGTTGCCTCTAGGTGAGCCTTAATCCGGCGTACCGTAGGACCAATGTTTAGTGTCCCAAAAAGGAGGTGGAACTAACTAAATAATTAAACACCTGTTCCAATTTTAAATAGCGAGAGAGCATTTATTGCTTCGACATAAAATACTTATGTTTCCATAAAAACAAAATGATAGCGCGATTCAATAGACTATTCCTGCCATCTAGTATACAAAACGTTAATCTGATTCTTAACACTATGGATCAATTTATAAACTAGTTCGATTACTTCATACAAGTGATCTCATGTTAGAGTGGCGCCAACTTATGCATAAATTTTCCTAAACATCCTCATTATTTAAAATGAGCATTTTTTTGCTATAGGTCCCGATATGGTGGTTTGCGACGAGGGTCATTTACTAAAGAACGAGAAGACAAGCTTATCGCAATCCATGAACCGAGTGCGTACGCGACGCCGCATAGTTCTCACCGGCACGCCGCTACAAAACAACCTTAAAGAATGTGAGTTTTTATGAATGTGTAACACCTTTACTTTCGCTTTCGTGCAATTTGTGGGAGTGAATTCGGATATATTCCGTAATATATACCAGTATACTGGCCAGTACTAATGACGCCATGAATCGACGCTATTACTGGTGAATTGTTCCGAAATATACTGGGCAGTGCACTGACGTCATAAATCGACGAAATATTAAAAAAAAGTGCGAATAAAGAAGATTTTTTATTCACCTCATCAATTAAAAGGAATTCTTTTTGTACGGATGCCATTATTGTTCTTTAAATAAGAAAGAAATAAAATTCGAATGCATCTCACGCACGCTCGGTCATACGTCATATTCGTTTTCCCAGTAAAAATATGGTAGCATACCAGTACAATACGTCGGATTCGTGACGTCATTACCACTGGCCAGTATACTGATGTATATTTCGGAATAATATGTTGATTTCTCAGCAACCAAAAAGTCTTTCCTGTTTCAGCGCCCCACGCTTTTACAATCAAATATTATAATTGAGAGCACATAGTTTACACTTTAGTCCAGAAATAGCGACAACTTGAACGATCCATAATTTATTTTTGGTTTTTACGTGAATTTATAAAAGCGTGTTTTTCGTTTTTTTAAAATATTAATTTATTTTATACTTTTTAGTCTTTTATAACGAAATATTTTTAACATTTATACATTTGTTTTAAGTAGGCAAATGAGCCCGCATCCTCTCCATCTTCGCCAGTGCGTCTGTATTGCATGGTGTTTTACCTATCAGCTTAGAACAATTTGGAGACCCCTAAATGATTTTTCTCTACTTAGGGCCACATACGCCTTTCCAGCTACTAGTTAAAAAAAACTAGAAAAATATTTACACTCAATATTAACAAGTCAATATATAATAGGTTTGTTATAATCTTGTAACCTGATCGTGTTCAAAGTCCATTAAGTGGCCTTTCTCACAAGTGCAAACACGACTATGACACGATATTCCATCATGGAACGCCAGTGCCTATCTTCCGGCTTTATCATCAGACCCTGAAACCTAATTGTAATCAAAGTTCATTACAAGACTTTTCTAAGAAATCCAAAAACAGCTATGATATGATGTTTCACCATGAAGTTCCAGTTCATATCTACCGGCTCCATCATCAGATCAGTTCGACAGTGCCATATTATTATATTGTCATCAGAACTACATACAGCTGCCAATTTTCATTACGCTACGATCCTTGAAAGTTGGTTAAATTAGTTACCTTAGATTTAATAAATAATAAATAAAAAGCCTTTTATTAACCATAATTAAACTAACATAAACATTTTTATTAACTAATAATTATTGTCCCCTGTAAGGGTGAAGGCCTCCTCCATTTCCTTCCACGCGTCCCTATTATTGGCTTTTTGGGTCCAGTTCTCCCCGGCTGTGCTTACAATGTCGTCTGCCCACCGTTTGAATGGTCTGACAACTACCTTAGATTTACCATTACCTAATAAAAGCGTGTTTGAAAAAACAGAATATATGAAGACAAATGTAATGAGCCCAAACTCGATATGTTTACTAGTAGGCAGTCCGGGGTCCATCAGCCACCTTCCAGTCCCATCATCAGACCAGCTCGATGGTATAGGTGGTACCATAATATTGTATTGTCATCTCATCTACATATAATTGCCAAGTTTCATGGTGATACAAGAATTAGAAGTGCGTGTAATTCAGATTCTTAGATTTCATTACATAGTTAGTAACATACAAGTGAACCTAATAAAAGCGTGTTAAAAAGGGAAAAAATAAATGGTTTATGATTTGTTGCTTTTAATGGATATTATATTCATAGCATAAATTCATGTTCTTTAAACAAGAATAGTATTTACGATTATTTTTGACGCTACTATTTCTACTCATATAATGTAATTATCTTGATATGGGGTCTAAAAAAATCTATCATTAATAATAACACTAATTCTCGAGATGCAACAATAATTATTTTTATTTATATATATATTTTTTATTTGCAATCATCTTTAGAGTTCAGCAAATTTATTAAGCGCAATCAAACATGACTAGTTTGAAGTACATTCTTCCCTTCAGACGCGGTCAGCTTGCTTGATCAATTGGCTTATTAGAGGATGTGGATGATTTGAAAGGCGCTCAGTGTACCTTGATTTGCACTTGTCTATGTCTTTCTTTACTTGTCTCTTCTGCAACAGTGGGCATGTTCAAGTATTCATGAATTTTGTTTTTTTTTTGTGAACCATGGTGCATTTACTATTGTTTTGAGATTTTTTATTTATATAGCTAATAAATTATAATTATGCTAATGTAAATAAACCTTTTCCTCCTAGACTACTGCATGGTGCAATTTGTGAAACCGAACCTCCTAGGAAAGTACAATGAGTACTTGAATCGGTTTGTGAACCCGATCACTAATGGGCAGTACACAGATTCCACGGAACACGATATAAGGATTATGAAGCGACGATCACACGTGTTACATAAGATGTTAGATGGCGCTGTACAGGTAAACTATAGTCATTTTAAGTTATTTTTTTTATTTTACAAGGACAATTATATTTAATACCCCTAGATATATCACGTGCGCTCAAACTGTGTCCCAATCAAGAAGTGCTTGAACAGGACTCAAGCACTTTTTGGTTCTTAGTAATAATAATATTTTTTTCAGATTAACATCCATATACATAATTATTAGTGCAAGTTAGTAACAATGTCGGGCTTATCCTATGTTAGTAGTATATTAATAAATCAATAAATTAGTACCTTCGGGCTTTCGGAAACACTTGTAAGCTGGCAATGACTACCTTTCGCCTTTATAAGAGAGTTAGGGCATAGCGGACTATCTTGAATATAATTTCCACCTTACACAACATCACAGGAAAGATAATAACTTTGTGTTGAGTTTTTGTCGATAAGTAGGTAAGGTTTGCGGCGGGACTGATTTTTGTATCCCAAGCGTCCGTAGGCTATAAGTATATAAGGTGGGCCTTATAACAATTTTAAGGTGAAACTGTTCTTAATTAGAATGATATTTAAGTAGGTACTATATTTATCCCATACATTTATTTATTTATAATAGCTATGATTTTCATCTGTTTCAGAGGAGAGATTACGGCGTGCTAGCACCTTTCTTGCCTCCAAAGCACGAATATGTATTGTTCATCACACTAACAGAAGTCCAGATTAAACTGTACCAATTCTATTTGGACAATTATTCGCGACGGCCTCTACCCGGCAAGTCTTCGGGTTTCTTGTTCCCTGATTTTCAATCGTTGCAGAGGATATGGACTCATCCTCTTGTACTCAAATATAACTCGGAGAGATACGAGATTATGCAACAGAAAAAGGTATTTTAGATAGGAAAATATTTAAAAGATCGTCAAAAAAATAGTAAATGATCATCTAAAAATACATTTCGTTGCCCAAAGGTTAGGTTAGTTTATCAATTGTATTTTTTTTAAGGATCAATCAGGTACTATATTTTTTTAATGATCATTTAAGTATTATAAAGTATTAATAAATAACATTGTGTTATTTTAAACTTCTGTTGTTGTTGCCTTACCTTATGAATTTAGAATGTGAATACACTTATTCGATGGTCTTTTAGACTTGTGTGTAGTGTTTTAAGGCATATGAATAGAATAGCACATAGCAGCAAAGGCTGTCTGGAATAATGGAGAATAATCCTGGAGAAATGTGACAATTTTAATCATTTAATACTGTTTATCTTTATCTTCATACTGGGTTTTTAACATTGGCAATATTTGCAATAATTTGTAAATGGGCACAGGATTTGCTATGTTACGGAACATATTGACAAGTAGTTTGTAAAGGACAGGAATCCAGAATGCTACTGCGTGATTTTTAATAGTTTTGTTTGAATATTGTTTTACAGAGGGAGAGAGAAGAAGAAGATTCTGAAGGCTCATTAGTAGACTTTATAGACGATGATTCAACACCAGACGTATGTCTTATTTTATTTTGACTATTTCGACATTTTTCGTTAGTATCTTAATATAAATGTTCCTGTCCAATAAAATAAACAACAAATTATGTTGGCAGGAATCCACCACAGATGAATCATCTGATGATTTATCAGATGCGAGTGATGATAGCCGCAAGAAGAGCAAAAAGAAAAAATCTCAAAAGAAAGGCAAAGGGAAGGATTCTAAAATGTCAACGCGGAGAGGGACCAGAGCAAATCCAGGTATTGTTATTGTGATACAAAGATAATGGTGGCGATTCTGGCATGATTCTCTGAACTTAAAACAAAATTTTACATCAGGCTTTGCTTTTTATCTGTACAGAGAATGACAAATACAAAGCTATCAAATTTAACTGAATTGTTAAGCATTATGATAAATATTGCAATGAATAGCCCCCCACGCTTTTTCAGTTATATATGTGTTAAAAGCTATAAACATGGCTAACTCTAAGGCCATAATGAAGTAAACAGAGAGTATATTTTGTTTATTTTTGGCTTTTTAGTGCAGTAAATAAAAGCATGTTTACTTTTTTAAACCATTAACTTTTTTAAAACACTGTATTTGTGGTTTCATTCATCTTCAGCCTAATAATGTCCCCACTGCTGGGGCACAGGCCCACCCTGTGGCTGGGAGATTGGGCCATGACCCACCACGCGGGATCAGTGCGGATTGGTAGGCGCTAACGACTGCAGATGCAATTGGGACCGATGGCTTAACGTGCCTTCCGAAGCATGGAGTAGTTCGAGATAATAAGTTTTTTGGTCAACCATTCAAAGACCGACCATTGCGAAAGTTGCTATACTTCAACGATCGCAGGCCGAATGCGCTAACCACCTGCGCCATTGAGCTCCTCAGTACTTATCTATTTATTATTACGTTATTATACAATACTTATCTATTTTCAAATATTTTCATGAACAGTTGAACTGGATGAAGACGAGGCCAACAACGATGTAGTAGAAATAAAAGAAGAAAACCCCACCGAGTGGTGGATTAAATTAGTGACAGACGACGAAATAGATGATATGCGGAACTCTCACAAACTGGTGTTGCTCTTCGATATACTCAGGCAGTGCGATGCTATTGGTGATAAGCTGTGAGTTTTATAATTTTTATGTTATGTAGTATTAAGACTGATTGTATCGCTACATTGACGTATAAAAACTAGTAAACTTCTAATCGCCTAACAAAAGTTCACCAGAAAACGTCCGAGCGGCGCTTTTCTACAGATATACATCAACTTGTACAGATAACAACACATTAGATTTTTTTTATTTGATTTTAACATCAAGCAGTTAAATGCTTAAAATAAAAATATAACTATAATTGCTGCTATTTCTTCTTTCAAATGTTTAATACTTGTAAAGGTTTTCATTTGACATTATTGGGTTACCTACCTATGCGAAGAGATGGCGCTGCCTTGCAGGCTAAGAAATACTAGAGAAAATTCAATACAGTATAATGGTCAGTATATCCGCTCAGATAGCGGGTTTCAGTCCCATCTGCTGCCTGGTCCGCGTGGAACTTTTTCTAGTAAAATTTTCGTTAGATATAAACACTGTTCAAATGTTATGTGGTGGTAGTAAAATTCTATTTCAAGTGAATACGAGAGAGAAAAAGATCTTGATTACGGTGCGAAAAAGACATGCACGACTACGCGCGGGGCGCACACGGGAATAGTTATTTATGATATACTAGCAGCCGCCCACGATTTCGTGCGCGTGGAGTTAGTTAAAATAAAGGTTCACTGCTCGTTCCCCGTAGGTGATAGCGTGATAATAATGTTGACCCAACTTCTTAATAATATTCGTGCCTTTGAAGTAAATCCATGCCGTACTTTTTGAGTTTATCCCGGATATACATACAGGCAAACAGACAAAAAATCTAAAAACTATTTTTTGTTTCGGTATCGATTGTAGATCACACCCCAAGTATTCTTTTAAAAAAATATTCAATGTACAGTTTTGACTTTCCTACCATTTTATTATATGTATAGATGATATAAGTGCGGTAAGTTGGTTATTACAAACGAGTAGACGAATGTTACCATAGTCACGAGTTTGTAAATACCAATCCGCACGAACTAAAACTGTATATTTCTGTAACGAAGCAAACTTTTTTAAAAGATGAAAATGGCGCGTCATGTGCGAGCGGTAAAAAATAGAACTACATCTTTTGTCTCTTTTTCCCTTTTTAGTATAAAAGTGAGACAAACGTATATATCAAAAACTATTGCATGAAGGTTTGACCGCATTTAAAAAAATGCGCCTTGTATGGGAGCGTGCGGTTAAATGTTTTATTGCATGCTCCGTTATATGACCCGTAATATTGAACTTTCGAACAATGTATACAACCTCCGTAAATGCATTTTTTATGCAAATGTGTTGAAAAGATATTTTGGTGTAACTATTAAAATGTAATTATTTAGCATATTATTATATTACTAGCTGACCCGGCGAACTTCGTACCGCCTTAGCGTAGTTTTGATGCACTACTTTGACATTGACATTCGTTACGTTATATATTTCAATCTTTCTGAGAGATTTTCTTTATATTTTTTTCCGTAAGAACCTTGTACAGAGTATTAGAAAACTACAAAAAAAAATCTGCCAAATCGGTCAAGCCGTTTTCATGTTATGTCGTGACAACGGAAAACGGGTTTCATTTTTATATATATAGATTACTAGCTGACCTAGCTAACTTCGTACCGCCATAACTAATTTTATGGCTAGGAAGTTCGCTAGGTTGGAGGTAGAAGGGTGAAAATTCAGGATTGTATGTATTTTTGAATGCCACATTATAAAAATAAAATAAAAATAAAATGTTAGGGGTGGACAACCCTTATCACTTACGGGTATGAAAAATAGATAGTAGCCAATTCTCAGACCTACTGAATATGCATATAAAATTTCATAAAAACGGTCAAGCCGTTTCGGATGAGTATGGTAACTAACATTGTGACATGAGGATTTTATTTATAAGATTTACGATACCAAATGCCAAGATCATTGCGTAATTTTATTTTATATTACAATTTTTATTCTCCATGTTTTTCTAATGGGGGTGTCAATTGCACAGTTTTTAACGAATATTTTGTTATTGCATAGCGTTGTAATCAAAGTGATCGAAACACGGCTGTTTAAAAATTTAAAATCACGCACAATAGACGCGTGTGCGTAATATTGCCTCTTGATATTTTTGGACTCGATTATGAGTTTCTATACGTCAATGTATGGCTGATTTTAATTATCTTTATTTATTTAGCGCAATTGCATCGTTGATGTTGAAAATCATTTGTTCCGACTTAGTTTTGGTTCTGTGTGTTATCTGAAATTAATCATATTATTTATTGGTACAGTTATAGTTAATGGCATTTTTTATTATCAAGTAGATATCTAATCATTATTTTAACTGAATCCTCAAAATATACCCTTTCGTTTCTCTTTCTTCGTTATTTTCTTAATATTAGCATACATAATTTTTTGGACTTTAACTTACAATATGATAATGTAATTGTGATTTCAGGGACACTTGGTTTTTTAATTTAAGACCCAAGATATAACCATAGCCCGAGTTAATAACTGTTTCATATCTTTTTAGATTGGTGTTCTCACAATCGTTATATTCATTGGATCTCATAGAACACTTCTTAGGCAAAGTAGACGAAGCAACTCAAGAGGGCAGGATTGACGAGAAACTGGCAGGTCATGTTGGTGGGTACTTTTTTTTATCCTATATTTTTCTTGCAATAAGTATTTTTTATCCTTTGTTTTTCTTGCGATCTGTATAGTCACTTAGGCTATTCAATAATTAGGCTATGTAATCATAATTCTTAACTTCTCTGCAGTAAGTTTTAATTAAAACAAAAATATGATGGTTAGGCTTATTTGATTCCAGCTAGATCCAACCAACCTAATCACCACTTCTTAACTTGTAACTATCAAAGTAAATGGAAAAAAATATTTTATATAGTTCCTTCCCTAATGTGTTTACTTCCCATGCATGCATACAGTATCTAAAATTATACCTGAATGGTTTTATAAACATTCTGCGAATTATTCAGAAGTTTATCCGGTTGTTTGCACATGCAGCTGCGATCGTTGGAAGTTAAGCAACTTTCGCAGTGGTCGGTCATTGGATGGGTGACCAAAACTTTTCTAACTCGAGCTCCTCCGTGCTGTTAAGCCGTTGGTCCCGGCTGCATCTGCAGTCGTTAGCACCTGCCAATCCGCACTGGGCCCGCGTGGTGTGTCATGGTCCAATCTCCCTATTCTATCCATAGGGAAGGCCTGTGCTCCAGCAGTGGGGACATGAATAGGCTTATGATGATTCAGTACCGTCTTGCAATGCTACTTAAAACGGATTGCGAGTTGAAATTAGTAATACAATTCCCTTCTAAATTTGTTAGGGTCGTGGTCTCCGGGAGTAGACTACTTCCGGTTGGACGGCTCAACGTCTTGCGAGAACAGATCCATATGGTGCAAGAACTTCAACAGGGAAGACAATCCTAGAGCCAGGTATTTAGTACGAGTTTAACATTTACGAAAACTATGATAGTTTTCGTGAGCTCGCACGCGTACTAAGGGTACTGATTTTATTGTTTTCGTTTCAATACAAATAAACAGTGTTTAAATTCTATCATTAAATCATTTGCGTCTTCTTAAATTTTAAGTATGTTTGGTTACTTTTCACCAAAATGAACATAGAAACATAATTTACAACTACGAAAACTATGATAGTTTTCGTGAGCTGAAACTCGTACTACTTTAGTTAAAGTTTAGGTGGAGTCCAGTTGTTAATAAAGATGATGCGGCAGAATGTTGTGCCATTGCTGCCATCTTTTCCCTTAATTTTGCTGGGCCTTACCCAATCCCCTACACCATGGAGCAGCAACTCTGTACCTTCTTTTAAAGAATGAAATATCGATGGAATCCTTTCGTGGATTTAAACTGGCAATGAAATAATAAAATATTGTGATGAAGAATTTAACGCGCCACCTATGAATTGATATTTTGTTATTTATATCTGATAATGCGATAAAAATAAATCGGTTGGTCAGTTACCGTCCAATATCCCTATCTTAAATATTTTTTAAAATTACAGATTATTATTTGTAATTTTATAAAAATGGAATTTCCATTCTGTTCATCGCAATAGCACAGCCTCCAAAAAAATGTAAAATGTCCATTTTTTTTGGAGGCTAAAGAAAGTTTTAGTAGAAAATAATTATTTTCCTTTTGCTATGTCAATATAGATAATTGAAGGTGCTCGATGGCGCGGGTGGTTAGCGCATTCGGCTGCGATCGTTGAAGTTAAGCAACTTTCGCAGTGGTCGGTTATTGGATGGGTGACCAAAAATCTTCTATCTCGAGCTCCTCCGTGCTTCGAAAGGCACGTTAAGCCGTTGGTCCCGCCTCTGGGGGATTGCGCTAGGGTACTAGGCAATCCCCAGACGGGGTGGCCTATACCGAATGGCACCTAGGGCACACGGTGGCGAAGCCGCGCCCAGACCACCTTAGGGCCGACGAAGACCGGCAGTCACGGCTGCCTGCCTTCTTCGGCCCACCCGTCTACGTCGAAGGAGGAGCGGCTAAACCGTCCTCCTCCCGCTCCCTCTCCTCGGTCTCCTGCGTCATCAGCGATTCGCAGAAGGAGGCGGCAGCCTTCCAGGCCCTCTCGCTACCAAGCATGGCTCTAACCATGCTTGGCAACGAGAGGTTTCCACCGCCGAGTGCCGCAATCAGAGTGCAGCGCTCGTTTCGCCAGCACACGCTAATCGTGTGCTCGGCCGTATCGTATTCCATCCATGGGGAAAGCCTGTGCCCCAGCAGTGGGGACATTATTAGGCTGAAGATGAATGAAACAGCAAATAGGGTAATGTTTTAAAAAAAGTCAATAGTTTAAAAAACTAAAAACACGCTTTTATTTACTGCACTAAAAAGCCAAAAATAATCAAAATATACTGTGTTTACTTCATTATGGCCTTAGAGTAAGCCATTAGTTTATTATAACATATATAAATAACTAAAAAAGCGTGGGTGGCTTTTCATTGCAATATTTATCAAATCAATTAATGTATTTCATTTCATTAATAGGCTGATGATGATGTTAATATCAGATGCTTTATTACAGGTTATTCCTAATATCGACGCGAGCGGGCGGCTTAGGCATAAACCTTGTCGCTGCGAACCGAGTCGTCATATTCGATGTGTCCTGGAACCCGTCGCACGACGTGCAAAGCATATTCCGAGTCTACCGCTTCGGTCAGAAGAAACCCTGCTATATATACAGGTTTTTGGCTATGGTGAGTTCAATTATTGATGTGTAACATCTTTCCTCTCGCTTTCGTGCAATTTGTGGGATTGCGGGATGGATTACGTGCAGTGTATTTTCATTATAAAAAAGTATTTTTATGTTTTCGTTAAGGAAGAATGTTGATTTTCTTTATTAATTTCAAACTGACGTTGATTGATTTTAGCTTTAAGATTCAGAGAATATTTAGGAAAACGAAGTTTTTTAAACACCAATTAGCCTAGCCCCAAAGTAGGCTTGTGTTATGGGATACTAGGGTAATAACGGATAGAATACATGTACTGTTACATATATAAGTATATTTATATATTAATATTACACATCTATGACTGGAGCACAAATTCCGGTGGGGGCAGATGTTTGTGTGATGAATACGAGCATTTACGCCCCAAAGTAAGCACAGTGCTTACTTTGGGGCTAGGCTAATTGGTGTGAGTGTTGCAAATATTTATTATTATTTAGTATAGGTACTTTCCATTTCATTTGCAGGGCACAATGGAGGAGAAAATCTACGAGCGGCAAGTGACAAAACAAGCGATATCGAAGCGAGTGATAGACGAACAACAAATAGACCGCCATTACGCGGAGAACGATCTCGCGGAGCTGTACAAATTCGAACCGCGGCCTCCGACGCCCAGACCTTTACCGCCGCTGCCTAAGGACAGACTGTTCGCCGAGATGCTAAAGGAACACGAAGCACAGGTGAGTCTAGATCAGTGATTCCTTTACTTGAGTACAGTTAGAAAAGGATGTCGCACTGTATAGCACATCGCGACATCCCTTTCTAACTGTACTCATGTAAAAATCAACACTTCGTTGTCATTGTGTAATACGAGCGTAAGACAAAATGCAAGGGGTCTACGCCAGGTAAAAATAATTTGGGGGTCCATGAATGAAAAGGGGGGTCCACGATAATGGATCTCAACATACACTGATAATACCTATTTACTGACATTATATCAATATCAGGTAAGTAGGGGGGTTTTTTTTTATCGTAAGTATGGGGAGTTGGTTATCTTCCCAAAACGGAAAAACATGCAAAGGATCTACGACACAAAAAAGTATGGGAACCTCTGGTCTAGATCAAGGATAGGCCATCTCCGGCCTCCGAATCTCGAATGGTTGAAATCCCGCCCGAAAACACAAAAATGAAAGCCACTCACCAAAAAGTACCATTGCATCATTTATTTTACCATTACCGTACCAGGAATGCTTTTAGCTGATTTTCTGTTTGTCCACTTACTGTCAGGTGGTGCCCGTAAGTGTTACCGTTTTTGTTAAAATAAAAACTTTTACTGTAATAACCTTAAAAAATTAAGCAGGTTTTACAGTACCAATCTCGTTTTTCAGATATACAAGTACCACGAGCACGACTCTCTATTAGAGAATAAGGAAGAAGAAACCCTAAGCGAAGAAGAGAGGAAGGCAGCTTGGGAGGACTTTGAAAATGAGAAGAACCGCCCTCCTCCCGCACCGTTCCCGTCTGCTTGGCCAATGCACAATGGAATGGGTGAGAGTTTTGTCATTGATAACTGTAATAATTGATGATTTTTAGGGTTCCTTACCTGAAAAGGAAAAAAAAGGAAGTTCCTCCACATTCCGAGTGCACTTCAACTATAAATTAACGATACTTCACATGACTATTCATCAGAAACGGAACCTTAAGATCACTTTGTTGTCTGTCTGTCAAGAACGCTTGGAGGTATCGAGTTGAAATTATACAATATATATATATCACGTCTATGCTCCCTTGAAGCTGTGAAAAATCAAAACTCAGTAAGGGGAAAAAAGATATGGCCTTCTATTTTGCATACCTACAAATTATACGGAACCCTCAGTGGGTAAGACCGACTCGTACTCGTCTGGTTTCTTTTTATTTAGGCTTTGTTGAGACTTAAGCTACCAGGATAGGTCAGTTTGACTGGTACTTTCAGTATTCGTGGGAGAGCCACGCAGTAGCTTAGGCTACTGCATGAATGGGCCGGCTCGACCGGAGGAATACCACGACCTCACAGAATACCGGCGTGAAGCAGTACTTTGTACTGTGTTTCGCCGAGTGAGTGAGGCTACCGGAGGCCCAAACCCCCCCCCCCCCCCCCCCCCCTTTCCTCATGATGGCGCTGTTAAATAGGATAATACCCCAGGGGGGTACCAGCTGTTTTCACGCTGGAGAATCCCCCTCTGGACGTCCATGCCCAGAACTGCTGCCCCTGCCATGTTTAACGTGGATTTCTGCAATATCAGGGGCTTACACTCCAACCTTAATGCTGTTCACTACCACCTTCAGACAGTGCAGCCGGCCTTGCTTTTTTGATTGAGACGCAGATATCCTCTCCAGCCGACACATCCTACCTCCAGTACCCTGGGTATACTTTGGAATATTCCTTTGTACCACGGGCTGGGGTATGTGTGTACGTTAAAGAGGGTATCAGTTTCCGTCGCCTCAGCAACTTTGAAGGTAGGGACCTCTCCATCTTATGGTTGCGTGTAGATGTCGATGACCATCCTCGCGTCTACGCCTGCCTCTACAGGTCCCATAGCGGAAATGCCGAAACTAACCGACTCTTTGATCACGTCCAGGTGGCTACAGACTCCGTGCTTCAGCAGATCCCATCATCTGAAATTGTGATCCTTGGCGATTTCAATGCCCACCACTCCGAATGGCTTGGATCGCCCACTACCGATCATGCAGGCAGATCTGCTCATGACTTCGCCTTGGCCTATGGTCTCACACAACTGGTCACCTCGCCTACGCGACTCCCAGATGTCGAAGACCATACACCTTCACTGTTGGACCTTCTGCTGACTTCACATCCGGATAATTACAAAGTGTCCATAGATGCCCCTCTTGGCTCCTCGGACCATTGTCTAATCCGGAGTATGGTACCACTCACTTACTCACCGCGGCCGCAATTTGCTGGCTGTCGTCGTGTGTGGCACTACAAGTCAGCAGACTGGGATGGGATGCGCACTTTCTTTTTATCCTACCCTTGGGGCCAGGTTTGCTTCTCGCAGAATGATCCCAACGTCGCTGCTGATTCTGTCGCCGATGTTGTCCTTCAGGGTATAGAACTTTTTGTTCCTTCCTCTGTGGTTCCCATTGGTGGCAAATCCCAGCCTTGGTTTGGTCACTACTGTAATCTGGCATCTCGCCAAAAACAGATGTGTTATCAGGCCTGGGCAAACGCAGCGGCGGTCGGGGATACCAACACTAGCGATCTCAAAAAGAAATATAACTTGGCTTCCAGGTCCTGCAAAATAGTAATTGCCAGAGCGAAGTCAGAGCACATTAGCAGCATTGGCGAGAGATTAATAAAACTCCCCTCTGGAACACGCGCGTTTTGGTCTCTTGCCAAGGCTGTTGAAGGAAATTTTTGTAAGCCATCCCTTCCACCCCTGCACAATGGCGACGAATCGATGGCCCATACTGCAAAAGAGAAAGCGGATCTTTTATGCTCACTCTTTGCGTCTAACTCGACTTTAAATGACAGGGGATACATACCGCCGACCATCCCCCGCGGGATGGCATAGAGCTCTCACACCGCTGTAAGAGCTCTATGCAGGAGATCCGGTTCACACAAAGCTTACTGCGTAAAGCACTCTTTTCCCTTGTCATCCACAAATCGAGCGGGCCTGATGCAATCTCACCAATTGTGCTGAAGACGTGTGCCCCTGAGTTGGCTCCGGTACTAACGCGTCTTTTCCGGCTCTCCTACTCTTTAGGTGTCGTTCCGAATTCATGGAAGACAGCTTTAGTGCACCCGATTCCTAAAAAAGGCGACCGCTCACTCCCTACTAATTATAGGCCCATAGCCATCACCTCCTTGTTCTCCAAGATAATGGAGTCTATTATAAATTGCCAGCTCCTGCGGTACCTAGAGGACCACCAGCTGATCAGTGACCACCAGTACGGTTTCCGTCAGAGTCGCTCGGCTGGTGATCTACTCGTATACCTGACTCATCGTTGGGCAAAGGCGATCGAGACCAAGGGGGAAGCATTGGCGGTCGGTCTGGATATCGCGAAGGCCTTCGATCGGGTTTGGCACAAAGCGCTTCTTTCGAAGCTTCCTTCTTATGGGCTTCCTGAAAAACTGTGCGGTTGGATCACTAGCTTTCTTGCGGACAGGAGCATCAAGGTCGCAGTCGACGGTGCATGCTCGGACTCCCAATCCGTAAACGCTGGTGTTCCACAAGGCTGAGTGCTATCGCCTACGCTGTTTCTTCTTCATATCAATGATATGCTTCAAATTGATGGCATTCATTGTTATGCAGACGACAGCACGGGTCATGCCCTATATACCGGCCGCGCCAACATTTCACGGGAAAACGTCATCGAGTGCCGGAGCAAACTTGTGTCTGTCGAAACTTTGTTAAACCGAGTAACTAATTGGGGCCGACTTAATCTAGTCCAATTTAACCCTACGAAGACACAAGTATGCGCGTTTACCGCAAAAAAAAAATACCATTTGTCGTATCTCCTCTTTTTGAGAACACTCCTCTAACTACCTCAGCTAGTATTGGAATTCTTGGCGTTGACATATCGAGCGACGTCCAGTTTCGAGATCATTTAGAGGGCAAGGCCAAATTGCCCTCTAAGAAGCTTGGTGTGCTCAATAGATGGAGAATGTACTTCACACCGACCCACCGACTGCAGCTTTATAAGGCACAGGTTCGGCCTCACATGGAGTACTGCTCTCATCTTTGGGCGGGGGCACCCCAGTACCAGCTTCTCCCTTTGGATCGCATCCAGCGCCGAGCGGCTCGAATAGTCGACGACCAGGACCTTTCCGATCAGCTTGATCCTTTGGCTTTGCGTAGGGATGTAGCTTCGCTCTGCATCTTCTATCGCATTTATCACGGGGAGTGTTCTTAGGAATTGTTCGGATTAATTCCAGCTGCTGCATTTCGCCATCGTACATCGCGACAAAAATTTCATCCCCATCATCTTGATGCGTGGCTATCCACAACCGTGCGTTTTTGTCGAAATTTTTTACCACATACGACAAAACTGGAATATGTTGTCGCCAACAAAGTTTCCGGACCGATATGACCCAAAAACCTTCAAAAAAAGAGCGTACTCCTTCCTTAAAGGCCGGCATCGCATTTGTGATACTCCTGGTGTTGCAAGTGTCCATGGGCGACGGTGATCACTTACCATCAGGTGAGCCGTCTGCTCGTATGCCCCCTATAACATATAAAAAAAGACACCTTATTATGGTTTATAAAATAGGCTATGCAAGCCAGGAGCATTATTTCTCTCAGCTCCGCATTCCGAGCGCATTTCAACGATAAATTAACGATACCTCACATGATTATTCATATTTGCTATTTGTCATTCTGACAGAGGTTATCCTTATCAAACACTATAGGGAAAGAAAAGGAGAGACTTGGCAAATTTACAAATATCAAAAATGAATGGCCATGTGAAGTGCCGGCAAGATATCCAATGTTTTCCCACACTGTCACAATGTGTGACGAAAGTCTACCAAACACTCTCTCTTCTGGTCAGACTACATTATTTTTACAGTGGGTAGGTTTCAGACCTGTTGGATTTGAATCTCAAATAATTTTCAATCAAAACCTCCTGAAACAGTGTTAAAATTACTAGATGTATAAAAACTATGCCAAAAGCTCACTGTAGGTATGTCATTCAGTTTTATACAGCTCCTTTAAAATTTTATTTTATGTAATTGTACCGTTTTGTTCGCCAGCTCCTCAAATATTATATAAATGTTACATATAATAAATATTATGTAAATGTTTATTACCAGTACCTGGTCTACTGGCACAACAGCAGCAGCAGTTGGCATACGCGGCGCTGGCCGCCATGTTGCGTAAAGATATGCCAAACATCAACGACAACACCATCAGGGATATGCTACCACACATATACAACTCTAATCCAGCGGTGAGTTTAAAACTATATCACCTTTTAGTTACACACATCACTTTTACTCCAGTCTTTCAAATTGTTTAATATAAAAACAATTCACCTACAGTCTTTTATTTTTCTTTCATTATAGTGATAGTTTCAATGATAATGCAACTATATACATTTGTGTATTGGAATATTGATCTTAATTATTCAATGAAATACATGACTGCTTACTTTTTAGTTTTGAACAGGGACAACCCCTGTCCATCATGATTCATGCTTCCTTAAACCAAACGTAAACTCTGATCTACATTGCATGTAGTGTTGTGACGTTCTATTTTAAGAGAAGAATTCGAGTTGTTTTTACTACATTTTTATTTATTTATTTAAGATTATATTTATTCAAAATTGTTACTAAAAAGTCAACCCGGCCATGGTAACAGATTTTAATTTGCATTGTGTTAAAATTTTTTTTTATGAAGTCATTTTCAACTTGATGTCGCTGGGAAGAAAAAGATAACTATTTATTTTACAAGGTCTGCCACCTAATTTTGCGATTGCACTTTAAGAAATGCTTGTAACATCCTAGCTGTACTAAAATAAAAAATGACGTATTTAGTTCATTTTATGACTTTTGAATATTGATGTGCAGTATGTTTATTTGCTCAGCATAACTTATTCGATGTTTACGCAATATTCCACACACATTTTACACATAACACGTATTTATAGAACCAAATAAACATGGTCATACAAAAGTTTACTACCCGAATAATCACATAAATCAATTTATTTGTCCAGATGTTCGGTGGATATGACTATGGCGTAAGTTGTTAACATGTAGATAATTCTGTCCTACTCTCTTTCGAATTGTCTTGATGTTACGCCATATTTTAGTAGAGGTTGCATTAGAGAATTCAACTTACATGTTTATAATTTGAATACCTTTAAATATCAGTAATTTAATGTATGATGCGATTCAAATAAGAATAGGAAATCCAATGACCTCCATCTGTCATATGTAGCTTGAAAAGTAAGGTTTGCAAAAAAATCTTGGAACCCTTTTTTAGCATGGCTAACTCTAGAATAAAAACCAAACATTTGTAAACAAACAATAACAAATATTGATAATTAATATTGGTTGATATTTTTTTTTCATTTATTGAGCTTGGCTATGAATGGTTGATAACCTAAATCGCCAACCAAATGTCAATTTAAGTTCATTCAGAAACTCGATTTAAAACTATCGTTTACATAAAGGATGCATATTCGTATGTGACCTAGTAATAGTGTTTGATTATTCATAACTACTCCGGCGGTAATGCAGAGATGAGCGGAATAAGAAAAAAGAGAGCTAGATTTTGGTAAATGTTTTTCCTCACACAGTCTTAATAAATTAATATTTTGAAAAATTGCTTGCTTTTTTCCTCAATCTTAGTAAATAAATTTTATTTAAAAATCTGATGTTTTTCTCACTTGATCTTACTAAATAAGTTTTATTAAATAAATTTTCTTTTAGGTCACTCTACCTATTTGGTTTGAATTTGACAGCTATGACGTCACAGTATGGCGCCCAATCGGTCCTATTATCATAATAATCATAATAATCAATATCCTATCCTATTCTTAGTTGAATCGCCTTATATAAATCATAATTCGATTTCCAAACACAATGTTTCCACAGTGGCTAAGTTAGTTGCTAGTAGCATCTAATAAATGCTAATATAATGCGCAAAGGTCCTTTATGAATTTGCTATGCAGATAACTAAAAAGTTAATAAATAAATGTTGTAACATTAATTTGTTTGACGATGTTGATTTTTTTCGTCCGTATACATAGCTGAACAGTTACCATAACAGGTAGGGATATGCGATCCGGGTCGTCGATCCGATTTTTCGGATCGTAATGCTACGATCCGATGGCGGATCGGATCCGATCTTCAAGAAATCGGATCGGATTGGATACAATAAATAAGACAAAGTATTTTAGATTTTTATTTGGTAAACCTATCAATAATCGTCACACCTAATCAGGTACAACTTTTGTTTATAATAATAGAATGTATAAGATTAACGGATCCAGCTGCAAATAATGCCGCCAAGTTAAAATGTAAACAAAGCTAAAGTTCGTAACAGAAATCTTAGTAAGTAGCTACCCAATTTATTGTAAACAAACCGCGTTTTAATTCATACGATCCAAGCGATCCGATCTTTCAAGTTTTGTAACGATCCGGCAAAAATCGTATGGCCTCGATACGATCCGAAAATCACCGGATCGTATGCCTCCCGATCCGATCCTTTGAAAGATCGGATCGGATCGGCGCATCCCTAATAACAGGTACCTAATAGGTATTTTTTTTTTCAAAAGTGTTGGTAACCCAATTTGTAAAAAGGTATTTTGAATTATGATTTGAAATCAACTATAGTCCTTTACTTCTGTTGTATAACAATTTTGTAGTATGAAACAAATAAATTGCAGTAATATTAAGAACTCCTTGGTGATATATCAGGAACGAATTTTATTATAAACTTGTAAGTTGAATTCAAAACCTTTTTATGTTAGCATGTATTTTTCTAACAAAATGTGTATATAGCTACCGCATGTATGTACTTTTGCCGTGAGTAATTGTACTCACATGTACTCTCATTAAAAAAAATTGTAACGTTCACTATAAATTTCCTAGTGTCTGCGCTTTTGCACTTTATAATATAAATATCACACAATAGATTTTAGTTGATTTTTTTATATCCATTAATGGCACTTCACTTGGCTATTTGTAAATTTGACAACAGTCTATCCTTTTCATGCTTTATAAGGAATGAAAAGGGCAGACGGTAATGTCATGTTTACGAATAACAAACACGAATAGCAAAGTGAAGTGCCGGCATAAGGTGATGAAGACAAGTGCTTGCAAGTACTCGTGGTAGAAGTACTAATTTACTTGTGTTTTTTGTATGAGTAACGATTGTCCTTTTGCGTCGCAGTTGATGCAGAAATTATCGGAGTTATACAAGTTCGCGCCCGGTGGTATGATGAATCCTGCGATGATGAACCCAGTTATGAATGCCGGTAAGTTGGTTTTACTTTAATGATATCGATTTTTTTTTGATGTGTAACATCTTTCCTCTCGCTTACGTGCAATTTGTGGGAGTGATTACGTGAAGTAAGAACGAAAGAAGTAAAAACTAGTTTTATTTAATAAGGTGTGGTTTCAAATGTTAAACATCATACATCATTTTATCCGTGCGGTGACGGAGAAAGAATACAACTCACCGCCCCTTTTCTTCCCGTGGGTGTCGTAAGAAGCGACTAAGGGATGTCGGAGCTTCCATCCGCTCTTCTGGTGGTAGGGTGCCTAACACCCGCCTGGTTTGTTACGACCGTGCGTTATGGTGAAAAACCCGTGAAATGCTTCTCGCACGTTTCGGGGTCAGCCAGCGTACAACCAGAGCTCGAGTGGAAGTTGTCGCGAAGGATTGGGTCCAGTGGAGGCATCCGTCGAACCGATGCCGTTAGGACTGCTTCGACCCGTCGGCCAGGGAGACCAGTAGAAACGGCTGTCCCGCTGGCCGCCCGTGGCACAGTACAGGGGCCCAAGCGTTCCTAACCAGTTCGCGAGGCTGCCCCATCATGCTGGACATTAGTCTGTGTTTAACTTTTGTCTCAGAGGAAGTATAGATAGATATATATGCTGCCGTATGTACATCTTCCGTTATATTCGTCGTCGCGGGATTTTTCGAAAGCTCTATTAATGTGCTATATACCCCTGACAAAATCACTAGACACACTAAGGCCCGTATTACAGAATGACAACTAAGTGTTGATCTTTACTTGAGTACAGTTAGAAAGTGATGTCGCTATGTGCTATATATCGACATCCTTTTCTAACTATGCTCAAGACTAGATCAATCACTGAGAAGCTTTCTATAATACGGACCTAAATCTCATAATGTGCCGTTAGTCTCAACTAATTATCGTCAAAATTCTTTCACAATAGAGCTCCTCACACTTTTAACCAGTACTCATCAGGCCAGTTAGATGTTTATTTGTTTTTTGACAGCTTGAATTCATTTAAAAAAAACAATAATCTTTTCTTTAAGCCGAGTACTTAAACTATGTATTGTGTATCTCCCCGTTTTTAATTGCTTATAAGATAAGTATATATATAGTATACATACCTACTTAAAAATGCATCATGTGCACTACATGCCGACTTTTTTAATTATTACTTTCCCTGCTGAAACTATTAATTGGGCTTAAACATAAATATTATGCAGAATAGCAAGTAAGAGAAGCTGTAGGTTTCCCAAAAATTGTAAAAATAAAATAAAATATTTGTGTTTTTCTTGTAGCAGGCGGCGGCGGCGCAGGCGCGCTAGGAGGCGCCAGCGGGCTGCAGTACGAGCCGCCGTGGCAACGCCAGCACCAGCAGCAGCAGCAGCTGCGGCTGCAGCAACTCATGCAGCACCAGAACGTGAGTGACACATGACTATATGTACTTTATTATGACCTTGTGGCACTAATGAGACAATGACAGGTGAACGCTGTGTTAATGAATAAGTGGTGAAATGAGAATTAAAAAGTATGTAAAATGTTTTCACTAAAGGGAACGTTATAATTTGCAATAATTTCGAAAGAGTAATAGGAAAGAGAAAAGGCTTATTTACACTATCCCCTATAATTAATACACTCATTTATCTATACATCTGTACATATAAATAAAATTGGAGTCTCTGTTTGTAATATTAATATAACCGCTTTTTACTACATGCATATGAATATATATAGGAAACACATACACCAAAAAAAATTTTTTTTAATATTTATCCGTCTGTCTGTTTGTGCTGGCTAATCTCTGAAATGGCCGGACCGATTTTGATTTGATTGACGGGACTTTTATTGGCAGGTAGCTGTCAGTCCTTATTACATAATAAGGAGTAACTTAGGCTACTTTAGTTTTAGAAAAATCCTTTTATTCCAGAAAAAAAAATCTAAAAGTTAACGCGGATGAAGACGCGGGCGGCCGCTAGTACCTTCCTAAAATTGGTTCTGATATTGGCCATGCGCCACATGTTCTTGGTCGCACTGTATTCTCATATATGTGTCAAGGTTTACTTTGTGCACGTTCAAATTCTTAATTATATCTTCATATTATGTGAAAGCTGTTAATTTTTTGCTTGAAATAAAAGGTAGATCAATATTAGCTCTTACTTTACAAACGATAATGTCAAATCATAGTTTGCATAGCGATTGTAAAGTGTACATTTTTTTAAAGTGAAACAATGTACACAATGATTTATACTTTAAATAAAAGGAATAAGCAAAATATTGCTTCGCTAAAAAGTAATTTTCATGGTAAAGTTGAGTTTTAGCTACAAAATGTGTGAGCGATATTTTTGTCATTTCGATTACCATGTCACGTGTTCGTGTACGTGTTCTTTGTTAGTTCAACTATGAAAGAATTAGCGGTCGACCGCGATTTCGTCCTTGTTCATTTTAGTTTTTTGAAAATCCCTCAAGAACCTTACACTTTTCCGGGATAAAAAGTATCCTATGACTCCATCCAGGTTGCCAAATTTCATCTTAATCTATTCAGCCGTTTTTGTGTGATTGGGTAACAACCATACAAACTTTCACATTTATAATGCCGGCCCTTCAGTTGACTATTCGTATTTGCTATTTGTAAATTTGACAAAGTTTATCCTTATCATGATTTATAAGGAATGAAAAGGACAGAATGTCAAGTTCACAAATAACAAACACGAATAGTCAAGTGAAGTGCCGGCATCACATTTGTAATATTGAGTAGGATAACGAAATCACGGCAAGTGCAAGACTACGCACCTAGGTTGTGACGTTTGAACGAGTTTGCTACATTACAGCAAATGGGCGCGAAGTACTACGCGGGCGGATTGGGCAGCCGCGACCCGGTTGCGATGGCGCTGCAGCAACAACGCGCGCGCGAGATAATGGCGGGAGACGCGCGCGCCCGCCCCCGCGGCCGCCCGCCCCTGCAGCCGCGCGCGCCCGCCCTCGCCGCGCCGCCCGCACACGCCGCGCACGCGGACGTCGTCAACCTCGACTCGGACTAGTGAGTGCCACACACCCCCCACTGCATGCAGCGCGGCCGCCCGCCCCTGCAGCCGCGCGCGCCCGCCCTCGCCGCGCCGCCCGCATACGCCGCGCACGCGGACGTCGTCAACCTCGACTCCGACTAATGAGTGCCACACACCCCCCACTGCATGCAGCGCCCCCGCCCGCGGGGATGATGTCAACCCTGACTTTGACTTCGACTAGTGAGTGCCGTACACCCCCCCCCCCCCCTTGATGCAGCGCGCACGCCCACGGGGATGATGTCAACTCTGACTTCGACTAGTGAGTGCCGTATACCCCTCACTTCATGCAGCGGTCCCGCCCGCGCGGATGTCGTCAACCTCGACTCCGACTAGTGAGTGCCGTACACCCCCCACTTCATGCAGCGCCCACGCCCACGGGGATATCGTCAACCTCGACTCCGACTAGTGAGTGCCAAACACCCCCACTTCATGCAGCGCCCGCGCCCACGGGGATGTCGTCAATCTCGACTCCGACTAGTGAGTGCCACACACCCCCACTTCATTGAGCTGCTTTTTGGACCCAAACATACACACTTGAACAACCTTAATTAGTATAATTATTATAATGAACAACATCTCAACAGATTACAATATAGAATAATGATTACACAAAGAATTATCATTGATTTACAATCAATTATAACATAATACAAAAACAATAGATTTTTGTATTTACAAATGAAATAGGTATTAAAATACAATTTCCATTAGCTGTGTATCTCACCAAATCTGGTACTTCAATTACATACTTTCGATATAATACTTATTTAACTTTTTTTTTCCAGGTAATACGACAAGTGTATAGTAAAGTAAACTTAACAGACGTGTACAGTGAACGATAGAAATAGGTGCTTTAGGGCAATGGAATGGGACGTCGCTCAGTCCCAACATGTCAACGATCTGTGGCGATCTGCAGTGCTGTTCTATAAGATCAAACTCACTTCACCTCGGAAATCCGAAGGAATAGCGCTGCTGGGACCAGTGACGTCAGGCCAAACGGTGGACTGATGTTGAAGTGGTAGTAACGTAGCTTACAGTCTTCAGGCTTGCGCTCTAAGGTCGAAAATCAACTGGAAGATCAAATACGCTATACCAACTGTAGAAACTGGGTGGTATGGACGTTGGTCTCCCGTAAAAGTATATAGGCCTAACTCCACATATCAAGAATCTCAATTTATTATTAACATTTTGGTTCTACATCTTGCAATGATTTTTTGTTTACTCTTTTATAGTTTACGGTTATCTAGTTATTTTATGTGACTTTAAACAGTATAGACTATAAAAGTACTGTTATGTTTTACTGTTCTCCCTGATCATGGCATAGCTAACAGCAGTTCCCAATATCCGCATAAGAGGTAGCCTTTTCCATAGTTTAGTAGATCTAGTTGATTTTCAAACAAACTGAATTCTGGTAAGATTATCTTTTATCGAAGATAGGTTATTGGGAACGGCAGTACATTGATAAATATACTATAGGCAGGTCCTTGTAATCGGTGTAAGTTACAACCAGAGTAGCTGTTTTTGCATTATGAAAGAATCTCTATTTATTTTAATTTCCATCAAAATAACAGCGAGAGCCGAAGGCGTAGACTCAATAGAGTTGTAACAGTACCGCAAGTTGTAATGTTATAAGATTTGTACCAATGAACGCGGTCTTTAAACATTACCCCTCTATCTACTTGTTGTACATACATACTGACACTCTTAGCGATATGCATTGTTTGAACAAAATTTTAAATGCGCGTCCTGTGATTGCGGCGTTTTAACAGATTTATCGATCATTATTTTTATATAATTTAGGAAAGTTGCGTAAGGGTTTTAATTTGTTTTTTATATTTTATAACTAGATTAACGGTGCCTCGAACATGGGACGCTACTGGGTGTCAGCTTAATAATTTTAAATATATCTCTCAGTACAGGAACTTAGGCGTAAGGTATGATACATATATTCTGTAGCTAGACGATTTCTCTGTTACGTTTTACCACTCAGGTATACGTAGCACAGTTTTCCACTGCACGATCGTACGCACCCAATATAACAATATATTTATAACATAGTGATATAATTATGCTATTGATGTAACAAAAACACCAATATAATTATTGAAATTAATGTTATTCATTGGTTTATGTACGCGTATTAGTTATTTGTCTGTAGTAGGAATGTCACGTGAACTCTATTTTTATATGCTGCAATAATTTTTAAGTAGGATTTCATTTCATATAATATGGAGACTCCACAAAGTAGGGATTGGGTCCAGTTGTGCAAAATAGGATACTGGACCGGTAAAAAAAATTCTGAATTTCATATTCTATTAATATTAAAATTTGCAATTAGTCTTTGGTCTATAAGCCAAAGACTGAGGGCGACCAAACGTAAGACTCGGTCAGGCAGGCAACTTATACTTATCATCAGGTGGGGTAGGATAATTTGCTGCACTTTGCACAAAAAGGTTGTTTATAATCAAAAATGCTGGGTTATTTAAATTCTTTATTATTTTAAATATTTGCATAAACCTTTAATAACATTGATGACATTTTATCAAAATATATTCCAAATTTGAAACCACCAGAACCGGTTTTTATCAGATTTCGTAGATGTTTTAGTTTAGATTTTATTATTTGAAAAATTTAGTCTTAAGTAGCAATTTGGTACAAGGTATATAAATCATGCACATATAATGTACGATTTAGTTTACACAACTAAGCAGGATATTATCCTTTTAGTTAAAATTACTGCATTTTTTTCTGAAATATTAATAAACATCGAAAAAGCTTTTTATATGCATAAATTGTTATAAGGGCGAGTGTACAAACCAGAGTGTTTTGCTATAACTTAATTGGAATGAATTTACATAACAGATGTTGCAACAACTGATCAACATACTGACAATTCAACTAAAATAAAACGGCACATATTTAAACGATAATAAAAAAAATAGTCATTGAACATAAAAAAAATACAATTGGCAACCAAACCTAACCTTTAGGTTACCTATAGTATTTTTAGATGATCATTTACTATTATTGAGCATCATTGAAATACTTACCAAATAAAATCTGAACATCACAGGCTAACACAACACGTGTTATATAAATTGTAAACATGTTTATTTCTGGGACAAGATGATTTTATGGTAAAAAGATGATATAACACAGTAAAGATGGTTTAAAAAAAAACAAATATCAATGTAATACAATTTATATACAACTATGAGCATGAGTAAACATTATTATGTACACAGATTCTTGTGTCATGTATTCAGTACTTTTCATGGATTGCTCTGATGTATACTCGCCTTTAAATTTTGGCCCTTTATCAGCAACTTGAGTAAATCTTTAGGTATTTGGGTATTGCCAAGCTTGGGACAGACTCACACTGTGCAATGCATGCTTAATATAATATTGTGTTAAAGGTGCAACATTATTTCAGGAATATTAATTACTAATAATCCTGAAGCATATCATTCATAGTGTGTCCATCATACTTGTATTTATTTGGCCTGTTGATTACAGGTGATTTAGTTGTGATATTGCCTAAAATAAATTTTTTGTATACGTTTATTTTTAAATTTAGTCACCATTGTGACTTTAATATATAAGATGCAGCAATTACAATTATATTTTAGAATATATTTTAATTCGTATGTATGCTACCAGAGTGAATTATTAAAATTCTGGGGATAAATAATGAATATTAAGACTAAATAATTTTGTTTTCAATTAAAATGCAAAATATCTGAATGTTTTTTAGTAATTGTATTCTTTTATATAGATTTATGCTTTTTATGTTACTTATAGGTTTAAAACAAATATGTTTACAAACAAACAGTATTTCAGTTAGAATTAAGATGTTTCTTTACCTTACTGTCACTTTCTAAGGTAAGTATTTTCCAATGAAAAATAGTCTACTTGTAATGACATGTGGTTGCTGCACACAAACCAGTGAGAACTGCTATAATTGTTTCATTATTTATGTAATATATAATGTAATAACTGTAGAAATCTTCCTATTATTTTGTAGTACAATCAAAGTATAATAATAAATGATTTGGAAATGTGTACATTTGTTTTTTGTTTCAACTTCTTCTGAATAAACTATTTCATACAAACATTTTATACCACTAGCATGAGTAAATTATGATTCTTTCTTATTTCCTTTTATGAATGGTTTGTATGGATGTAGTACAGGTGATATTTCTTCATCGGTCTGAATGTTGAATTTTGCTGTAGAGTAGGCAATTTCATTCATAAAAAACTAGCTAGGCTTCAGTCTACTCAAAATGAGAACTGTGCCCTTATTCAGTACAGAAACTGATCAAAAGTATTTTTATGTATACTTTTATAACTTTGTACTTTTTTTAAGGATTTAAATACTTCTAGAGATAAACAATATTAATACTATATTCTGGACATTGTATGTGGACAACACCATATTTGTTTATCATTTCTAGACATTTTGTTTTTTCATTTGAGGCAAACATGATCTATGGCTTGTAGCAAGGAAACAAATACTAAACATTAAGATTAGGTATTCCCGTTATTACACCAACTGTCACCTCTATGTACTTTAGAAGTCTCCTTGATAAGGAACCAGCCTCTTCAGGTTTGTATACATTAGCAGTCAATAAGTCCAATTTGAAATCTGTATAGAAATTAACTAAATCACTAGCACTTATGGCCATACTATTAACTGGAAGACCGCTTGCATTTACTAGAACGACACGCCGGCTTCTCAAATCTGGATGAACTTGGCCCAGCACTTTCTTTGCCCATTCTAAACAAAATTTTCTACTGGTATCCATGGCTAAAATTATGAAGTCTATACCGACTTTTCCAGTTATGTTTGATTGCTTGACGACCTCTTCTAAATGAAATGATTGAAGTACAGTAAGTTTCCACCTAAAATTTCCTTTTGTATGAACTTCCACCAAAGCCTTCGCTATTCGTTCTATTATTTCGACATTCGAAGACAAAATAATTACAGACAATGTCTTCTTAAAGCTGGTGGCACCCACCCAGGGGGCTACAATCGCTTCATCTTCGAAATTAGACATTTTGTACACTTTGTATTGACTAAATTAAACGCTGCTCTTCTTCTGTTGGTATTTTTTTAAACTCGCCCGTCTTTCCGTTGTTGTGTTCTTGCATCTGTCATATTGACAGTAGAAGAGATGCGAATAATAATCGATTTATATCGATAAAAAATTATGAGCTTCATATACGATCGAACCAATTATGCATCTATTGTAATAGTGTAAATATTGTAATAAAAAAACGAAAGAGGATCGCTAGAACGGCATGATTAGGGACACGATATCGAATAGAAGTATATATATCCTACTCATGAGTAGGATCGAAAAAAAAGTATCGTACTCGTAAAAGTATTGAAACAAAAGTATCAATACTACATTTCATAGGCCCTGATGAGCACCCCCCCCCCCCCCCCGGTTATTTATTATAGTGCGTATAATCAAAAGCAAAAAAGAACATATAAATTCAGGAATTGCTATATTATCTAGCTACTCTTAAAAATGTGTCATGTTAATATAATCAACTACAAAACTGAACGTGCGTTTACTTTAAACAACTGAAACTGAGATTTCTGACAATAAAAAAGTGTTCATTAATATAACATTCACAATCAACATTTTAATTAAAAAGATAGAAATCTTAAACAATTTAAATGTATGGTACTTTTCAGATATGTAACAAAATAAACTTACTTTTCTTGAATTTTAGTCATTAAAAAACATTATGTCCCACTTATGTTAACTTGAACCTAACATGCGGTTAACGGCGGCCATTGGTATGCTTCACTTAGCGATGCGCGACTACGAATGATTTTACCTTTCGACTAATTTGGCTATTCGAAAGGCAAATTAGTAGTATACTAATGTCATTATTCGAATAACGACTACTAATTAATAGTACTAATTAGTAATACTAATGTCAAATTTACAAGAGCGTTGCGCTAAGGTTAGGTTATTCATTAGTTCGTTCATCATTTGCCTTAGTTCAGTCAGTTTCCGTACGTACTTGGCGCCTGCCACGATAGTCTTGTATCTGTTATTAATTATTATAATTTGCAGTGAAAACTGTATTTACCAGTGAATTTGTTTATTATTACTTGATTTATATATATTTTTAATATAAAGAGTTCATTATCGACCTAATCATTAAAAAACGATTGAAAGTGGTAGCCTATTGACTCTGTTCATCTCTTTCACTCGTCGAGTCGAAGTCCGATTCGGTCGACCCGGTTTGTTCTCTTCGTCACGTCCGTCAGTCGAGAGTCGGTTAGTCGCCGCCCGATACCTTCGACTCCAGTCGAATGATATAAAGCGCAGTCGACTTGGTCGAATTATTCGTGGAGTCGAATGATTAGTATTAGTATTATTCGAAGTCGCGCATCGCTAGCTTCACTTAAGATTAGGACGAGGTTACGTCCGTCTTTTTTTCAAGTCTGTGGTTTCAAATAGATATGATACACAGCACAGACAGAATAATAGTGGAAGGGTGCGGCCAGAGTGCACTCAGATTCAGACTCAGATTCAGATTTCGAAAACAAGCGCGAGAAATAAACAGTGTAGTCTAAGCAGGTTGCTTGCTTTTTCTCGCGCTTTGTTTTCTGAGTCTGAATCTAAATCTGAATCAGGAGTGCAATCTGGCCGTAACCTTCGACTACACTGTTTATTTCTCGCGCTTGTTTTCAGAATCTGAATCTGACTCTGAATCTGAGTGCACTCTGGCCGCACCCTTAGGGTGCGGCCAGAGTGCACTCAGATTCAGATTCAGATTCAGATTCAGAAAGCAGGCTCGTGAGATGTCAGCTTGAGCAAAGCAGGTGATGGCCACAGTGGAGGCAGATTACAAGACGCGGACGCGAGCACTATTGCCAGGTTGGGGGGGAGTTACCCGAAATTTGGGAGGGTTTTAAAGCGAAATTTTGTTTTGGGCGAAACGGAAATTTTTTTTTATTACATTTTTATATAAAAATAAAACCACTTCATAAACTTTTAATCTGTACAAAGTCGCAATCGACAGTCATTCAACAGTCTCTCTTTCTCATTCGACGCGTACGGAGTCATAGAGTACATCGTTATATGTTCGTTGATCCAGAAATTTAAACATGGAATGAAGATCTAGCGTGCTTGTTAATGGCTACTGATAGTTGTCATTATAAATTAAAACGCGAGAGAATCGGTGTTCACCAAATTAATAAATTAAGGAGTGAATATGGGGAATACCACCATTTGTTTCCCCAATTCAAAGATGATAGGAAACGTTTCTTCCAATATTTTAGGATGGAAGTGGAAACGTTCTACTACATTTTAAAAAAATGTGAACCTCAAATGATGAAGAATTGGTGTAATTTGCACAAACACAAGATTCTTCCAGAAGAACGCCTTGTTATAACCATTAGGTAAGAATTTATTACAATCTCACTAATCTGGATATGATGGGAACAGACTGTCCGGATTAACCGGAAAGCTGGGTCTGGATTCGCGAGGGTAGTGTAATTTGAATAATTTGTATGGTTTATAGTATGTGTAGGAACAATCATTAATAATACAAAAAAATGCTATGTTAATGAAATTATTTTTAATGACAAATAACATTTTTTTTATTATATAATGAGTTTTGCATATCTATGTTAAACTTTAAAATTTTAAAGTAAATATTATCATAAAAACATTATAAACATAGATAATGACTAATAATATAGCAGTTTTGTTTAATATAAGACTTTATATATGTTTGCTCTTAAGAACTTAAAATTTCAATCACAGCTTTTAATTTACAATTTACTATACTATCACAAATATTATATTTATATAATCCACTCAATTAGGGTACAAAATTATGGCGAACTATAAAAAGAAACAAAATTTTTTGGTTATTAAAAAACATTCATAACCTTGAAAATTGTATTTTTAAACTGTAATATTATTCAATGAGTACTTACATCGAATTGATCTTTGCAAAAAAAATGACTTTCAGTGGATAAAGTTACAGGATTTAGCAAGTTTTAAACATGTGTTCATGAAGAATGTTTTTTGACGTGACAACGTCTTAAATTAGGTTGCGGCTGGGAGTCACTTATGAAAAAGTGTAACGCTCGGTAACGTTACGATGAGTCTCTCGTGTTAAGTTTAAGTTTACATGTACAATGTTTTAGTAAACAAAATATATTTCTATAGTCAAAATTTGTGCAATTCTTATTTTCATTCAATTCCTTGTTCCTATTGTGCAATTTAATTATATTCATATCAATAAATATTCTACCGAGAAAAAGACGTTGTCACGTAAAATCTTCGCCCGTAAAACCGACTTTACAGGCAACCATTTTTTCTCTTGGCAATTTAAACCACAACTTTTCTAGTCTTTTACCAAGTGTATCATGATAACTACTAAATTTTTCATGTGATCTATTAGAAATCATGGTTTTATAATATTAACTCGGAAAGTTTATTTCCTACGTGCTTGCGTGTGTTCGTTTACAAATGTTTTGACGTCATAGCATAGATAAGTCTATAGAATATACAGCGTTTTTGTATGTCTTGTAGGTAAAAAAAATACATTTTTTTTTCGGTCTGATAGAACAATCATTAACATTTCAAAACATAATTGCAAAAAGTGTCAACTAGCCTATTTAACAACAATGTATCCTTGTCATTCTCTATAAAGAATGAAAAGGAGAGACTGATGTTAAATTTAGTTTTAAATTTAGAGAATCATGCCAGAATCGACATCCACCAGTGTCTGTGTCTGATAGTAAATGTCTACCACAGCATGGTTTACCATGCGCATTTTTCAAAATCCGAGTTGGCAACACTGCCGAGCGGCGCTGGTGAATTCAGAATCTGAATGACCTAAACATTCCGGTAAAGTGTCTGACTCCGAAACCTGCGCGGCCTGCTGCCACTATGGCCACCCTGCTTTAACTACACTGTTTATTCAGATTCAGAGTCAGATTCAGATTCTGAAAACAAGCGCGAGAAATAAACAGTGTAGTCGAAGGGTACGGCCAGATTGCACTCCTGATTCAGATTCAGATTCAGACTCAGAAAACAAAGCGCGAGAAAAAGCAGGCAACCTGCTTAGACTACACTGTTTATTTCTCGAGCTTGTTTTCAGAATCTGAATCTGACTCTGAATCTGAGTGCACTCTGGCCGCACCCTTACACTTGAATCAAATACGGTCAAGCGAAAAGCACAATAAACATTCAATCACACTTCGTAATAATGTGGTCGCTAAATAAACTATGAAACAAATCAAAGCGCAAAATATACACAGTCACAGATTGGAAAGAGTTTGAATATGTCAGTTTCTTATGGCGTCATCTATTCATCTCAGGACACACTAGATTGCTTGTGCTTCCAATTATAACAACGCAATGGAATATTTTACAAGGTTTGCTATGATTCCACAAGATGGCTGACTATTAAGGCCTTATAAAAAAAAACAAAAGAACTTTTAAATGAAGACTGTGGCTGCATGGCTCGGCCTTTGCTTTTCCCACAATGGGTAAAACAGATTAAAAAAAAGCAGTGCACAGATTAATAAGATTAATTGCAGTATATGCTTGGCGGCAAACAAGCAAAAGAAGAACTCTGCTTTATTTGGAATTTTTGTGTTACTTTATTGAATGGAAGGAAAGATAAATAATACCTAAAATGCGTCGACGGGATGAAACTTTCCCAGACAATGGTTTTGAGGCTTGGGGTGGATATATGCAGGCCAAGATTGCGAAATTGGAAGAACAGTTCTGCCAAAAAGCTGGAAGCGATACGAAATTGACTAACATTTTCAATGGTGTAAGCATCTACGTAAATGGCTTCACTATACCATCAGCTGATGAGCTCAAAGATCTAATGTCAATACATGGTGGTGTTTATCACATTTACCAAAGAAGCGAAGATTTTGTAATTGCTTCAAACTTGCCCGACACAAAGGTTAAGAATATGACACTTTCAAAAGTTGTTAAACCAGAGTGGATAACTGATAGTATAGCATCAAACAAATTACTCGATTATAAAGATTATTTGCTCTATAGAAATTCGAGAACACAACCACTGCTTAAATTTTCAATAAATCCTAATACAGGTACTCCTAAATCTGAAGAAAGTATAAAGCAATTGAATGCCATAGATCAAACTATTGCTGATATAAATAAAAGTGTACCTATTATTTCAAATGATACATTGCCCATAAAAAAAATTAAGACTGAAAGTCTCACTAAAACAGCTGCTGATCCAAACTTCATATCAGAGTTTTATAATAATTCTAGATTACATCACATATCACAACTGGGTGCTTATTTTAAGCAGTATGTTAATGATCTTAGGGAAAATGGTAAATTCATGTTTCCTGCTAGGAATCAATTGAAGAACAAGCTCCTTTCTTCAACAATGCCAAAACACTGCTCACAATTATATTTTGAAAAAGGTAAAATTATTATGCATATTGATATGGATTGTTTCTTTGTATCAGTTGGTTTGAGAAGTAGACCAGATCTCAGAGGTAAACCTGTTGCAGTTACACATTCTAAAGGTGGTCAACTACATTCTAAAAGGCAAGGTGTGGATCGTAATACTGAATTCAATCTTTATAGACAAAAGCATGTTCAAAAATATAATAAAACTGCTGAGGGTGAAGACATAAAGATTGAGAGTAGAGTGGATAACATAGGTGATGAAGGGGAAAAGTTTGGGTCTATGAGTGAGATAGCTTCTTGCTCATATGAAGCAAGAGCCAAAGGTATAACAAACGGAATGTTTATGGGAGCAGCATTAAGACTGTGTCCAGATTTACAAACAATACCTTATGACTTTGAAGGATACAAAGAAGTAGCATATACCCTCTATAACACTGTTGCACAATACACATTAGACATAGAAGCAGTATCTTGTGATGAAATGTATGTTGATTGCACTGAACTTCTTAAGGATATTGATATGAGTGTTCAAGATTTTGCCAGTAGTCTAAGAACTGAAATAAAAGAGAAAACTAGCTGTCCATGTTCTACAGGATTTGGGGGAAATCGTTTACAGGCTCGACTAGCTACAAAGAAAGCAAAACCAGATGGACAGTTCTTTTTAACTGCAGACTTAGTAGAAGACTTCATGGATGGAATTAAACTCAAAGATTTGCCAGGTGTTGGAAGGCAAATTGCTCATAAACTAGAGGCTCTTGGGCACCAAACATGTGGTTCTCTACAAAGCTTGAATATGGTAACATTACAACAACATTTAGGGAATAAAACAGGTGCTCAATTATTTGACCAATGCAGAGGCCGTGATTCAAATCCATTATCATATTATACTATTAGAAAATCTGTATCAGCAGAAGTAAATTATGGTATTCGATTTGAGAATATTGATCAATGTTTGGACTTTTTAAAACAGTTGTCTATGGAAGTTCACACAAGAATGCAACAATTTAAAGTATTGGGTAAGTGTATTACATTAAAACTTATGGTCAGGGATGAACAAGCACCTTTAGAATCAGCAAAATTTCTGGGTCATGGATTTTGTAACGTTGTAAATAAATCAACATCACTAGCAAATGCTACCAATGATGCTGAAGTAATAGCAAGAGAAATTATTTCATTATTTAAAAAAATAAATATGGATGCTAAAGAAATGAGGGGAATTGGGATACAAATAACCAAATTAGAAAGCAGTCAAGCAAAACCTATTAAAGGTGTAATGAGTAAATTTTTGTCTACTAACAAAACTGGTAATATTAAACCAGGCAACAGTATTACAACTAAACTTGAGGGTGATCAAAGTAGAAATGTTGACCAGAAAATAAAAAATAATTCTTCACCTAAAAAGTTGATTTTGTCCCCTCCAAAACAAAAATCTCCCATTTTAGGAGATACCAGGTCACCAACAAAACGACGTGGCAGACCCCGGAAACGTAATCCAACTAATTCATGTAACCTTATGAGCAAATTTCTCCAAGGACAGAGCAATCCTTTTAAAGATATTCCATATAAAGATCCAATGTTAAAAAAAGTTGAGAAGGAAAACATTGAAAAGAAGTGTAGCAAGCCCCTCTCTGGAGCTGTGAAACAGAAATCTCAGGGATTATTAGGTCTTTCGTGGCAGAATGTTAGAGAAATGTTAAGAGCTTGGCTTGGAAGTGAGCAAACCCCTCTACTATGTGATGTTAATATGGTGAGTGAATATATGAGTGCAATGGTTGTAAAAAGAGAAATAGATAAATTGATCATTTTAGTAAGATTTTTAAAAAGAAGAATTTATGAAATCAATAATGATAAATGGATAGAGGTTTATGGAAATATTATAGAACAAGTACAAAATGCAATGTTAGCTGTATATGGCAAAAAATTGTACATCAATTAATAAAACAATAGAACTCATTATAATTATTTTATTCATCATCACTTAGTTTTTATTGCTAACATTTAAATTAAAAAAACAATAATGTTAAAATGTGTCTAATATGATTTGCATTATGCTTGTTAAACCGTTAGAACTGCCATGCGCAGACACAATTTTTTTCAAACATTTGGCAATTCTAGAACACATCTTGCTAACAGGGCATTGACTGATACTAAAACAAAGTTTATTTTGTTTTTATTTTTATAAATTTAGAGGTAAAATAGCTATGATTAAAAACAATTACATCTCATTTATTGTATCTCTAAATTTGAAGACTAATGGTATACTTTTCCAAAATGGCAGTATTGCTTGCTAGTATTATTAGCAACAAAATATTTGCTTGCCATTTTTCGATTAGGTAATTGTAAATCAGCCATGAGTTATGATAATAGTAGTTTTTTGTTCAGCCATCTATTTAAATTTATTATCACAGATGCTTATTGCAAATAAAAAAATACAGAATAAATTCATTCAGTTTGATTAAGTTAATTAAAAATCGTGGCAATAATTTATTATACAAAATGTATACATAACTAATCTTTAATCTTGACTTTAAATAAAAATATTAAAGTTAAGAATGCATTCACATGACGCTTTTTGGTAGTTATTTCTAAAATCAAACTAAATTTAAATATTATCTAAAAGATGATCTACTGCATTGAAATCAAAGGTCAAAGTCCAAAGATCTTTGATCAACATTAATACAGTTTCCTTGTAATTAGAAGGTATTAGAAGAAAACTTATCTGTTTTGACATTTTTAAGCGAATTATCGGTTAAATAGGTCAGGAATCGGTTGTTTGATGGAACATAGTATGCAGATGCAATGCAAATGCTTTAAAACTCAATTATTGAGTTACTAACAAAGATCTTACGACAAGTGTCATTTTTAGAAAACGTCATGTGGATATATCCTTATTATTTGCAAGCTTTTAGCTTAGACAGGCGACAAAACTTATAACTAAATGCTTTGTGACAACCAGAACATTAACATAGTGATAACTTTATCACTACTACTATGGTTAAATTAAAATATACCTAAATACTCTTTGAAGAAAAATGAAGCAATCTTTTATGTAAATAAATTGATAATAGGTTTGGTACCTATATTTTAACAACTTTTGTTAGTATGCAGAACAGAACAATAATATTCAATGCCTATTACTCTTAAAGTAAATTCAATTTTTAATTCACTAGCACGATAACTTCACAAGGCATTGATTAGGCATTTTTTTTGTAAATTGCTTTTTGAGCAATTGCATTTCTGAAAGGAGAAAATAAATTTATAATAATGTAAATAATGTTTAAGTAGGTACTTTTCTTTTCTTTAGTTATAAAAATAAAGTAAAGCGAATTCTGTGAAATGAGAAATTGATAATTCTTTAATGAAGTAACATACTGAATGATACAGAAATGCAATCTTTTCAATAAGCACAGCTACTGTAGGCATCTCATGCTGATTTGGCCGATATAGAATGTTGTAATTTGGCCTCGATAATTATTTCATCTCCCGACCTAATGTTGTATGAGTATAGCTGCTTTGTGGGTATCTTCATTTCCTCTGGTCCAGGGAAAAGCTGAAAATAAGAACAATTTCATTACCATCTTAATTTTTCTTGATATAACTTCAGTACACAATTTCCGAAAATTAATTTAAACAGTAAGAAAGAAATGAGTTAATTAAGGAGTATAGGTGCAGCATTGCGTCTGTTGACACGTCACATGTTATTTAGTGCTGGAATATTTAGATAAAAATATCTGGTTATATAACCAGGAAACTGAAAATACTATACATAGGAATTACTATTTGAAAAAGAGAAATGCCACTGTAATACAAGTTTGGTGAAATAAACTCAGCTCAGACAAACCAACAATTTTCGTTATACAAATGAATGCACTGATTATTATGCTTCCGTGACGAAATCCTAATATTTATCTTAGACTGCAAGATTCCATTCTTTTACATTTTAGGTCAGTACAATATTATTTATGATACTCTTAGTATTATAAACATTCAGAAAAACAAAAAGCATTTTTTTTCCAGTTGGCAGAGTTGATATTTCTGAAGTGAAATATTCCTTTATATTTAAAAAAAATCTAGAGAATATTGATGTGTCTATGTGTCTGTCTACACTGTTTGAATTTTGATTGGTTCATGTTGAAGTCCTTACCTCAGTGTCTCTTAGTTCTTGGTCTACGTAAAACAACCTCATCTTAGAAGCAGGGAAGCCGGCTAGTCGTTCTAGACGGGATTTCAAATCCGATACGGTCCTGAAAACAACAGTTTCCATGAATTTTGCTGCAAATAAAACCACTGTTGTTTGTAATCATGGTTACAGGTCCAATGTTAGCACTCAAACTTGACCCAAGAGATACTCCATCGCACGTGAAATTGTATGGTATTCGACGTGTACACGTAAGGTATGATTTCGTATGTACTGCCACCTCACGACAAGTTCTTTGAGAAAAAACTGTAAGTAGACACGATCGAGGATTTAATCTCGTTCTTTTCTTGGACTTCTAAACGATAAGTACGGCAAAGCTAGGCAGAGGTGAAATCAAATGGTTCTGACTTTAATTTACAGTTTTATAGATACTAATCTTTAATAGAATGCTTTACGTCTAAGGGAATATATCGAGTGTAGATAAAACATAATTTATTAAAGAAAATTTTACTTTTGCAGCGGGAACCATCAACGTTACATTCATTTTACATCAACGTTTTGTTCAACCATCCAATGACCGATCACTGCGAAAGCTGCTTAACTTCAACGATCGCGCTAAATACCTGCGCCATAGAGCTCCTCTCAAACGCGCTTAGTGATGGTTAATCGCCTCATCATTTACAAGTGACGACCTCCGTGACCGAGTGGTTTGTACGCCGGGTTTCATGGTGTCACCGACTCGAGAGGTCCAAATCCCGGTGGGGGCAGATGTTTGTGTGATGAATACAAGAATTTGTACTCCAGTCATGGATGTTTAATATGTATTTCTATAAAAATATATTTATATAATGTACATTATATGTATTCTATCCGTTACCCTAGTAACCCGTAACACAAGCTTTATAGTGCTTACTTTGGGGCTAGGCTAATTGATGTGAGTGTTGGAAATATTTATTTATTTTTAATAACTCGTGCATGCGTACCTGTAAACGTCTACGGTGCGCACCTCGGTGGTGTCGCCGCAGACGAAGGTGATCTGCACGCGCTTCTCCGGCCGCAGGTCCACAGACACCAGCGGGTCTAGCTTGCCATGCACCTGCACCAGCTCCCAGTACCTGCCATACCGAACGATACAAACCTCAGAACAAGAACTAAAGCATGGAAGCGTTTATTCCCAGTCGCCCCGAATAAAAAAAACTGAAGTGAGGCCAATTACTTCATTCACCAACCAGCGTGCGTTTACATGGCTTGTTACATCAAATTGGATGATGGACAAAGATTTAAAATCTTTGATGATGGATACCTTGGTTACCTTAACGATACCGAAACAAAAAGCGATCTATTGTCAAACGTAATGTGCCAACATGCTTCTAAAACTTTTTGGTTGGGTAAACGATTTATTTGGAAATCTTTTCGTTAATCTAATTATCATTGATAATGTAAAGTGTACGCTGAAACGTCATAGCATTACTCCTATGTTTTAGTTCTTGTTATGAGATACAAACTTAATGGTGGCTGCTGTGAAGTTAGCGCAAGTCACGGTGTTGTAAACGAAATATAGGATAGGTGTATATTTCGTACATAGACATAGAAAATGGGCTGAGCGACACTCGCATGAAATTGACAATTCGAAAAAAGCGAAAGGAGAAAGCGATGGTACAGCCAATACCAGTAAGAACTATTGGCCCCACGATTAGGTCTTCGTCTCTGCTTTTAAGGCTAATCTGGCCAGTTTTACGTTATATATGGCAGCAACCGGATTTAGAGGTGTGGAGGCAACGAAGGAGTGGAGGCCCCTGACTCTTCCGGGGCACTTACAATTTGCACCCCTTGTTCCTGACCTGACGATTTTGTTTATTATCTCCATTCTGGGTGCTCCTATCTTGTGGGCCACAGCCCCGCCTTAATCCGGTCCTGTGGACAGGGAACTCTCATTCATTCTATGGCTATGACGGACGACTTTTAGTATTCAAAATCACTTATCAGGAGATCTACTCTCTTTCTCCAAAACGAAATTTCGGTAACGAACGAATTTTAAACGAAGACGCCAGGGACTCTACTCCTTTCACTATCGAACACGCACATAAAGTTCGGAATCACAGACAATCTTCGTGAACGAATGGAATGGAATGTTTGTGACTTCTTTTATCAAAACTTTTTAGATTACCTACGTTTTTTACTTGGAAACAATATTACTTTACCACAAAATGTTTGATGACATTGAAAGAACCTTCTTTGTCAGTGTTAGCCGACTAATTTGTAGAGTTGATACAATCGATTATATGTCAACCTAAATTTTTCGTTTAATGGAAGATTTTTAATCCTCGTTACGTCCGCTGTTGCGTTATTAAAATTTCCATACAAAACTTCTTGATATTTGACGCGGATCGATATCCAACTATTCGAATTCGATATTGGTTCGTGTTAAGGATACAAGACCACAGACTTCTGATAAAGAATTAAAAAAAAATAGTTGTTATTTGGTATTTTTATTGAGTTTCAATACACTAACAATAATTTACTTACTTAATTAAATATTAAGGATAATTGGGTGTTGTGGACCTCTGACTCAGAGGTCCGTGGACTCACTTTAATAAACCCAGCCATATGCCTACCACAAATTGAATTGTTGGTTGTTCTTAACCATCTTGCCAAATATGAGTTGTTCAAAGATTTTTACTGATTTCAACCAAAAAGATTTTCAATCTCGTAATTGTTCAAAGTTGATGGTTAATTGACGGCAGCCTTGCTTGCCTTTATTGGATTACAGCATATAGTACAGTCATATATACCTAGTTATTGTTTTTCTTATTACTCGTATTTTTTGTTTAATAGTAGCCAACTACGACTAGCCTTCAGATGATTCAGTGTCGACACTTAAAAGTTACGTGGAAAGAAACAGACATTATTACCTAAGATACTTAAATTATAAAGGTATGAGTGAATAAGGCATAGGTAGGAATTAGCATACACCTTTAGCCATTTAGGTCATCTTGTTGTAACTTGTAAGTAAGAATATCGCCCACATCAATTCCATAATCATGTACAACCTTCGATACGAATGCTTCAAATGCTTTAACTGTTATTGGTGACGTATTAAGCTGTCTGTAATAAAACGTCACGTGGATGTCGCAAAGTTGACCTTTAATTAACGGGTGACCAGTTCAACGCGTGAACGCATGCTAAAAGTTACAATTAATAGTGATATATCTCATCGCGCCCCAGGGCTGGCTGAACTAAGCAGGAAGGAGTCCCAGATACATTTTTCTCGCTCCCCCAGTGGTTGAAGGATGCGTAAGGCATTTCCTAGACACTAAAAAAGTGGGGTGGATATATTCACCAACGGTTCTGTAGCAATAAGCTCACCTGTCCGGGCGTTCAGCTTCAGGCTTGTCCATGTAGTGGCGTATGAAGGCGCGCTCTGCGGCGTCGCGCTCCTCAACCGGCACCGCGCCGCCTCCGTTGAGTGTGCGCACGTGCGGTAACCGCGCTACCAGCAGTAACCGCCGCTCGTGCTCCGTCGACTCGCATCGCTCCCACAAAGTCCAGCCCTGTAAATGTGGCGGTAAACGTTACTCTTTATTTGGAAAGATTTCCAGTCAAACAAGTCATCATCATCAGCCTATTGATGTCCCCACTGCAGGGGTACAGGCCTTACCTATGGATGGAATAGAGAGTCTGGGCGATGACCCACGACACGGGCCCCGTGTGGACTGGTGGGTGCTAGTGCCTGCAGATGTAGCCGGGACCAACGGCTTAACGTACCTTTTCAAAGCATGGAGGAGTTCGATATAACAAGTTTTAGGTTACCTATCCAATGACCGACTATTGCGACAATTGTTTCTCTTTCACAATCGCAGGGCAAATGCGCTAACCATCTGCGCTATCGAGCTCCTCAAAGAGAATCAAGTACAGATCGTTAATTATGAGTTCAGGATATTATACCGTTTAAGAAGGCGAGGTTAGTGTGTACGGCTTCCGACCGCGCAACTTATACAGCAATACAACTTTCCTAATGGCCGGTGATAGAGTCCTATGACTCATAGGACAAATGACCAAAAATTTGGGGTATCACCATTATTGGCCCAGGCTACATCTGCAATCCTTACCCACCAATCCAATCCACTCTGAGCCCGCGGGATGGGTAGGCCATGCATGGTATGTTCTGCCTTTCGTCATAAGGAAAGCCTGTGTCTTAGGCAATATATTATTTCTATAGACTTGATTGAGAAATGTTCCTGTAGCCTGCTTTCGAGTCTTCCCAGCGTTCGCGAGCGTGTTTTTGACATTTCTGCTATTTTTTTTATATAATATCATTGGCTTAAGGAATAAGAACATTGAAAGACTGATGACAATGATGAAAATTTTATCAATTTTAACAAAAGGCTGTCTTTGGAACATTAATATAATGGTATGTTGAGCGGGTTTAAAACAAACATTGCTATGATCATTTCCCGCTTCCTGTTACAATATTATAGTCCAAATCTGGATACAAATACATACAATAATAACAATATAAAACAAAACTTTATTGTTTTCTACTTTACACCTAGTTATTTCTTAACATGCCTTTAAATATAGTTAATGCATATAAATAAGTTAGAAATCCTTAAACATAATACGTAGGTATTTACAATTTGAATTGCAATTTGTCAAGGTTAATTGTAATGGTAATTTACTCGCAGCTCGCGTGGTGGCAACATCACGATACCATAATAAGGATGAGTGGATGCACACCTGTTTTCCAGTTCCTAGGTCAACTCTCAACGGTAATTGTTTAACCTAGGTAATTTATTTTGAGAAATTATATTTTCTTCAGTCTACTTTCTCTTCTACTTCCGGTATAATTAGATAGATAGAATATGATGTCCCTAGGTTTGGTTCATTATATGTAAACACATTCCCCCTTATTGATAAACTAGCGGCTGCCCGCGACTTCGTACGCGTGGAGTTAGTTAGAAATAAAGGTTCACTGCTCGTTCCCCGTAGGTGATAGCGTGATAATATGTAGACTATAAGTATGTTGACCCGACTTCTTAATAATATTCGTGCCAAATTTGAAGTAAATCCATGCAGTACTTTTTGAGTTTATCCCGGACATACATACAGACGAACAAACAAAACTTCAAAAACTATATTTTTGACTTTGGTATCGACTGTAGATCACACCCCAAGTATTCTTTTAAAAAAATATTTAATGTACAGTTTTGAATTTCCTACCATTTTATTATATGTATAGACGAAGGATAAGCTTGGTTCAATAATAACTTATTGAATTACATGGAGTAACCTCCATGTTTTGTCTCTTTTCATTGAATTACAAATGACATTTGAGTGATACAAACAAAACACGGCGTAACTAGCCTAAGCTTATTCCTCATTTATTAATAAAGGAGATTGTGTTATTCTTTCTTATATTTTTGAATACATGGACCTGCCTTTAATTTTTAGTAGAGTCCTGTTGCTGGCATCAAAGTACTTAGGAGTATATGCACCTGCTACAACTACAATAGTTTCCTAATTTACTTCAAATTACCCTGTCCGTCCGTTGGTAGACTGCATTGTTTAAGTACGAGGAAAAGCTCGGATTTTTCCTGCGTCATCTTAATACTTTAATAAGGTCTCTTTTAATAATAAATTTGCGTACTTAGAAGTAAATAAGAATAAAGATTAGCCTCAATAATGTCCGTGTCACGATTCAGGAATCACAAAAGTATTATTGGTGTCGAACAAAACCTTCGATCGCCTTATTATAAGTAGTTTTTATACATCTCAAGGCTTCATAAGGTTCAAGTTTCCTTGTAGGGCTACTTCTTGCAGATTCCGCAATGTACTTTTTTAAACGCGTTTTACAAGACCGCATAGAGAATGAGTCACCCTTCAGCAGGTTATAGAACTACTTATTAGTTTTTTTTTTCAAATTTATTTATCTTTATTAGTGCTTATATATTAAAAATAATTGACTATTTAAGATAGCAAAGATGCCATTAATTACTTACTTTATTATCGTAGTTCTGCGTTTGTTTTTCCTTTGTTATGTGCGATATCAACCTCGCGGACCAGTTTAGTTAAATACGGAAGACGGAACACTTAGCACGCACCTAAGATCCTTACAAGATCAATTACCGCATGCTTTGTCCCTGTTTTAACGCTAATTTAAATAGATCTGCTAGATAGTATAATTCTGGGGCGAAAAAAAACTAAGCATCTTATCATATTCAGGGAGTTATTGTTTCATTGACTTGTGCCTTCACGTACCTGATTCTTTTCAATAATCAGTGGCGTAACATAATGGTTATGGGGTGGCAAAATTACACAATAACCAATAAAAATATCATAAGAAATTTTTTACTCAAAAATCACTAAGTCCAGCTTAAGGCAAGTTCGGAAGACTGATTTTGTATTTAGATGGGTTTTCTCCTTTGCTATTCTTATAACTATATGGGAGGCACACGAGCAGACTGCTCACCCGATAGTAAGTGATGACCGTCGCCCCTAGACAACACCAGAAGTGCGTTGCCTAAAATTCCACAGTTTTTTGAATATGGTAAGAAATTTCAACAATTTTCGACAGTCGCACGGTGGTCGATAGCAAACGCATCAAGAACACATCATCTACTGACCAAAACGTCATTTTTTTTCTTTAAGCTAAGTATTTGCACTGTTTTACTCTGCAGAGTTAACGGCTCCGATATGAATCATTAAACTTGATATCGATTTCGTTAAATGACGTGGTAGTGGTAGCCACGAGCGGGCACACATCGGACAGGTTTGCATTACGCCGGTTTTTTACTAAACGAACAAAATAGTGGCACTTTTCCGACTGGTAGCGTTAGAACATTTCCTTGTGACTTTTTACGTAAGAGATCATAATATTTTAACGTCCTACGATAAGTTAGCCCTGCCAATAAACATTTTAGTTGTAATTGATTGCAAAATTATAGGTAGGTTAGTTAAGTAGGAACTCTAGTATTCGTTATGATTATACATAATTATATTAATATTAATTTAAATAAAGAAAAATAAGACGCAAAAGTTAACTACGCAAAAGACAATACAAAATACATTACGCATCTTGGTATTAAAACAAAACCATTTCAACAGTCGAAATTGTAGGTACCTATAAAAATAATTTCTGAGGTTGTGATGATGTCGGTTTTAATAGTAATTTTAATTCTTATACTGATTTCGTATTAACAAACACGTATTTGCTGTAGTTTAAATACTTGATTTGGGTAATATTCTTTATTTTATACAAAAGATAAACAATCAAATGTGCGCGACAACAGACGCGTAACAGTTATCGATAACTAGTAGTACAGATAGTCAAGGCCACTTTCGTGAATTAACACAATTTAAAATTTGTATGGCATTGACAGAGCCTTTTTTTACTTAGCAATAAGACCTATATTCGTTGTTAAAGAGTATTTACCGGTGTGTTCCAGTCCGTGCATGACTAATGAACCGTGGCTGCAGCAAGCGAGTGTTCCACGCAGCGAACTGGGTAAAGGGACGGTTGACCCACAAGCGCGGCTGACATTATGGTAATTGCATGCATGCATAGGTCGTGGCACGACATCCTATGCTACGGCTATCCACAGACATCGTGCATGCCCAACGAACGGGGTTTGGGGGCCATTTGGAATTTCACGTACATATAAAAATAAATGCCTATCTTTATCTGACTTTAAAAAGAAAGGAGGTTCTCAATTCATCGGTATGTTTCTGTTTTCCCTGGCCAAACCATGATTTGAGAATGACTTTACCAATATCATACACATATTTTAAACTTTTAGTTTTTTACTTCTTTGTAGATAAAATTAAGAAAGTTGCGCATAAGAGAGCAACACTACCCTATAGTTTATGTGGTGCTGTAGCCGGGTTTGTTGTTTTTTTATATTCTTATTGGACAAGACAGTGTCTGACTTCGCTAGTTTAACAAAGTAAGATGAGGGTTTCGACCAACTTATTAATGTTCATGAATACGAATTGCTCTTGTAGTAAACGTCTACCCTGAAAAAACCAAGACATATTTATAGAATTATATGGCAGTTTTTCCCATAAGTAAACAGCTGTTCAAATTAGAGAATTAGCGTTGACTACTTATAACAATTTTATATTTGAAAATAGCATGCAATTTCAAAGTGTTACAGGCAATGTGATTAATCACCTTATTGGGTTTATTATAATTAATGGTAATTAATATAAGACATACGATTTCTCTATGCTATAATTATTTTTGGTTTATATTACCTTAAACGACATATTGAATTCATATAAATTTTATTTTTTTTTAAATATCAAGTAGGCACCTATTTATAATGAATGATTTAAAACGAAGTGTTCATTTATTTTTATCAAATTACTTTTTGGTGCGGCTAATAAAAATACTAAAATCTCAGTAAAAAATCCTTTAAAATCTATCTCTTCTTCCAACTTACGTATGGCCAAACACTTTTAAATATCAAACAAAACTAAGAAATAAAACTTAGTAAGTAATTCTTCGTTTAGGTAAACTGTATGATGAAGATAATATTTTATTGTGTTTAGT